TGTGTTTTACTGATAAATGGACTCACTTTTTAAGTCAACATTTGTTAATATATTAACGTCAATTTGTCGTTCTATATTTTGTCTAAAAGTATCATCGTCCATCCGCTTCCTGTCAATACATCCGATAAGTTTTTCTGCGCTATTTTCGTCCCAACCCCCAATGCTTAACAACTCGGAGTAAAATTTAACCTGCTCTGATAGTATTGAATTAATGCCATTTTTATATTTGCCGTCCGAGCATTTTATACGATTCCGTTATTTGTTTTTAGCTTTCTGTTTTTCTAAATTAAAGAAATAATGTTATTTTAAATGAGAGCAAAAACTTCAATAATGAGTCGATTCTGATTAATATGAAAATTAATATAAAGATCTTAATTCTTATAAAAATACGGAGATGTGGTATGATTGTCAATGAGAAAACTACCCATCAAAGATTAATTGAAGTGGATGTTAGCAATTATAGGCAACTGTACGGCCTTAAACAATGAGAAAAACCCATACCGTATAGTCGGTTTTAAAAGGCCCCGACAAGAAAAATATGAAACAATTCAATTTAGAATACTAACGGCCTAATTTATAACAAAACAATTTACTAAAAACAAATATGACAAACATAAACCAACGACAACCACTGAACTACAGACTCCTGATTTGGGACAGGCACATAAAGAATGTGGCGGGGTTAAACATGTTTGTGAGCTCCTACTAACCTGGAACAGTGGAGTAACAGCACAACATAAGAACAAACTATAAAAATCAGTAGAAAAAGGCTTATCTCATCATATCGATATAAAGCAGAAAAACATCAAACAAAAACACAGACCGGACGTGGCAGGGTATTTATCCATCCCTCATCTCTAACAACAACAAAAAGCACTAAGTACAGATCTGAGAGTACTCGCAGTTACTAACAGCTAGTTCAAAGCCAAAAACAACTAAAAAATCATGTATCTAAGACTAAAATATCAATCAGTACATATCCAACATCCAATGGATTTAGTGTAAAGACGTCATTAACAATCAGAGAATACATGACCTTGTGCAATGCCAAAATATAGGTATCTGCCTATTCTTACTTGTTATAGTTACTCGTTTACTAAAACATTTTTTTTAATAATTGACTTCGAATGGCAATATGTGTCGATTGTCAGTTGACTTATTTGTAGATCTTATTTTGTTGAACATTGTTGCTTATTACAATAATATTGCTTTCGTTAAAACACTTTAATCGGAGAAAATTGTCACTGAAGGGCAATAGCTCGACAAAGGAGTAGACAAACTGATTTTGATCATGTTGACATATCTGAAGATCTCGTATATAGCTGATTGACTTTAATGTTTAAAGTGTGAATTCTCTCTGTGTTTTATAGGTTTTCAACATCTTGTGTTTGCTGATTGTTTGACTGAAGATTCATACCAGATTTGACTTTCTTGTAGATCTTGTCTGGCTAATCATTTTTGTTGTATAAAGTTGTTTTCTCGATTTATTGCAGTTTAAAGAACTTATATATGCTAAATTACTTTCTATCCGAGGCCCCAAGGATGCTATATGATTCACCTGGTATGTTTGCGTAAAATTGATACAATAAAATTAGAGAGAATAACATCTCATACAAAAACGCAAAATCATTTTTTGATTGAACAGTGTCCTTTATTCTATATTATAGTGTTTATGTCCCTTCGGATGTTTTTTTTTATCTGCATATCATAAGAATGGTTTTGGTTCCAGAGAACCAGACTTGTGCACAAGTTTACAGACGAAGATGGCGATAAATTAAGCCAAGAACTATCGTTTTAATTTCAGTCTTCCATTTTTACCTGTACCAGTCATAATGTGTATCAAGTGTCAACAGAATATGGGCTATGCATTATTACTGTTAAATTTAATAACATTTGATTATGCCGTTTCAAAGGGGAATTTTGTCACAAGGGATCAAAACATTGATGATTGCCATTTTCCAACTATATGAGAATAGCTACTTAAATCTTTGGTAACGATATTGATACCTCACCTTTCAATAAAAATCTATATAACAGTTCATATTAGTCTGAACCCAAATATGTATGGTTGCTATAGGTACTTTTATATCAAATAAGGGCCGTTGCTTAGAACTTTTGACATGACCTTGACTTCTTGCATTTAACCTTGTTATCAAATAAAAGCAATAATCGTTCTGAACATTTTTTCTATTCAAGGTATGGGTATTTTTGTAACCATTTCTGACAAAATCTAATAAAAAAATCTCAACGTCAAACTTGACAAAGGTCAAGGTCATCAATAACCTTTTACCCTTATATCAAATTTAAGGTCATTGAATGCGCAACATTTTTCAATTGATTTTCATCCTTTATCTGTCATAGTTTATGATATATTTAAATAACAAGGTCAAAATTATTTTACAAAATAACAAAAATTTCACTTTTATGTTCCCTTAGCAACCACCATAGCAACCTGAATCCCAAGCCTTTAATTATAAATTATTGCTAGGCAACAGTGTTAATTTACATTAATAACTTTAATGTAAATGGGTGTGGATGCTAAAGTGTGTAATTAGTTCATGCAAAATGCCTATAATTTGTCTTCTTGAAAACAATGAAAACTCCCTTATTTAAATCAGTGTTGCCACCTTCTCCCTTTTCATCAGAATCATTTTTCATCTTTTATCTAACAAATTAAATGTTACATTTCAATGAACAAATGTTACAATATTCATCAAAATTGAAATGAGTACATGATAATTGCCTGAAAATGGTAATTTTTCTACCTAAAAAAATGAAATTTTGAGCCAAAATCCAAGGGGGACCCGTAACCATTGCAACGACGACATAAGCAGTTTTTTGTCAATCTATTTCTATTATGTTTATCGATAGCTAACAACAAACAAAATTTCAAAAAAATCCGAGACCATGCGTGTTGCAACTGGATGGGTGGTTAGTACTTGTTAGTTACAGAGAATTGCTATTAAATACTCAATTTAAAATGTCTTCTTGTATTATTTGTATTTGTAAAATATCATCATGAGACAGGCACTTGTCTTTGAATTTTTTTTCTTATATAGATATAAGAAGATGTGGTATGAGTGCCAGTGAGACAAATCTCCATCCAAGTCACAATTTGTAAAAGTAAACCATTATAGGTCAAAGTACGGCCTTCAACACGGAGCCTTGGCTCTCACCGAACAGCAAGCTATAAAGGGTGGCAAAAATGACTAGTGTAAAACCATTCAAACAGGAAAACCAACGGTCTAATCTATATAAAAAACGAGAAACGAGAAACACTTATGAACCACATCAACAAACGACAACCACTGAACAACAGGTTCCTGACTTAGGACAGGTGCAAACAAATGCAGCGGTTTAAAAACGTTTTAACAGGCGCCAACCTTCACCCTAACCTGAAACAATAGTGTAACATCACAGCATAGAAAGAAGCACTATAAAATATCAATTGAAATGGCTTAACTCAATCAAAAGACATATCAACAAAAACAAGTAAACATACACTGAACGAATAAAAATGATCTATACATGGAGTACGGAAATATTTTTTACCAAATTTAATTCATATCAAACACTTATCAAATGTGGTATACTAGTATATTAAAAATAGTGAGACGAGATATAACACTAAATAAGTAACCATTAAATAACAAAAATGCATTACAAATTGTATCAACAGGTCAGATTAACACGAAAGTACGATTTGAGAGTATTCGCAATTAATGAATGCTAGTTAAAAGCCAAAATCAATTAATAATAAAAAATCATGCATCAGAGACTGAAATCAACTAAAACACATCCCAGGGATTTAGTGTGTTAACGTCATGGACACTCAAAGAAGACATGACGTGTGCAATGCCAAATGATAAAAGTATCGACAGGCAGTAGGATAGTTAGGAGTTAACCTTTTAATAAATATGTATAATGTTATATATAGAAGTAATCTCTATATAGAAAATGAACGTGGGTGTGTATTTATACATCCCAAAAACCGTTTGAATACGTTATTTATGTTTTAATTTGCTGATGACAAAATCGATATTTGTGCCAATGTAAACTATATTCAAAGATCTAATTACAACATTAGTAAGATACCTTTACTAATAAATTAAGTGTGTTTAAAGGTTCGATGAGTTTGCATGGATCACATAGTGATTTCCGCGCTTTTAGTACAATATTACCGTAGAATTTAGGATGTGAAATACCGTATTTAATAAGTTTTCTACAGATACAGCCAAATTTACTAATCAAATCTTTGTATCTATGAAAGAACTTAGTAAAAGATTTAAGTAATTTATGTAACGAAACTTGATCCCTGACTTTATAATTTACCAGTGATGCATTGATTACGTTCGTTAAAATCTTTGACATCACTACACACACGGGCTTAACGAACGAGTTGGGATATATAAACACCGTATGATGGAGCCGAAGGAACATCGCCGTCTAAAAAAGGAAAATTAACAATAGGGAATGAAAAATCGTCTCTTTTGTCGTAAATTTTAGTATGGAGTTTCCCTTTAGAAATTGAAATGTCTAAATCTAGAAAAGGACAACTACTGCTGTTTATGTTATATTTATTTAAAGTAAGTTCCTTTGGGTAAAGTTCGGTAGTATATTTAGAGAACTCTGGATTATTTAACGAAAAAATATCATCAATATATATACATTAATATTACCAGAGACCAAGGATTTGTATAGTCTTACTATACAAATCCTTGCAGAGACATATAATATAAGTGCCTACAGGTGCATTATGATATAAAATCAATATCAAACCATTTATTGGTGTTACACTTCAAATGAAGGATTGTCATCAAAACAGAACCAAGGATTTCATTGCTAAGACCATAGAAACAATGGCTATTACATCTATATACCAATGACATACAAAATTCATTTACACAAAGACGTACAAACATTTAAATATGCACACAAAAGGGGCAACCAATCAAAATATGCTGTTTGACCCGGAAGTACTTCTCCACATGACACGTCGTACCAAAATATGAACCAGAGTATTGTACCGATAGATAATGAGGACCATAAGATAACCGAAAATAAACAGGAAGAACACGTGGAACCCATGGCATCCAACAGAAACAAATTAATATTTTGTGCCCTTGGAACATTTGTCTGTTACTTTTACTACGGCATTTTGCAGGAATCAATGTAAGAAACTAGATTTACACGTAGGACACTGAACATGTCAAACTTGACATGTATTGTCATCATGTAATTATTCATGACTACAGTACAGGTACAAGGCGACATTTTTTAGTATATGTATATATACTGCATACACCAACCATAGTGTATTCAGTATATATATATATATTTGTACACTTATTAAAAAATCTCATCTTGTACCTGTGTTCATGACATATTTTCATTAATTTTATGCCATCACTATTTTTTATAGTCTGAGATTACTCTGACTACAACGTCTGTTGTTTCGCTGAATCCAACGGACGTCAGAGTAATCTGGACTATATTTTTTAAAGATTAGTAATTGGCACGATATTTGCTATGCTTCAACTTAAATTTATTTTCAAGGGTTTTATCCTATCCAGGTTACAAAAAACAATATTTTTCTCCATTAAAGACAGCCTGTTTACTATACGAGATCTGCTGGCATTGATATTAGAAAATATGCTGTTTTAGTGTTTATGAATAAGAGTAAAAATAAGTAAAAACTATGTATAAAGATTGTCAATGATGTTTTGTTTCTTGAAACATATGGAGACTGATCTGAAATTATAATCCTGCACAAGTTTATATGTTAAGTTTTAATTATGGTTAAAAGACTTAAGAAGATAGGCAACATAAACATTTTTTAAAAATTTAGAGCCATTTAAGAGGGGTATCGGGTCTGTCGGTGCCCAAAACTCATTCCAACCCTTCGCGTTTGCCCCCTGGGTCCGTTCGCACCTTTTTTTGTCGAGGCTGCGACTTTTGTCGCAAAAGCGAGACATAGCAATCCTACATTCCGGCGGCGGCGGCTGCGGCGTCCACATATATTCACTCTGTGGTTAACGTTTTCAAATTTTAATAACTTTCTTAAACTATCCTAGATTTGTACCAAACTTGGACAGAAGCTTGTTTATAATCATAAGATAGTATCCAGAAGAAAATTTTGTAAAAAAAAAATCCTGTTTATCTGTATTTTACTCATATATGGACTTAGTTTTTCTGCCTGTTAACATAACATTCACTCTGTGGTTAAAGTTTTTCAAATTTTAATAACTTTCTTAAACTATCCTGGATTTGTACCACACTTGAACAGAAGCTTGTTTGTGATCATTAGATAGTATTCAAAAGTAAATTTTGTTAAAAAAAATCCTGTTTATCCATATTTTACTTATAAATGGACTTAGTTTTTCTGCCAGTTAACATTACATTCACTCTGTGGTTAAAGTTTTTCAAATTTTAATAACTTTCTTAAACTATCCTGGATTTGTACCAAACTTGGACAGAAGCTTGTTTATGATCAAAAGCTAGTATCTAGAAGGAAATTTGTAAAAATTTATTTCCTGTTTTTCCGTATATTACTTATAAATGAACTTAGTTTTATTCCAGTTAACATTATGTACAGTCTGCAGTTAAAGTTTTTAAAACATTTATTAGATTCATAAACCTTCTTTGAATTTTATTAAACTTGAACAGAACTTCTTACAATCAAAAGATAGTATCTAGAGGAAAATTTTTAATAATTTTTTCACCATTTTTGTTGAGCCTGCTACTTACAGCAAAAGTAAGCGAGACACTGGGTTCCGCAGGACCCTTACACATTTTTTTATTCAAAAACCTGATGAATTATAAGATGTTTTATAGATGTTTAAATCAAAATATTTTTATTTTCATAAATAAAAATTCAGGAATTTTTAAATGAAATATTGTTTTAAATTGATTTGATGATTAATTATTATATGTTAATTATGTATGATTACTGTTAATTATATGGTGTTTACACAGCTAAATTTAGTGTTATCTGCTGATATAGTGATTGTTTTAACTAGCTTTGATGTAAATTCTGCATGTAGTTAGCATGTATTTAGCTTGGTATGAGCATGGAAGTAATATACTTCCATGGTATGAGTAAAAACAATGAAGATGCAAAATTAATGTTATAGTTGTTGAGTTTAATAGCGGTTTGGTATCTTAACATTAAAAAAATATTCAACACAAAAAAACCTATTTAGAAAGTCACTTAAACCAAAACACAATTATAAAATTATTTCAACACAAAAATCGTTTTTTAAAAGTCACTTCATTTTTATACGACCGCAAAAATTGAAAATTTTTTGGTCGTATATTGGTATGACGTTGGCGTCGTCGTCGTCGTCGTCGTCTGGCGTCGTCCGAAGACACATTGGTTTTCGCACTCTAACTTTAGTTTAAGTGAATGGATCTCCATGAAATTTTTCCATAAGGTTCAATACCATGAAAGGAAGGTTGGGATTGATTTTGGGGGTTATGGTACCAACAGTTAAGGAATTAGGGGCCAAAAAGGGGCCAACAATAAGCCTTTTTGTAACTTCCAGACAATAACTTGTGTGTAAGTGTATGGATCTCTCTGACATTGTACCACAAGGTTCCATATCACAAAGGGAAGGCTGTAATTGATTTTGGGGGTAATTGCCTCAAAATGTTAGGAATTAGGGGCCAAAAAAGGGGCAAAAAACAAGCATTTTTCTAGTTTCATGACAATAACTTGTGTGTAAGTGTTTGGATATTTCTGAAATTGTACTACAAGGTTCCATATCACAAAGGGAAAGCTGGAATTGAGTTTGGGGGTAATTGCCCGAAACGTTTAGGAATTGGGGGCCAAAAAGGGGCCAAAATTAAGCATTTTTCTAGTTTCCAGACAATAACTTGTGTTCAAGTGTATGGATCTCTCTGAAATTGTACTGCAAGGTACCATACCACAAAGGGAAGGCTGAGATTGAGTTTGGGGGTGATGAATCATAAGGGAATTTAAAAAAATTTTGGGTTTTTTCTTTTTTTTTTCTTTTTTTCCTTTTTTTTTCTTTTAAAATTTTCCATTTTAAGTTGGTTATTTCTGATTTATATTTAAAAGCAAATAATAATGATATGGTAGGAGATACACACCAAACAGGATGTGTAAATTATTATATAATAAGTATTGTGCAATAGCAAGAAATTTTCAATTGCACAGTATTGCACAATAGCAAGAAATCTTCAATTGCACAGTATTGCGCAATAGCAAGAAATCTTCAATTGCACAGTATTGCGCAATAGCAAGAAATATCCAATAGCACAATATTGCGCAATAGCAAGAAATTGTCAATTGTACAGTATTGCGCAATAGCAAGAAATAATCAATTGCACAGTATTGTGCAAAAGAAGATACTTGGTATAAATTGCTTATTTCTTGATCAATTTCAATGGGGTTTTATTCTTGAATTCTTGGGGTTCTTTAATATGCTGAATCTAACCGTGTATTAAGTTTTTGGATTTTGGGCCCCGTTTTTAAATTGGTCCACATTGAGGTCCAAAGGGTCCAAAATTTAACTTTGTTTGATTTCATAAAAAATTGAATTATTGGGGTTCTTTGATATGCCGAATCTAACCGTGTATTTAGATTCTTAATTTTTGGTTCTGTTTTCAAATTGGTCTACATAAAGGTCCAAAGGGTCCAAAATTAAACTTAGTTTGATTTCAACAAAAATTGAATATATGGGGTTCTTTGATATGCTGAATCTAACCATGTATTTAGATTTTTGATTATGGGCCCAGTTTTCAAGTTGGTCCAAATCGGGGTCCAAAATTAAACTTTGTTTGATTTCAACAAAAATTGAATATATGGGGTTCTTTGATATGCTGAATCTAACCATGTATTTAGATTTTTGATTATGGGCCCAGTTTTCAAGTTGGTCCAAATCGGGGTCCAAAATTAAACTTTGTTTGATTTCAACAAAAATTGAATATATGGGGTTCTTTGATATGCTGAATCTAACCATGTATTTAGATTTTTGATTGTTGGGCCTCTTTATCAACTTTGTCCACATTGAGATCAAAAGGGTTCAAAATTAAACTTTGTTTGATTTCATCAAAAATTGAATATATGGGGTTCTTTGATATGCTGAATCTAACCATGTATTTAGATTTTTGATTATGGGCCCAGTTTTCAAGTTGGTCCAAATCGGGGTCCAAAATTAAACTTTGTTTGATTTCAACAAAAATTGAATATATGGGGTTCTTTGATATGCTGAATCTAACCATGTATTTAGATTTTTGATTATGGGCCCAGTTTTCAAGTTGGTCCAAATCGGGGTCCAAAATTAAACTTTGTTTGATTTCAACAAAAATTGATTATATGGGGTTCTGTAATATGCTGAATCTAACCGTGTATTAAGTTTTTGGATTTTGGGCCCCGTTTTTAAATTGGTCCACATTGAAGTCCAAAGGGTTCAAAATTTAACTTTGTTTGATTTCATCAAAAATTGAATTATTGGGGTTCTTTGATATGCTGAATCTAACCGTGTATTTAGATTCTTAATTTTTGGTTCCGTTTTCAAATTGGTCTACATAAAGGTCCAAAGGGTCCAAAATTAAACTTAGTTTGATTTTGACAAAAATTGAATTTTTAGGGTTCTTTGATATGCTGAATCTAAACATGTATTTAGATTTTTGATTATGGGCCCAGTTTTCAAGTTGTTCCAAATCGGGGTCCAAAATTAAACTTTGTTTGATTTCAACAAAAATTGAATATATGGGGTTCTTTGATATGCTGAATCTAACCATGTATTTAGATTTTTGATTTTTGGGCCCTGTTATCATTTTTGTCCACATTGAGATCAAAAGGGTCCAAAATTAAACTTTGTTTGATTTCATCAAAAATTGAATTCTTGGGGTTCTTTGATATGCTGAATCTAACCATGTATTTAGATTTTGGATATTGGACCATAATAGGTGAATGTCCAATTTAAAATTTTAAAGTTCTTAGACCACATTCATTCTGTGTCAGAAACCTATGCTGTGTCAAATATTTAATCACAATCCAAATTCAGAGCTGTATCAAGCTTGAATGTTGTGTCCATACTTGCCCCAACTGTTCAGGGTTCGACCTCTGCGGTCGTATCAAGCTGCGCCCTGCGGAGCATTTTATTAAACAATGAACAAAAAAAATATTTATAGCAATACTTTAACCAAAAAACAATTGACACTATATTTAACACAAAATCAATAAAAGGGGTGCGAATGTGTAGGGTGTGAACGTGAAAGGGAGCGAATGTGTTTTTGGGCGAACGGACCCGGATTCTTTAAGAGGTTAACATTTAACAGAAGACATATATCTACAATATGTATGTATGTTCTGTATCTTCCTCCTTTAGTAGGAGCACCACCATGGGTTATGGTGTAAAGGAGGACATTTAACACACTGTATCGGTACAGATTTAATGTGAGCATTTGCCTACCCAGTTTCCCAGCCTGGCCGTGACGGGTCTTACTACCAGAAAGTCATATGTACATTTCAAGATTTTTTTCTCCTCAATTTAGAAGTTTGGAGAAGGTCCTCATGTCAAATAGGTATTATATCCAAAATCCGGTATCAATTTACATAGTCTGATAATGGCTGAATAATAAAGACCCTCCTAGTGGACTTGCCTGAGGGCCTGCACTCTTAATACTATGAAAATGAGTCAATAACTCAAGATTTTGATTAGTGTTCTCTTGATGAAAGATGTTTATCTTAAACTTCTGTCAAATATGGTGGTGTATTATTTCCTTAAAATTTATTCAGAGTACTTATTTCACAATACCTTATGATGACATTAAAAAACCATAAGGCAGTGAAACATTGTTTGGTCAAATAAAAGTTGAATATTTAATGATATAGTACCTGAAATTAATATATGAAGAGTTTCTTTTTTGGCCCATTTAATTCTAAATTCAGAAAGAAGTACACATTTTTAGCTCACCTGGCCCAAAGGGCCAAGTGAGCTTTTCTCATCACTTGGCGTCCGTCGTCGTCGTCCGTCGTCGTTAACTTTTACAAAAATCTTCTCCTCTGAAACTACTTGGCCAAATTTAACCAAACTTGGCCACAATCATAATTGGGGTATCTTGTTTAAAAAATGTGTCCGGTTACCCGGCCAACCAACCAAGATGGCCGCCATGGCTAAAAATAGAACATAGGGGTAAAATGTAGATTTTGGCTTATATCTCTGAAACCAAAGCATTTAGAGCAAATCTGATATGGGGTAAAATTGTTTATCAGGTCAAGATCTATCTGCCTTGAAATTTTCAGATAAATCGGACAACCCGTTGTTGGGTTGCTGTCCTTAAATTGGTAATTTTAAGGAAATTTTGCCGTTTTTGGTTATTATCTTGAGACTTGAATATTATTATAGATAGAGATAAACTGTAAACAGCAATAATGTTCAGCAAAGTAAGATCTACAAATAAGTCAACTTGACCAAAATGGTCAGTTGACCCCTTAAGGAGTTATTGCCCTTTATAGTCAATTTTTAACCATTTTTCGTAAATTTTTATAATCTTTTACAAAAATCTTCTCCTCTGAAACTACGAAGACAAATTTAACCAAACTTGTCCACAATCATTATTAGGGTATCTAGTTTAAAAATTGTGTCCGATGACCCTGCCCGCGAACTAAGATGGCTGACATGGCAAAAAAATAGTACATAGGGTAAAATGCAGTTTTTGGCTCATATCTCTGAAACCAAAGCATTTAGAGCAAATCTGACGGGATAAAATTGTTCATTAGGTCAAGATCTATCTGCCCTGAAATTTTCAGACCAATCAGGCAACACATTGTTTGGTTGCTGCCCCTGAATTGGTCATTTTAAGAAAATTTTGCAGCTTTTGGTTATTATCTTGAATATTATTATAGATAGAGATAAACTGTAAACGGCAATAATGTACAGCAAAGTAAGATCTACAAATAAGTCAACATGATCAAAATTGTCAATTGTCCCCTTAAGGAGTTATTGCCCTTTATAGTCAATTTTTTACAATTTTCATAAATTTTGTAAATTTTTGTAAATTTTTACATAATATTTTCCACTGTAACTACTGGGCCAAGTTCATTATAGATAGAGATAATAGTAAGGAGCAAGAATGTTCAGTAAAGTAAGATCTACAAACACATCACCATCACCGAAACACAATTTTGTCATGAATCCATCTGTGTCCTTTGTTTGATATGCACATAGACCAAGGTGAGCGACACAGGCTCTTTAGAGCCTCTAGTTATTTTTAATTAATAAGATTTTTCAGATGTTCAATAGGCATTAGTCATCATTTGCAAAAAAACTTTCTTAAAAGAATTATAAAGCGGTTTCGAATAGTCCATCTTCTTTATTTTTTCTCTGACTTATCAGTCAACACTAAACTTTTTACCTTGAACTTGAGGGATACAATTTTGACAAATACAAACATTTGGTATCTATTGGCAATAAACTAATCAATAAAAGGTTTTAATTATATGGTTTTATAAAATTGTTTGGTCGAATAGCGTCATTTGTTACAAAAGTGAGTTGTATTTACATTTTTTATAAATATTATTGTTAAGAAGTGGATACTTCACACAATTGTTTTTTGTGCTCCTGTTTTTAACTCAGCTGGTAATTGATTTTTTGTCCAAATCGTATCGCTTGACAAGTTCAAGGTAAAAAGCGAATGTTGACTGATAAGGGAAAAAGTCTGAGAACCAGAAAAAATAAACAAGATGGATGACCTCAAACCGTTTTATAATTCTTTCGCCATTTTTTTTTGCAAATGATGACGACGGCCAGCAGAAACTCTGGTCTCTAAATATTTAAATGCTCATAAAAAGCTTTTTTAAAAGTAGTATTTTATTAAATATCAATATGACATCTTTGTGCCATGTTACATGTATCTATTCAGGCTTCTGGGAAGCCTTTAATTTTTTTAAAGATGGTCAATAACTAGTAATTAACTACATTTTATTTCATTTTAGCACTAAAGGAAAATATGGTGAAGGGGAAAAGAAAGAAAAGTTTACATACACCTTGGCTTTGGTTTTTGTACAGTGTGTAATAAATGCCCTTGCGGCAAAGATCAGTAAGTAGATTTTATGCAGGTTTTAGGTAATTTGTTTCATACATTTTATTTTGAAATAAGAAACGATGTTACTATTCTTAGGTTCAGTGCCCGGTGGCCTAGTGGTTTAAGTAGTTCATCTACTGCACCACAAGCCTATCAACAATGAGGTTGCGAGTTCGAACCCAGAACGTTGAAGGTGAGTTCGACTCCAATCATTATTGACTAGGATTGTCAGTTTTCCTGCTGAAGTGTGGTGGTTCTCTCCTGGGACTCAGGATTCCTCCACCAATAAAAACTGGACTTTCAGATATAGCTAGCAGTGCTGAAAGTGGGGTTAAAACACTAACAAAAATATAATTCTATTCTAAGGAATATTTATCATTACTGACCGCATGATCACTAATTAAAAAGACCAGGATGTTAGGTGAAAAAACATTGAGCATGATGAGTCAATGTATATTTTTGTGATTACAAGTACATGTATAGTAGGGAGTAGAAATGACATATTGTATATGAGTAACACTCAGTTAATAGCTTTAGACAAAACAGTATATTAATCTAAAGATTCTGTTATTAAACATTAAAATCTACACTGTTTAATTGCCTGTCTGTTATTTTATAGTATTATCAACATGGCATAAAGAAGAAGACCAAACACCAGTAAAAATGAATCTGTTTTGTTCCCTGTCCTACTTGGGAGCTATGTTGGCCAGTAATCAGGCTCTTCAACATGTCAGTTACCCAACACAGGTATGGTATTGTTACATGTGATTTTTAGCAGCTCAATGTTGCCATGTTACCAGGCTCTACAACATATCAGTTACCTAAAGAAAAAGGTTTTTATTCAGTTATGTTTTTCATCCTCCGATTTCATCACCGTTTCCCTATTAAAGTCAAATTTTTTTGATATCGCCCTCAGGGATGGAAATTATTTCAAGTGGTAGCCCACTGGCCAGCTAATGTTTTGGTGGTCTAGTGTAATATGACCATGCAAAAGTGTGGAAAAATTAGTAGCCGGCCTCTGCTAATTTCCATCTCTGACCCTGCATCTGTGTTTGTTTGATTGATTTTATGGTGATTTTTCTGGATTTGGGGATTCAAATTCTTGTTTTTTTTCTGACAATATCTATAAAAAGATATGATGAAAAAATAAAATATTGGAAAATTATTACTGATATGATTAAGTACAAAAAATGTCAATAACAAGTTTTATTTTCTGCTACAAAGACTATATATATTTGTATATAACAGTTATCTATAACAGCATACACAGTGCATGTTTAACTGATTCTTTTGCAAGGGGTCAGTTGTATTTAAATTAATAAAATGGCTCTATAAAAGACTGATAGTTGTTAAAATTAAAATTGACCAAGTGATTTTCATGTAAATATAAGTAAATGATACCCATGTCAAGGTTTTTCACTTATAAAACAACTTTGGTTTCATTATCTGACAAGTTTATTTTTAAAATGCATCTGTAATAATTACAATAGATTTTACCTGCATAAAAATTGATTGCATAAAAATTGATTAACATGTGCATGTTTATACTATAAATATATAACTTTTTAATGATTAAGAAGAAAGTTGTGTATACATAAGTTAGCCAACAACCCAACAACACAATTAAACAAAAGACATTTAGAGGTCAATACATAGTCTATTTAAAACACAGCTGCTTTTGCTGATTATGAGGTGATGTCATGTGACAAAGAACACATCTTTAAAAATACTTTTAATGTACATGTATCATCACTAACATATTGCTGGCAATGGTTGTTAGTTCCAGAATTTAAATGTTAGAATGAGAGAAAAAAAATGATTTTCATACTGAAGAATAATCTCAATATATCAGTCAATGACTGCATGATTTTTTTGTTGTTAATATTTTTAGAAAGCTGATACAACATGTATTAATTTAGAAGCATCAAAGTGCCTAAATATTCTTTTGTGGATGGGGATAAATTGGGATTTTATTTCTGATTGATTATTACAAAAAATTCATGTTTATATGGATATTGAAAATTCACATTGTGTTTTGTTTTTTAAAAGTTTCATTTAATCTTTTTAGGTACTTGGAAAATCAGCTAAACCTATACCAGTGTTAATTCTTGGTATTTTGCTTGCCAGGAAGAGGTATCCAGCATTGAAATTTCTATATGTACTTCTCATAGTTATTGGTGTAGCAATGTTTTTATATAAAGATCAGAATTCGTCTGGGAAGCCCTCAGTTTTATTTGGAATTGGAGAAATGCTTTTAGTAAGTTCAATTGAAGCAATAAAATCTATTGATTTAGGAAGATGGTTTCTTCATTACTGTTATATTGTGCTCACGGTTAAAGATGTTTCCTGCATTTATATGATCTGGAACAAAAGATGTGGGATAAACATTAATGAGTTACCAAACAACACAATGAAACTAGAAATGGCATTGAGAGGTCTATTAATTTGCTGTTTATGTTTTATCTTATTATAAACACAGTGGGATATATATGTGTGTAAACTATGTACAATAAATGATGAAATCATGGTACACATACTATATTCATTGTCTAAAAGTTGTGTTACAAATGACAGGTCACTTAAACAAAAGCGTAACAGATACTGGCTATTCATATGTAGGCTCTGGTTTATTGAAGGAAAGTACATGAGATTTAATTTAATTCAACAAAAGGTTTTGAACTTTCAATGATTAAGGTTCATGATTAAGGCACATAACTCACAATGAATTAAACTACATTTGAAAACATCATTAAAATCAGACATCTTAGTTTTAGATTCATCATATTTAGGTGTTGTGTGGTTCCTCTTCAAAATTTGCATTGTTTCTACCTTTAAAATCTTTTAAACTATACATGTAATGTCCTTTTACGCATGTAATTATTTACGGATTATTTAATGCAGATTAAATCAATACCAACTTTTTGAAAATCAGAGCAAATTTAGCAATTTTACATGGAGAATTGTAAAGGTGGTGCTTTGTTATACATTTTTCAATTTATAAATTTATAGCCCTGAAAATAGAGTAAATTATGTGATTTTTCTTAAGAAATGTATTTCAGCATACTCGAATATAACAGTACTAAAATGAAATAAAGTTATATAAATGTTATGATGATACATATTTAAGAGTATGCTTGATTTTGTTACAGCTTCTTTCTTTGACACTAGATGGAGTTACAGGGGCTTTACAAGAAAATATGAGGTCCAAACATAAAACAGGTCCATACACTATGATGTTCCAAATTAATTTGTGGTCAGTGGCATGGCTGTGTATAGGTGAGTATCTTTTTTTTAGTAAAGTTCAATAATTCTCTCTTCATATTGAAGTTTTGTGAAAAGCATACAGTAACACACAAGTCTGTCTGTCTGCTTGTCCTGAACACACTTATTGGTACCATAGAAGTCATGTCTTGCATCCAATCATCAAAACCAGCCAACTGTTAAATCATAGGAATCCATGTACTTTATAAAGTTTCAATGTCATATTTCTAAGGCCATTGTCACAACTTACTTTACTTCATTAAGTATTATATTGCATGCTTGGCAATTGGAAGTGTAACAATCCTATTCAATTTCATGGTCAGAGGTCTAAAGAGAGTGTTGCAATATAGCTGAGGAGATTAATAGTTTGTTTCAAATTGCTCAAATCTTGTGTACTATTTTCTCATCGAAAAGTGTTCAGGAAAGTTTGGACACATTTACATTAAAAAATCAACACTTATAAAACATTAAAGATCATAACCTGACTTTTGAGATTAAACTTGTAGGTCCTCCCATTATATTTTACCTTTTACGTGTAATCATACACTAAGTTTGTGCCATGGTTTCCCATGTGGAAAGGTCAAATGTCATTTATTTTCAAGATGAAAGGTTAAAGGTCATACTCATTTTATCTTATGCTTATCTGTATGTTAATTATGTATGATAATATCTTTGTTAATATACACTGTACGGTAAAGTGGATAATTTCGGTGGGGTTTATTTTCACTTATTTCATGATTATGATAATATTGCAAAAATAATCCTCTCACATAATGAAGATCAGACAAGAAAAACATGAAAATCAAACTCAACGAACAAGTTAGTTCCAAGAAATTAGGAAATTTTAAAGTATATAATGCATATAACCCATTCTACTGTAAGTAATTTGATTGCTGTCTCCTGTGCCCTTCATCTATTACTATACATATGTATAATAATTGGATTTTCAGTAATATTGTCCAAAAGATTAAAGTACATGAGTTGATAGTGTATTATGGATAAAAGGTTATCATTGAGATACATTAAATAATAAAATTATTGATCATGATATACATGTAGATACCTATCTTTGGAATGGAAACTGATATTGCACTATTGCTCTCTTTTTATAATAATTTTATTCCAATTATTTCATTTTGGTTTTCAGGTTTGATATTTACAGGAGAAGGATTGTCATTTCTAGGTTTTGTTGAAAGGCATCCTGGAGTAATTGTAAAAATGTTAACTTTTAGTTGTGCCAGTGCTTTAGGCCAGGTAAGTTTAAAAATTTGTAAAGGTTCCACGGAACCCAGTGTCTCTCCTACTTTTGCTGTTAATCACAGGCTCAACAAAAATGAGGAAAAAAATTTATAAAAATATTCCTCTCTATACTATCTTTTGATTGTAAGTAGCTTCTGTCCAAGTTTGGTAAAAATCCAGGAAAGTTTATGAATCTAATAAATGTTTTAAAAACTTAAACTGTAGACTGTATGTAATGTTAACTGGAAGAAAAACTAAGTCCATTTATAAGTAAAATACGGAAAAAATAGAACAAAATTTTAACAAAATTTCCTTCTAGATACTAGCTTTTAATCATAAACAAGCTTCTGTCCAAGTTTGGTACAAATCCAGGATAGTTTAAGAAAGTTGTTAAAATTTTAAAAACTTTAACCACAGAGTGAATGTAATGTTAACTGGCAGAAAAACTAAGTCCGTTTATAAGTAAAATACAGAAAAAATGGATTTTTATTTTACAAAATTTACTTCTGGATACTATCTTATGATCATAAACAAGCTTCTGTCCAAGTTTGGTACAAATCCAGGATAGTTTAAGAAAGTTATTAAAATTTCAAAAACTTTAACCACAGAGTGAATATTTGTGGACGCCGACGACGCCGACGGAATGTAGGATCGCTATGTCTCGCTTTTTCGACAAAAGTCGAAGGCTCGACAAAAATGATTGAGATGGTGTATTTCTATATCATATTTCCATTGTGCTAAATAATATTTGTGGGGTAGATTCATGCATTCTTTGAATTGTACCCCCATCTATACTTGGAGTATATCCTTGATAACCATCGTCTATTTGTCAGCCAATACTGTTGATCAATATGCATATGCAACTCCTTGATTTGTCACATGACATCATTCAGCTGCCATGACAAATAAGGATGATTTGTATCATCTTTTGTCTTCCATGTCATCTGTAACGTTTATAAATCTGCAACTACTTGAGAAATTGACATAATTCAACCAAACTTGCAGAGTTGTGCACCTGCAAATTTTTATTTATGATGAGTGTTGTTTGGAGTTTCCCATTCTGAAACATGGACTTTGGCATTTCTGCTTTGCTAGCGACACACATCATCCTTGAAAAGACTCACAAATTTTTCACACAAACAGAGATTTCTTTATATTTGATATAAAAAAAATTCCACAGGTAATTTAAAGATAAATTAGTCCTTTTACCTCACTTACCTACAGATGCTGGTATATTTTAAAAATATTTCTGGCTTTTTTTTTTCAGATGTTCATATTCATGACAGTGACATCATTTGGACCATTAACATGTTCTATCATAACTACAACACGCAAATTCTTTACAATTCTTGCATCAGTTATTTTTTTCCAAAATCCAATGAACAATAGACAGTGGGTTGGAACTGCTATGGTGTTTACAGGACTTGGTTTAGACAGTGCATATGGAAAGGAAAAGAAAGAAAAGAAAGATAAAAGATAATGATTGTTAATGTGTAGATTTTTATTTGTATGTTATGCTTGTTGATGGTTAGAATTGCTGTTTAATGTTTGCTTGTATATTTTATTCATTTGATGGGATACTGCAGTTTTTATAGGATAAAACAGAAATCAACATTTTGTAAGTCCACCTGGTATTATTTTTTATATATTTAACAATTGTGATGTATGTAGAATATATGAAGTAAAAAGTGAAAAAAAATATTTCAAATGCAGTAGATTATGAGGATTTTCAGACAGATTTCACAGGTTTCTTTTAAGAGTGACATTACAGTATAATTGCGGGTAAATTAATGATTTAAATGCTCAACTTTATACACAAATGATGGCTGCATTGGTAGGAACATATGATGAAATGTGAGAATTTATATTTTCCTGATAGAAAAAAAAACATTTGTGCATCCACTTTGAATCTTAACAGTTCCTATAAAATGATAGATGATTATCATCTTCTGTGTTCTTGTTTAAAAAATATTCTAGACTCAAATTTTTTATATTGTTTAATTATCTCGAAACAGTCAGTTTTTTACCGCAAGATGGTTTGCACCAGTTAGTAAGAATATTTGGGACCAATATTGAAGAAATGGCATTAAATGAACAAAATCAAGCATACCAGACCAGTGGCGGATCCAGAAATTTTTATAAGGGGGTGCCCACTGACTGCCATTAGAGGGGCCCGCTTAGTCATGCTTCAGTGATTCCCTAAATAACCAAATTTTTCCCACAAAAGAGGGGGCCCAGGCACCCTGCCCCCTCCCCCCCACCCACCCACCCCATCCTAAATCCACCTCTGCAGACATCTTTACCATAACAGTTTGTAATAGGGATTGATACGATTTACAGATTAGAGAATATCAGGCAAAAAAAATAAGGAATAGAGAAAAATGGATCAACAAATAGAGAAAATGGCCTAAAAAATGAAAGAATACAGAAACGAAGACCCCATTCAGACCCTCATTCAATAAAGACATAAGACTCATTTCACAAAAAAATATTACAAGAAAAAGGACTTAAAGTGTAAAAGTAAAATTAAAGCTACACTTATGGTATACACATTTGTATAGTTTTGATGACTATGTTGACTTCTAGATGACATTTTTCTTCTTTGTGTTGTTGGGTTGCTGTTTCATTGATGTATACTACCATTTCTGTCATTTTGTCTAAAATATTTTGATTGGAGCAAATTATATAAAAGATATACATTGTACCAAAACAAGACAGCATGACTACATTAAAATTATTATTGATAAATTCATATTTTTTAATGTTTATTAAATATTTTAACTTGTCACAATTTTGCTAAAACAATCGATCAAGTATACTAACAACACCCAGTAAGTCATATATTTTATTACATATACAAATTTTTGCATTAACTATCATCATATTTGGTGAATTTTTTTTATACACAATTTAATACACTAACTTTTTTATGTTGTTTCTGTTGATAAGCAGACATCTTTATTGTTGAACTAACCTTTCCTAGAAGTGTTTTAGACTTTTCTTTCTCATACTCATTACAACACTAAAGTAAGCTGCTTCAGGAATACAGATCAAACTAGAAACATTTGAGTCCTAAATAAAATTATTAGAATTAAGGTAATCAATTAATTTTAACATATATATTGTGCAAAAGTCAGAATATAAATTTAGATTGTTATAATTATTTTTTGTGATTAATCTGAATTTAAGATTGTTACCAACGAGATTTAAAGTGTCTTATCAGGTAGAACAGCACACTGCAATATAAATTTGATTGTACATACCTACCATCAGATTAACAAAACTCCTCAAGGGTAATAACTCTTTATGTACTCTCCTTTTATCACCCAGGCAAATAATCAGCTGATTTAACATGTAAAAGTACATTTTCAATGATTACTTCATAGATGGTTAAATTAGAATACATATTCATATTTTGTACAGTTTGCAAAATTTTATTGGTGTCCATGGCTTTTTCTAACAATCAGTAGCTTGCTAACTTTTTAATGTCTTTGTTATTTTTTTATTTATTCAACTGTCTGTTAAAAGCCATGGGATAGTTGTTCCGTTAATATATTGAAACATTAAACACAAAATCGTCCTACATCCTCTGATGACCAATTGTATTAGTAAATGATTGTATGCATTTTTGTCAGTATAGTCTGTCAATGATTTAAAAAAAAACAACCATACATCACATAAAACATGAAAGGAAGATGTGTTGAAAAACTGATGATTTGTGTTATAAATTAAACACTTGTCATTGATGCCTTACATTTCAAAGTTGCTTCTACTAAAATTTTCATTTCAAAGCACATGATTTAAAAAAAATCTTATTAAAGAATATCAACAGAGGAGGTAGACTGACATGGATATACTTTCATTTTGTTGATAAAAAACTGTTTTGACCAATATGAAAAGGATACAATTGTTTTATTATATATTATTTATAGCTATAATGTAAATTAATATCATATGTTTTTGAGGCTTGTCAGTGGTTAGAGATCAGTTTCATATTAATTGTTGTTTGAATCATTCCAGTAGAAATATAAATAATTGTGTGAAATCATTGAAATATATTTATATTATTGAATTTGCAGCTTCATCAGTTACTAAAGGAATCAAATTAATTGATATAATATTGAAATCTTGTATCTTATATCTCACTTTTTTTTCTTTTTAATCAAACATAAATGTTGAAATAATGAATATGGATAAAGGAAATTATGATACTTTAAAGATAACGGCCAGGGATTAGCATTACTTTTCTTTGTTTATTTTAAAAATAAACAATCAGAGTCATTTACATTGTGCGAAGGTTTTTGTTATTAAAGTATCTTGTCACATTGTTTAAATGTATTACAAAGGAATTTTGTTATTAAGAACTGGAAGACTAATTGTATATATGGTCATAGCTTTTTTATTCAGCAAGTTCCTTGATTTTCATGGTTTTTCTTTAAGGATCTGATCATGATTTTGTAAAAACTGAAAATAAGAAAAGTAGTTTGCATAAATTTGGTAAACCTCAAATGGAAAACCATAAGAAATTAAATTGAGGTATTAGAAAACACTTTATGATTTGTCTGTGATTAGATACTAAAGAATCAAAGACTCTCTGTATAGAATTCTTCATACTATATGTTAGTAAAATAAATGATAAGATCTTTTAATTCCTTTAACACTGACCATTTATATGAGGAAGAATCTCCATTCTCATAAATTGAATAAATACAGAGCATTTCTTTTTATATTGTAGGTACTTATTAATTTTTATCAGGCATTAATTGTTATGCAAAAAACATTCATGGCTCCATACAAATTTTTGGATGTGTTATAATCTGCAATCATATATTTGTACATGGAAATTATTTTAAATACTAAAATAGATATATTTACTGCCATTTATTTCATAATTTCATTATCAGTTTTTGTGGTAAATTGTTCATTTGTATTGTTGTATGTTTTCATGAAATCTGGTCAGTTGTTATAAAAAAGATGTAAGGAGTTAAATTAATTATCAAAACAAAAGTCACTTCTTTTTAAACAATATACCATGTAACAGATTTTAAATCAGAACTACAATATGTAAATAGATCAAATAAATGACAAGTATATGTATGTGCAGTCTTCAAAAGTTACTAGAGGTCTATTATGAAAATTTTTTGAATTTTGTTTATTTGTTTTAAAAGTAAAGAGAATGGTAAGTTTGTGTAAGTAATACCGTATAGCGGGTTATTTTCACGGGTGTAAAATTTCGCGATTTAGGGACAACAAAGTATACGAAAAATTTTGGCGGATTCATTAATCCCTATTAAAAATTTTGGCGATACTGAAATGGTTGCAGTTAAAAAGTTGTAAAAATTGACAAGAGATAGAGAGATAAGATAAATAATAGTTTATTTAAGTGTCACATATTGATCTATAATAAAAGTATCTATGTTATGGTTAAATGATTGTTTTACCTGCATGACGTCGTTATATTTATTGATTCTATTTTGATACAGTTAATCAATAGAATACCGGTACTTAGATATTTGTCACAGGTGTACAAACATCTGGTAAATCTTACAGTTGATAAGTTACGAAATTGACCGGACCTTTGATGTACTAATTAGATCATAAAATTATCATGAGTGACTTTTGATCATATATGATTTGACACTAATTAATAAGTATAAAATACCTCACAGAATACCTTACACTCTAATATTATTAATTATTTTATTATGTAACCAATTAACTAATTAACACCTGACAGCCTGGGAACAATGGCCTTTCGCATTTATGTTGGTTAAATTAACACAAACCATTATTGATTCGACGAACGCGAAAAATAGATAGTTTATCAAACGCTTTAGCTATTAGAAAGTACCGACGTACGCATAAATTTTCGCGGAATTTAATTTCGCGATTTCCCCTTATCCGCCAAAATAAGCGAAAATAAATAACCCGCTATACGGTATTGCTTTTATTTTTTTGAACAACTTATCATTTTTACTGCATTGAAATTGTATAACTAGTTAAACAATCAAACTAGAATTAAATCATAGTATCTTGTAGATACTGTCTAGGTAGTATCTTGTAGGTACGGTCAAGGTAGTATCTTGAAGGTACGGACTAGGTAGTAACTTGTAGGCACGGTCTAGGTAGTATCTTATAGGTACGGTCTAGGTAGTATCTTTTAGGTACGGTCTAGGTAGTATCTTGTAGGCATGGTCTAGGTAGTATCTTGTAGGTACGGACTAGGTAGTAACTTGTAGGCACGGCCTAGGTAGTATCTTGTATCTTGTAGGTACTGTCTAGGTAGTATCTTGTAGGTACGGTCTAGGTAGTATCTTGTAGGTACAGTCTAGGTAGTATCTTGTAGGTACGGTCTAGGTAGTATCATGTAGGTACGGTCTAGGTAGTATCTTGTAGGTACAGTCTAGGTAGTATCTTGTAGGTGCTGTCTAGGTAGTATCTTGTAGGTACAGTCTAGGTAGTATCTTGTAGGTACTGTCTAGGTAGTATCTTGTAGGTACAGTCTAGGTAGTATCTTGTAGGTACAGTCTAGGTAGTGTCTTGTAGGTACAGTCTAGGTATTGTCTTGTAGGTACGGTCTAGGTAGTATCTTGTAGGCACGGTCTAGGTAATATCTTGTAGGTACGGTCTAGGTAGTATCTTGTAGGTACGGTCTAGGTAGTATCTTGTAGGTACGGTCTAGGTAGTATCTTGTAGGCACAGTCTAGGTAGTATCTTGTATCTTGTAGGCACAGTCTAGGTAGTATCTTGTAGGCACAGTCTAGGTAGTATCTTGTAGGTACTGTCTAGGTGGTATCTTGTAGGTACGGTTTAGGTAGTATCATGTTGGTACGGTCTAGGTAGTATCTTGTAGGTACAGTCTAGGTAGTATCTTGTAGGTACTGTCTAGGTAGTATCTTGTAGGTACAGTCTAGGTAGTATCTTGTAGGTACAGTCTAGGTATTGTCTTGTAGGTACAGTCTAGGTAGTATCTTGTAGGCACGGTCTAGGTAATATCTTGTAGGTACGGTCTAGGTAGTATCTTGTAGGTACTGTCTAGTTAGTTATGCAATGCTTTATTTATTTTGCAACTGTAATGTTGTGGATATATGTGTTGACAAATTGAAAGGGAATAAATATTTTTCTGCAAATTTTATTTTTATGCTTGTACATGTTAAGTGCAAGAATAAGCCAGCTAATTCTGAAGCTCCTGAAACAATTGACAAGATGATTTATGCCAAATTGATAAGAAACATTAAATTTAGTTGTATTGATTGAGTGAAATTTGACATGAATGTCACTGTGAAAAATACTTTTTTTTGGTCATGTGAATTTCTTACGAGAAGTAATAGGATAACTTTATTCAGTATATGGGTTCCTTGCAAGTTCTACATGTCCACCAGACAGTATTCACCTGATCTCGACCTCATTCCAAGGATCCGTGATCAAGGTTTAGTTTATGTAGTCAAGTCCGTATCTCCAATACTATTAGCAATAGGTCAACTATATTTGGTGTATGGAATGATTGTAACGTATACATGTCTTACTGATAGGTTTTATCTGACCATGACCTCATTTTCATGGTTCATTGGTCAATGTTATTGTTTTCTGATTTTGTTTAGTCAGATACTATAAGCAAAAGTTCAACTATATTTGGTGTATAGAATGATTGTAGTGTGTATATGTCCGTCTGGTAGGATTCATCAGACCAGAAATTTTGAAAAGCATCATATTTTCATGGTTCATTGGTCAATATTCAGTTTTGTGATTAGGTATGTTTCTCGGATACATAAGCAATAGGTTAACTATAATTTGTGTATGGTATACATGTTTGTCTGGCAGGGTTCATCTGACCTTGACTTCATTAACATTGATCATTGATAATGTTAATTTTATTTTTAACTAGAGTAAAACCTTTACATTACACACTATCAACATACATTCAGTTATGATTAGTAAAGCAGGCGAGACATTTCAGAGTGTGCACTCTTGTTCTGAGATCTAATAAGTTTGATATCCCTCTACTCAATAGCTACAATTTTCCCATGCAGCATCGTAAATCAACAGTGGTCAACTGAACTGTCCTAAGCATAAAGAATATCCTTCTTTACAAAAGGAGTATCTATATTGGTATTTTAGCATCATTTTATCAATACTAAGGAACATTATTAAATAAAGGAATCAATGCTATCAACATCAGCAAAGTTCTTCATCACAAAGAGGTAACAATTAAAATTCCACTTTATTTTCAAAAACATTATGTTCATATTGTATCCTTTAGTCTCACTAAAACCATTGCCCATAAAGTATTGAACTATAAGCAAGCATTGCAAGACCTTGATTTAGAAGAATATCTAAAAAAAATTCCTCTGACATGTGATTGTTCCCATTTGCCCTATATTTACAGCCTCTCTGGCCATGTTATTACTGGGGATCTATACATAATTCAACATGAACATCTCCGAAAGGTTATATATCATGGTCCTATGTTCAAAGAACCCCAAAGCATCAATTTGAACCATTACTTCAAAAATAATTATGGATTCCATTGAGGGATACGACAGAACATGGGCTAAGCTAGAAGAAATTGAACTGGACACTTTGTCAGAATAGGTTAAAACAATCCTGTCTCGGATAAAATGTTGAATCCAAAAGTTGAAAAACTCTGTGAATGATCAACCAAAGTCTGTTTTCAGAGACAAAGAAGTTGTGAAATGTCTATCATCTCTTCACGATAAATATGTTGTTGTTCCTGCGGACAAAGCCTCAATTAATATTGTTTTTGTATGTAAATCGTACTACTACGAGTGTCTTGTAAAAGAATTAGGAATAAATGAGCACTCAGGTAATCCCACATACAAAAACATATCATTTGACAAGGATAAGATTTTGGCGAATCATAAGTCCTTCATGGCTTCAAAGAACAATGATTCAATTACATTGAACAGGAAATCTGAGGACTTGCCTTGTTTGTATTGGATACCTAAGCTTCGCAAAATTCCGTACAAACAATGGTATATTGCCGGCTCATCTGCATGTTTTACAAAGGAATTGTGCATTAGATTGACAAAAATTTTGTTTGCAGTGAAAGAATGTCTTCATAAATACTGTGAAACTGTTTACTCGCGTAATGGTATTAACCATATGTGGATTCTTAAAAACTCTAAGAGAACTTCTGGATAATTTTAAATCTTGATATTTCTCCGACATTAATTCTATCAAAATCTTTGATTTTTCAACCCTTTATACCACCATTCTCCATGTGAAATTGAAAAATCGTCTAATAGAACTTATCCACAATGCTTTTCAGTATAAATATGGTAGCATACGCTATAAATTAATTGGCAAAAGGCATATTTTGTTAATAGTGAACATTAAGGTAAAGCATGCTACCGTACCTTGACCTATAATGGTTTACTTTTATAAATTGTATCTTGGATGGAGAGTTGTCTCATTGGCACTCATACCACATCTTCCTATATCTATACACCGAGAAACAAGTGATCAGTATGCTGGAGTTTCTTATTGACAGCGTATTTGTTGAATTTGGAGGTAGATTTTTTCAACAAATTGTCGGTATTCATATGGGAACGAACTGTGCGCCTCTCCTTGCCGACCTCTTCTTATTTTCGTATCGAGTAGGAGTTCCTTCAGACATTTGTCAAAAACAGGAAAATCAATGAAGCCAGATCATTTAAGTTCACATTCAGATATATTGATGATGCTCTTTCCATCATTAATAATCCAAACTTTTCTGATTGGTTTCCGTTAATATATCCTTCAGAGCTAGAAACAACAGACACAGCTTCACTTAGACTTATACCTCGAATTTGACATAAGCGGTCATCTCAGTACCAGAATCTGACAGACGAGACGATTTTGATTTTGAAATTATAAATTTCCCTCACCTTAGCAGCAAAATACCAACTTCACATGCATATGGGATATACATTTCCCAACTCATTCGGTACTCAAGAGCTTGCACCTGCTACTCAGACGTTATAAAACGTCACCAGTGTCTGAGCAGAAAGTTGATGAACCAGGGTTTTGTCAAAGAACGTCTCATCTTTTTTCTAAAAAAAGTTTATCGGAAGATACCATGATCTTATTGATAAATATTCTGTATCAACTTCACATATAATACATGATGGTCTTGAAGTATAGATTCTAGGTACTGACATTGTTTATCATCTTGTTGCGTTTTATAGTGTTCTTTTTATTTGTCTTTGTATATTTTTAACCTTTACTGTTAGTTTAATTTTGGTAATATCCTTTTGGCGTGGCTCTGTATTTATACATCCCACCATTGTGTTATTTTGCTTCTGTCATTTTTTGTATTCTTGTTCTTCATTTTCGTTTATGTACTTTTATATAGAGTGTCTACATGCCATTTTGTTTTTCTTTGTTGACATAGATGTTTGTTTTAAAGTGATTAAGATTATAACACAATGTTCACTGCTGTACCCCCAATTTTTGACATTTTACCTATTATGTTTGTTTGTTTTGCCCACACATTATTGGCAATATAATGGAATTCTATGCGACTGCCATACAAGTGAAAGGTTTAGCTAGCCAAAAGCCAGATTTAATCCACCATTTTCTACATAAGGAAATGCCTGTGCCAAGTCAGGAATATGACAGTTGTTTTCCATTCGTTTGATGTGTTTGAGCTTTTGATTTGGCCATTTAATAAGGGACTTTCCGATTTGAATTTTCCTTGGAGTTCGGTATTTTTGTTATTTTACTTTTCCCTATTTGTTTTAAATAGGAGGTTGAGGTTTTTGATACATTTAGTATACCATTCAGTCATGTTACATGCGAAATGATACGAAATGATTTAAACCCATTTTTTATTTAACGATCTCAAAATACACAAGTTAAATTGTCCATGACAATTATGCTTTTGGTTGTTTTTATTCTTGTTCATCAAAAGAAACGTGCACATTATGAAGGCGTTCAATAATTTGGATTTTTTAATCATTCATTTGGCATTTTTTAGTTGTTGATAGAGCATTGTTTCGCTTTATTTTGTCTTTAAAGAGGATACATACTATAGAAATGTCACGCCTACAGCTATTTACTTCAAATAGACAGAAAACTTGATAAATAACAATCTCTTTAATGCTTTGCATACTAGTTCATGAAAAATTGAAACTGAAACAAGTCGGTACACATGACAGGATTGATAGATTCGGTTTACCTAATACAATTTGGGATGGAAAACATTGCTTACCTCATTGAAATAAGCTTTAAAGTACGAAAATATTACTTCAGCATCACCGAAGAGACATTAATTGTCAAAATGCGCATCTGGTGCATAAAAATAGTAACCGTTTATGTGATGTGAAATATGTTAGGTGAACGAAAATATGACTGTATCGAAACATTCTTACTTGGATTACGCATTTCAAATTATTTTAACCTCTGAACATTTAAAACCATTATTGAAAACAAAGTGAGAGATTATCATATGTAAATCCAGATTAAGTAAGCATAAACAACAATGGCTTCCAAATAAAGGTAATAATCATAAATATTTTTTACTTTAATGTTTTCTTTTGGAAACTAAATAATGATTTATAAACCGTATGGTGCCAACTGAAACCGTTAAATGTTTGCTTAAATCCAATATTTCTCAGTATTCTTAACATTGTCAGCAATGAAGCGTCGAATTAAGTTGCTTTTGTTTTTTTCTAACTTACACATAAATATAGAATTATAAAACGGTACGACTGCATGCTGTTAACAATTATAACAAGATGTATAAGTAGTAGTGCAAAAATACGGGTTTGTTCTATTTACTCTTTTGCAGGTTGGTAACATATTATCATAAAATAAGGAGATGTGATATGATTGCCAATGAGACAACTATCCATAAGGGTCTAAATGATGTGGATTTAAGCAACTGTATGTTACTGTAGGGCCTTCAACAATGACCAAACCATACCGTATATCACTTATAAAAGAGCCCGAATAACCAAAATGTGAAACAATTCAAACAAAAAACAAAACCACGACCTTATTTATTACAAAACAATAAACGGAAAACAAATATGATAGACAGCAACCAACGACAATTAAGCTCTGAATACATGGCCCTGACTTGGGACAGACACACGTTTAATGTGATTGTGTTTGATGTATGTGTGTGCTCAACTCTTTTATCTTTAACTTGGCCAGTGGTGTTACAGCACAACATAGGAACACACTGTAAAAATCAGTTGTAAATGAATTGACTCAACGGATAAGTTAGAACAACAAACCAATAAAATAAAAACAAAAGACAAACAGCGCCGATCTAAGAGTACTCGCGTTTACTAAAAGCTAATTTAAAATCAAATAGTAACACTATTGGATTTTTACAGATGGACTCTAAACATGGGATGTTCATCAACAAAAGAAATCGACGATTCGCAGATATGGACTAATATACACTCCCAATTACCCTCACAATCGACCAGGGAAAGAGCAAATGCAGCAGACAGGTTAAAGCAATCAAATGTAGTAGGCGTAAAAGGAAAAAGGAGTAAAACCTATTTTGAACCATGTCTATTATATGTTGATGAGCCAGGTCATAAAAACTATCACTTGAATGATCTAGGTTTGTACGAACAGGATATCGAGTTTACCTCAAGAAGAAAAACTTCTAATCATCAAAAACGTCCCAAATGTTCTGGACTATGGCTAGATGACTCTTTTGATGAACCAAAACTGGTCCTAAAGGATGAAGAAGTTAAACTGCTTAGACCAAAGGTAATTATTTTGCTCCTTAAAGTCCAGTCACATGGAAGTGTTATCTTCATTACGTAACTCATGATTTATAATGAAATTGCTTTCCACACATCTTTCTCTACGCAGAAAATATAAAGATTGGGAAACACGATCCAATCCCAGCAATAGCAATGGTAAACTCAGTATCACCCGTAAAACTGTAGTAACAATTATTTTGATATGAAGGATTATTCGAAACGTTGACTCAATAGTAGTTTATTTAATAAATATAGAGAACTCTCAATTCACATAAACTTTAATCAAAAGAAAAACAACATTTTACACATCAGAACTTTTATGGATATGCCCTTCAAAAAGAGGCTGGAGATCCCAAAGGGATACACAAACTCATAAGTCGAATACAATATGGCATTGCCATGGCAAAAAACAATAAGTAACGAAAAGACAAACAACAGTCTTCAAAACCCAACATAGAAAACTAAAGACTAAACAACACGAACACAAGTTATGATATCACGAGCTCCCGAAGGGTAAGCATATCCTGTTCCACGCCTGCACCAGCCGTCGTGTCGCCAATGTAAGAACAAAGTTCGGTCATACTAGTAAGCAGTCTCATTTGGTGATGTCACATTCGAGGAAAAGAGGACAGAATTGTGGTTACGACAACTGGAACATAGCCGTCGTCATCAATGAAATAGATAATCTATAACGGTCAACCAACTAGTGATGGCGTCTGTAAAATTCTTGAAGGAATGACTTCGACTTTACTACTTTGAACCCAAGGTTTAAGCAGCAACATCCAACGTCATACAACTTCATATGCTAAAGGTGTTAAATCCTTGAATCAATATTTTAGTGAACTCGGAACGATTTAAAGCATGGTATATTGTATGATACCGCCATCTACACTGATTTCGCGTGAGTTTCTCGAGAATCTCATGTGAAACTCATGTGAATTGCACGTGAAAATCACATGACTTTTTTAAATCAAAATTCACGTGAATTTTCAAAATAAAGTAATTTATATAACATCTAAATTTTCAAAGTTAATTAAAATCATCAAAAACCCTTTTTTTTATTTTGTAAAATTCACGTGAAATTCGTGTGAAAAATTTCACTTGAGATTCACGTGAAAAATTTCACTTGAGATTCACGTGAAAATTTTCACATAAGTTTCACGTATAAGCTAGTTTGAGGTGCATTTCACGTGAGATTCACGTGAGCAAGATTTGCCTGTGTAGATGTCTTTCGGTTTTTAGGATTATTGGGTTGCTGTCTCATTGAGGTATTCCCCACGCCTCTTGTTTATTCATGATAATTTTGTTCTATTGAATTTTTGTAAAAGTCAATTTAAAATTGCATTATTTTAAGCGTAAATGTAATCAATGTTTTGCACCTTTTAAGGGTACAAAAAAATCCTGTTCCATTAAAAATAATTAGACAGCTTGAAGCAGATCCAATCCTCAACCATTTTCGAAAACTGTGTGTAAAAGGCAACGATGTTTAAAATCTAAAGCATGTACCTGCCATTTTGGCCAATCTGTCAGACCTATTGAAAATAATACCATAAGAATCCAGACGATTGATTGATTGTTAGTTTCTTAAGTTCATATTGATCTACAGTCAGATATTCTATCGTTTTGTTCATTAAGGAATATATTTTAAATTAGGAATGACTGATATTATTTGCATAATCAGTCAAATATATGTGTCACAAAAATGAATTAACAAATATACAATTAAGAAGATATAAACATGACTGGACATTCTTTTTGCAGGAAATTCATCCAAAAGCGTGTTTTCTAGTTGATTTAACAGAAGAAAGAAACTGTGATACAATTAATACAGAATGCAATAATTTCATGGTCAATGTTTTATTACTAGCAACAGATTCATTTTTATTACAAAGAGTAAGTTAGTGTAACTTCATCACCATTATCATATTGAAAAAAGATTAAAAAAAATTAACTGGACCTCCGGTCTTTTACACTTCTCTAGTTTCTGTTGTTCTACCTACGTACAAAGGTAAAATATAAAAAAAAAGCGGAAAATAAAATAACGTAAGACGAATACGGTCAGATCAAAAAATAAAAAGAGACGAAAAGACAAACAAATCAACACTACACAGGAAACATATGAAAAGTTTGTGCAACACGAATCTCACTTACAAACAAGACTGAAAAGAGTTGCACCGTATGAATCAATTTTGAGACTTGTTTTTATGCACATCATCCCATATTTCATTTAACCCGCAGATTTCGCACGACAAATAAAAATGAAAACTAAACAGCAATAATTATTTGCTTTTTTATTGTTGTACTGCGAAATTTTTAATTCAGACACTCCCTGACGACTACAAGAGCACAAAGAAATACGATGGTATATTCCACTGTCGGTTTTGCAAATTTGGAATCTGGGAAGATGTTTACATTGATGACAGACTTCCTGTTGGTGACGACGGATTAATATATGGAAGTTCGTCAAATGAATATACTGAAATGTGGATTCCATTGTTAGAAAAGGCGTATGCAAAGTAATTATCTTCTGCTTCAATGAAATTTCAAAATTTTGATTGATTGATTGTTGGTTGTTTAACGTCCAGTGGCAAATATTTCATGCATGTTCAGGACGATTAAAATTTTGAGCATGGAAAACACTATTTTTTAAAAAGTTTAGGTTTTATTTTTTCCTTTCATCGCAGACCTCGTAAGAAACAAAAATGAAGATGACCAATACAAATTGTCAAACATTAGTTCACAAAACATTACACACAAAACTAAAGACGCAATGGACTTCGCTGATCCGAAATGGTAGAGTGTCTCTTCTTCACTAATGACCTCCTCATGAGAATAAAGCATTAAGTTGTATATCGTGAACAAAAAAATGAAGACAGAAGTGTGACTATCACAATAGACCATGATCACCTGTCTCACAGGTATGTGTGATGCTGGAGTGATTTTCTCTTTCGAAGAGGTGACTTCAGCTTAAATATTTTCCCATTGGTACAGAATCTGTTTTAAAGTTTTGACATATACTGTTCAGTTGTATCTCCCACAGATTCGGTGGGACTTATGAAGCAATAAGAACGAGGAGGTTTCTTGAAGATTTCAGAACATTAACCGGTGGTACTGGAGTAGAAATAAAGTTATCTGATAGAAAGTTTTACCCGGATTATATTGGAAACAAGATTGATCTTGCTCTGCAACAAGGATCATGGGTAGTCTGCTCTGTGTCAGTAAGTATCTGATCTCAGCAAAATTTTAATTACATATAACTGTCCATGGCATAAATGTAGACTTGCTATGATATATAGCGGAGAACATGTTATTTTTTTTCAGGTATATAAGGTTCAGCTTAATAGATCTTGTAATTCTGTTGTGAAACGTAAAGTGGGAACATTTGGAAAATAGTTGAACCACTCTTTAATATCTCTTTGAATAAATATTTTCCAAAACTATAAATAAAAACTGAATTTCTGATAAAAGGTTGCATGTCTATTTCAATAGCAGTTAAAACACCAAATCGAAATTAAGACCATGCAATGAAAGTTTTTTTTTAACGTTAGTCCCTATTATCGTATCCTTCTGTTTATGGACATTTTCGTTCTATTAATTTTGACAATTTTTTACGATAAAAAAATATTTCTTACGCACCCATTTATAAGTTAAGGATGCCACTCAACGTGATTAAAACTCCTGAAAGTATTCTCATTTTTCTATGTTTTTGTCAAGTTTTCTATTTTGCTTCGGATAATAGAAAATAACTGAAAAACATGGTGTTTTTTTAATATATATAAGGTTAAGAAAGAAAACTTGACCAGGTTTTGGACATCAATCCAAAATTGGAACCAACCATTCTAAAATCAAAATTTTATTTTTTGTTATTTGCCTGTCGAAAAAAGAACAGTTTAAACTAAGAAACCAAAAAATACACTATTAATTGGATTTACTATGCAACTGTGGCCCGTGTTTATTTAACGTAAAAGGTAATGACTTGTGTATTTTACTATAAAGCAAGGAAAATATTCTATATTTGTATGGAGGAGTATATTTATTAAGTCTGGAATATCGATAATGAATCGTAGTCTTTTTGTCTTTGAATTGAAGAATTCTTCAAAAGCTTGCTGTACTTGGTATTCTGTACTTCATTTAAAAGATTGAATTAATAAACATTAGCTCCTGTGAAAGACCCGATAGAATACTTGAAAAATAGAGAAATATTTGTCTGTTACCAAGCCGTTGAGGGAAAGTAAGTAGTTACCCCACAAATCAAATTAAATCACGAAATTACATGTCATGTTTTAATATTAATATCTTTCATAAATTATAAATTATAATCGTCGTTTAAGAGCTACTTACATTTCCTACTGAATAAAATTTAGACTGCGAAAACCACAACAACTTATGCATCTCTTGATGCAACCTGACGCAATTTGATTTGATAATTTGACTTTACTATCCCATTTTTCACAAGTAGTCATTCCTCTAACTCAAAGACAGATTGAAATGGTTAGTCAAACCTTGTTTACAAAATTAATGGCTAACGGAAATCATTGATTTGTTCCAGGAAGGGCAATCTCATACATCGTGAAAACCCCTCTGATCTGAACTTGAAAAAGTCTCAGGCAGAATCCGGATGATTGATTTTTTTTTATTGATAACATATGTATTACATTTTTATGATTGGTTATCAAACAGAAAGTGGACTTCCCTATGGAAATTTAATGTACTCCTATTCTCAACGAGTAGTTTTAATTCGCATGAAGCGGCTTCTAAATAAGAAATTCATCAAATTGAATTTTATTTAAATGACTTAACAAATACAGCTGTATGATATTTCAAAATCGACGGTTTAAAAAGGCCTGGTGCGACCTTTAACACATAAAGGATTAATTCAATTATTAATGTGAACTTTCCATTTTTCTGTTGCAACATTTCAGAAGCAAGGCACATAGAGTATATATTTCCCTTTCCACACGATATTTCAACAGCAACACACGTTATGTTGCTCACGGCAGTTAAAAATCAGAAGGTATGTCACATTCGGTGATATTTTAAATTCGGTAATGAGGACGGGTTTTTGTTATATCCGTGGTCACCTGTGACGCAGCTATTACATAATGGTCCACCAAGTCCTGATGACGTCCGTACAAGTTTCGAAAAGATTAATTTAAATTTACCATGCATTAGGAACACCTGGTGCATTATCTTTCATGTAATCAGCAACCCTCTATCAAGAATTATGATATGGAACACAAGTCCTCGAATATAAAATCAACTGGAAAATACTTATCTTGCTACATAGAAATGAAAATTCACAATTAGAAAATTAAAATCATCTCTTTTGCTGTATTTGTTAGTTCTCAGCCGACCCTTATGGTGAAAATAAAGATTTATGTCACGACATGGTGCAGATGTCACTGTATATGAAAATATATAGTTTCGTACGCCTGAAGGGTGTATAAGACCTAAAAACGTGAGGATATATATGACTAAATGGAACCTACAAAGTAGCCAAATTTATCAACTTTGCCTGAGGGAGTTGGAACCTTAGTTTTTTTTTAAATAATTGATTAATTGAACTGTGATATTCTATGGGAAAGATGCAATCAACATAAACGCACAACTTAATATCCAAACGTTGAATTTTTCATCGAGAGAAATATCATCTATATAGTGGAACTTGAAGCAAACGGGTATTGCTTGCCCATTATTCATTCTTTTTAGAAGCCCCTGTGTGAGGTTTGTTTAATGTTAGAGGAATTCAATTGTAAATAAAGGCAACAGTAGTATATCGCTGTTTTAAAAAACATGCCCACCAAACATGACACATATGTTATCAATAAAAATCAAGCATCTTGATGATTTCAGTTTCAGACAAAATGTTTTGAATTAGAGTGATTATTTTTATATGAAAATACGAATACGAATACTTTATTAAACCAATCATTGGTCCACAAAGGGCATGATTCTTATTTGTGTGAGGTGCTTTCTAGTTTCAAAATTCTTTACAACATTTGATAAGCCTCTTTTTTGAAAATATTTCTTAAATTTGAAATAATTTCGTAATTTACCCTTTTCACTGTAGCATTCTGTAAAAGATTATCTTTCCAAAAATTACCTTTTAATTAAAACATCTTTAATTCGCATAATATTGAGATTATTAATATTTACATTTAGCTGTTTTGCAATAAAAACAATAAAAAGAATACCATGTTTGTATACCATTCTGGTGCATATAAAAAAGTAAAATAACAAAAATACCGAACTCTAGGGAATGCTAACTGTAAGAGTTGGACTTAACAAATGACACTCATTCATGTCTTTGATTCTACAGAAAAGTTTAATAACTAAACAAATAATATCAATATGTAGTGAAGTACGACTAAGTTCCTAGTATATTGCTAAATTAGTCGATCTATTATGAACTCCAAGTATATACTTATAAAATTTTAGATTATCACAACGAAATTTACTGTACTTTTACTCTAGTTCATGCGAAATAATATTCTGTGATTTAAAATTACAAGTACCCCAAATTTCGGAACCATAAATTATAAAATAGGCTTAATTGGGATATATATGATTATCACCTTCCTACACGACATATGTACAAATGTCGTTGTCTGAGCGAGTTCTCAGTTTTAATTGTCCATTCTAAATCCATTAAACATGGTGAATGACTTTTCAAGCATTTAACTAGTGTATGTATATTATATGATTTTTGAAATTTTAATACGCTTTTATAGTGTCTGTATGTTTGCAGTTAACTTGATAATTCAATTGATAACACCTTTTGAATTTGCAGGAAAGTTCTGATGGCGATTTAAACTTGATTTATGGTCAGGTTTTTATCATAAAAGCTATTCTAAAGGTAAGTTTGACTGCACAGTGGAGTAGTTAAAGGTGATAAGGCATATGCTATGAGAAGTTATGTGCTCGTTAATTATCTGCTACTTTAGATACATATCTTTATTATGGTGTAATTCTAAATGCAGCTTTAGTGCTCCTTTTTTACTTGCACGTACTATATAAGCATTTGAAAAAATAAGTTTCACTTTAAAACATTTAAATAATGGTTTATACATCGAGTTGCAAATCATAATGTTCAAAATTGATTGCATTCATGTTTTACTGGAAGGTTGAAACAAAAAGAGGAAAGGAAGTTATTTTGGTGAGAATGAGAAATCCAATTGGAAATAATGAATGGACGGGACCATGGAGTCAAAGGTATTAACATGCTCAAGTTGTTATTGTAGAACTTGATTAGGATTTCTTATTTTTAACTGACTTATTAATACAGATGTCTGGACTTTCCACTTTAGTCACTTTATAAACGTATCGGACCTATAACGCATACATACAAAGAATTTGCAAGGAACGCAAATGGTTGAATGGCGGTATAGAAATATGGTCATCCCTTTGACTACTCGCGTTTAGGTTGTAAACCCCATGACAAAGTGGAACATCCGTTTGGTTTACGGGATGTATTGATACACAGTCGCGTTCGATCGGATTCGAGATGTTAATTCCGATTCCTCATGTAGATATAGTGTCTAGCTCTCTTTACGTTAAAGAACCCTTTCAACAACTCTCTGAGGAGTATGTATCAGGCCTATTGTAAGGAAATATTTCTGCCCTTATCCAACATGCCCTCATTTTCCAATGGCAGTCCAAATTTCCCGCCTTTCAACACGGTCGAACCCTCTTTTGAAGCTGCTTTCCATTGTATTGATTGGTAATTTGTTCTCGTCCTGAACATGCATTAAGTATTAAACAGTGCTCAATCATTCAATCATTTGTAAGGAATTGGTTCAAACTGAATTATCTTCCGTTAACTAGATCTCAACTGGCTGAAAAAATAGTTCAAATGTTCAATCGCCTATTACAAAGGCATTATAAGTGTGCTTGAAAAGTCCAAGTATAAAGTATAAATAATGTCGAAAGTTCAGACGTCTCTAATATTATGAGAGTTATTTGCGGAAATGTATAATATGGTGTTAGTACAGCAAATCAAAAACAGTTAAAGATAGTCGAGAATACTGATACAATCTATATAATGACGACAAACCGGAAACGAACAACTAAACTTACCGATCATTTCAGGAGAAGTATTCATAGGATAGCACCATAAAAACATTATCTTTCCCGTTCGAAGGCAGTATCTTGTAGTTACTGGAATGTACTGTGTCCCTTATAAAGCCATGATATTTATTTTTATTTTTTAGTGACAATAATTTTCACTTTATTAATTGTATCCATGCATTTATCTATTATGGTCGTTACGGTCTTGTATTTTTGGAATTTTAAGTTTTTAATTCTTAACTAAATGTCGCCACGTTTAACAATAACCTATTCTAAGTGAGTTTACCTATCTATTCTTACAGTAGCAGTGAATGGGAAACTGTTGTATGCAACCAAAGGCCCTTTATGTTGGATCGTGAATTCTTTATGTCCGTCGATAGTCTGATAAAGTATATGAACTGTATAACTATATGTAATTTGATACCAGAGCAGGATAAACTTGGTACAGAAGAAAGGTCAAGTAATTATCATATCACAATTCTTTTATTTAGTAATCAAACATTGAATGGTGTTCTTTATTATTTTTTTTACAAATGTTTTCGTGTATTAAGGTCTACTAATGTTACCACATTGAGAGCTTCAAATTCAGCATTGAAGAATATGAATACATAAAAACTCATCAAAGATACCAGGCTTAAAGTTGTGTACGACACATGCGCGGTTCATCTTCATAAGACTAATCTGTGGCGCTCAAACAACTAAAACATATGTTTGGCCAAATCAAATACGAAGTTGCAGAGCTTTAAATAGCGAAAAAACCGAAACTGTGCCAAATACGACTAAGACAATTAGCAACTAGGGATACAAAACCTCAGTGTTTCGAATAATTCAACATTTTATACACAGTAAAATTTACAGAAAATGAACATTTCAATCGTAATATTTTCATGTCAACACAGTAGCTTATACCATTGGGAACGAAAGTGGTTGTGAAAACTCATCAAAGATACCAGGCTTATAATTTTGTTCGCCAGACGCGCGTTTCGTCTATACATTAGACTCATCAGTTGCTACACCTTACATTGAGCAAATAGTTAAAATAAGTAGTTATAGATCGGAGGACGGTAAATGAACTTCACATGTAGAAGTAAATATATCGAATTCCACACTGAATTGGACAGTTTAGATACTTTCTGCTTAAGAAAAAACTTACCCGAACAGCTTTCTAATAGTACTTATACTTGACAACATTGTTTCCAATAATACTATCAAATGTTGTTTATATATATAATGATTACAACTAAAAATGAAATACAGGAGATCTAACCATAAAACTTCTGCGCAAAGTAACATTTCTTACATTTATACAACTTATAAAACAGATTACACAACCAAAATTTATAGTGAATGGAAAGGCAACATGGCGGCCGGACTAGACTATTTAAAGAATCCAAAATACTTAATCAAGATTTCTGACAAAGGTAACTTAGTAGGATTCTGAGAAAGGTAATACAGTTTAGATTTTGACAAAGATAATTTAGTAGGATTCTGATAACAGTTATTTAGAAAGATTCTGTTAATTAATTTGGTAGGGTTCTGATAAAGTATTAAAGATAACTAATTTGACAAATTTAAAAGGAAATAAATAATTTAAATACATTTAAGATCAAATATTCAAACTCTTTTTAACAGTAAAGAATGAAGATACCTGAATCTAATGTATGTTTTCTTCTGTTGAATGCATATGTGCTTATTCAACATTTAACTGTATTATGTATTTTATTTGTTTGTTTGTTTTTTTTCTATTTGTATAAATAGTTTTTGAAGGCCTCAGGGAAGATACACATGTTATTGTTAAATGAGTTACCTTCGTTAAATAAAGAATTTTTTTTATTCATTTTTTTAAGTAGAATAGATAAAAGTTTCGTTAAAGAACGGTTTTAAGAGTTATCAGTATAAAATATGTAACGATATCGAACTATCAACTAATTACTACGGGAAGAGAAAATGTCCATCTAAAAGAAGCTACTTTATGAGCAAAGACACTTGAAGAAAGGTAAGATACTAAAGGCAACAAGTGACCAAAAATTTCTAAAGACCTTGTGTTCTCAATATGTAAAATACATTGGACTTAAAAACAACGGTAACAGGAAAACAACAATAGCCACTGCAGGCTGTAGTTTTATAACTTCTGTTTATTAAATCTAAAGTCTAGTGTGCCGCGATCAATTCTAAAAAAAGAATATAGCGGATACAACAGATAAATATGGCGTATTTTCAGGAATAGAAGACGATGGAAAAGTCCGAGTTGTTATCATTCTCGAACAAATGACACATCAAACATCAACGGAATTAGTAGCTTTAAGGACAAAATTGTACAAGGTACACACAGAGTGCAAACATGGAATGATTATAGAAGATATAACAGAAGAAGGCATCTGTTCAAAACGGATATCTGTGACATTGAGTGTACGAGTGGTCCCTGGGAATTACTTAATTGTGCCTCACACAGACAGGGAAGAGTATGAAAAAGATTTCATGATTGCTATATTTACACCAACACCGTTAAAAGGAGTAAGGTACATGTTTTGCGAAGTCAGTCAAGGTTCTTTTTAAAGTATATATATTTATCACTTATAGGACATGCAGATTGTGTTCCAAAATATCCTTTTTATTCATTTTACAGGTTTAAAATGAAATTGAAATTGTAGTTGTCGGTGAAATTTTTAACATTTGTGACATGAAAGACATTGCTGTTTGATTTGTCACTTCTTGTTTAAAACCTTTGTATGGTCTTTTTATTGTAGGGCATTATCAGTCGGGTATCAGTAGTTCAGTACTTACATGGCATTAAATTATACTACTGACAGCTTTAGTTAGTGTTAAAAGTCCTATTTATATTTTTAGAACACTGAATGTTATTTTTCCATGTTTGTTTCATTTAGATTATTTTACAACTTCACATTTTTTTTAATTCGTGTGGATGTAAAAACAAGTGTGTAAAAATGGTAAGAACTCGGTGATACAGATACGTGCATTTACGTCTGGCGCAATACAAAATGTCAATCCTGGTATCTATGATGAGTTTATTTGCATTATACTATAGTAAAAAGATCATTACAAAAAAGTCAATGTAAGCGGTAGATGATTTCAGTGCGCAGTTAAGAAACAGAGTAAGAGCAAGCATGTGTTATTTCAATTTATAAACTAACAACTTCCACACACTTTGTTTTCGGGCAAAGATGCTACTAGTGTTTTAAGTCCCTTCTGGTTATAGAGCTTTTAATATGATTAAAATGAGATCTTTCGTATACAACTGTGACATTGATACACCAAGCACAATTAAAGAACCAGAAATCCTATACTTGAAGTAGATATAGCGTTGTCAGTTTATTTTCGACTTATGAGTTTGAATGTCCCTTTGGTATCTTTCGTCTCTCTTTTCTATATTAATACACAAGCGTCCATATCATGTATGCATACCTCTTTGGCCTGACTTTGGCTAAGACCCTTCTATGTTATGGCAAATAAAGAAATGTGTATAATATATCGAAATTACTTTTATTTGACTTATTGCATTTTTTTTTTATTTCTGTAGATTTATAGATGAAAGAAATACCATTTTATTTCTGTAGATTTATCGATGGAAGAAACCCTATCTTAGTCTCCAGACAAGGTACTACAGTAAAATTAAAAGGTGCAACCTCAGAATCTAAACTTGGTACGGTTTTGTATTATTATAATTTCAATTGTAAGTTTTGTTTTCCCGTTTTCATTTTTACGACATTAATTATACTTATGACAAGTGTTGACTCGTTTATAATAATTGTGATGAATGTAACAGTGAATGATCAGCTTTACAATAATAAGGTAAATTTGAAAACAATTTCCAATAAATAAGTACAAAAAGAACGAACGGGACATTACAAATGTTTCTGCTTCATCTTTTTCAGTACGATCAGCTTTGCAATTTTTTATTTTTGCAGAATGTGTGAATTATTCTTGGGGAGAATGGGATTTACAACAAGGCTATCTGCATGGTGAAGATTTCGAGAAAAATCCACAGTTTGAAATACAAATTCCATATGAAGGTTTTCAAATTTTATAATGATATTAGAATGATATTAGACTGTAAAATATACTTAGTTTTTTTGGTTTTCGTTTTTATCAAGAAATTTGAAATAGGATATTGTATTTATGTCGCATTACATTTTATTTAAAGAGAAAGCATACGAATTAGTCGGGTCGATCTATGGATGTTAAATCCATCTAGAAGAGACAACGATAACGTCGAGCTTTGGCACACATACAAACATAAAGATGAGTTAGAACGTAAATAGGGCTGGAACGTCGATATAACTTGTGATTCTGTCTAGTCTTTGATCTATAATCTAAGAAACAATAACAAACAATTAAATTACCAAACCTAAACAAAAGAAAGTCAATCATTAAAATCATCAACAGGTACTGAAATGAATAAAAAAATAGAAGTTGTTCTTAAGATACTAGTATTATATATAAATAACACATAGCTGAGAGGGTGATAGAGCAGATTGTTACCCCGAGAAAACATTGTCAACTGAGGCGAGGGGTAACAATCTGTTTTATCACCCTCTTAGATATGTGTTATTTAATTTATTATACTGAAAGTTCCGTTATTACTGTCTATTATATTTCAAATTCAAAGTAATAAACTATGACGTCTTGTACATAGTAATCATCCGTATTTATTAAAGCGCACACATGAGCAAATGTCTCCATGAAGGGTAATAGGGTATTTGCCATGGGATAGAGTAAATTGTCTCCCTCGTATCAACCAATCAAAATCTGGCGCTTTGATATGAAGTATAATAACATAAAATAACGTTCTTTTTCAAATAAATTGTGCATTAAATAGATATGTATGTTTTGTTATGCTTTGGAAACTTTCCAGGATATGTTTCTTGATAAAATTTAATTCTTATTTTCATTGGTATATATAAGATTATTTAAGATATACGTCTCATTTTGAAAGATGGTTTATTGGTAGCATGTTCAAATATTATTGTTTTAGTAACATGTAAATGTGTACTACCAGTAGGTATATATCCTTTCCTATTTGTCCGCATGTTTCCTCAAATATTGACGGTTAGTTTTGACTATTTACAGCACCTTCATGTGTGGTCAGGTTTCAGTTACTAAAAGATAGTTTTCAAGAAGATGCATGTATTGGCTTTAGGCTTTTTAAGGTATGTGTTATAAAATCTTACTTGTAGCTCTAAAAGATCCTCTTTTCGAACAGACTAATAATCATTATATTCTATTTGAAAATGATTAGATAAATAGTTTAGACAATGACTGTCAATATTTTTATAACAACGTTCTAACAGCAAAATATATTTTACAGATGACCAGTTACAGGAAAATGCCTCTTACAAAATCTTGGATTGACGCAATTTGGGATGACCCCGTCAAATGTCATGATGGGTCAATAGAAGGTTGGCATTGGGACTATATTGCACCGACCTACACACTTGCGCCAGGGACTTACATTGCTATAGCATGGGCTGACAAACCAGATTACAAGTGTTCATTCTGTCTGGTTGTTAAGGTGTCATTTCCGATCAAAGTAACGTAAGTTATTCTTCATCATCAAAGTTGTAACTAAGTTAAGACATTTCATTTACATTTCAAAACGATTCAATGCTCAAAGATGTCTTTCCAAAGTAAGACATCACTGCAAATTCTTCTCATTTAATAATTAGTTTGTAATTCGGTGGTAGTTATGCTGTCCACCTTTCTTTTACTGGTGTTTTCTGATTGTCCCTTTAGTATTTAGTTTTGAAACTTAACTAGAACTAGTTCACGTGAAACGACAAAACAGATCAAATCAATCAGCAATCGGCGATTTATGGCTTAGTTTAAATGTACTTTTGAGAATAAACACCGAGATTAATTATTGCAACATACATTAGAAAAGATATTTGGTATATGTGAATAAAACAATAACGAAACAACACTATAAAAACAACAAACAAAAAAGAATAAATACGAGAAAAGCGCATGTCGTTTTGAAAGTACGGTCCTCAATTTTCTAAAAGTTCATACAATATTACGCTATAAATTACAGAATCAGAGAAAAGATTGTTTAATTAAGCATTGATTATCAAATATCTGCCATCAATTCTAAATTACTTTATGTGGTAGGGGAGTATGAATGAACAATGATAGAATTTTTTTTCAGACTTTGCGAAGATGTAGTATACTTATACACTGTGATATGTTCAAAAATATAATAAAATGATAGGTCATGAGGTTGTTTTCAAGCTATAGGTTGTGAAAAAATTACACATTTTGTATGGATTATACAGATCAAAATCATCAACGACAACTCCAGACGTAGTTCCGATTTAGACAGGCATATCAAAATTTAAGGTTAAAATACTAGTATTGTGTTCGTACTTGATATCCCACTTGTCATCTTATATCTGTCGAAATGCTAAAAGGAATATTGACCATACAAATCAGCTAAAGGAAATAGCTCTTTAAATTTTAACTTGTAACCGAAAGAAAATTACTCAGTCAAAAGAAGTTAAAAATAAACTGTTATCACAGAGATATGTCTCGCCTTTTTGTAATTTTGATAATGCAAATGTTGAAATTAAAATAGCAATACTTTAACATGCAAGTTATGCAAATATTCAAAGTCGATGAACCATGACTGAAGGTACATGGCTAAACAATCTCCTTGGAATGAGATGTGCCAATGCTAATACAACTGCATACCAAATACCATTGACTTATTATAAGTCGTTCCCTATAAACAAACCTAAGCACAAACATTAACTTGTAAACTATGTAAAAGTTTAAAAGTCAATGAACCATGATCAGGGGTGGGGCTATATAATCTCCATGGAAACAATACTTGCAAATGCCAATAAATTTGAATACCAAATATCATTGACTTAACATTAGCAGTTCATCTTAAACTGATCTAATCACAAACTTATACATGTAAACTAAGCAAAAGTTTCAAAGTAAATAGACCATGACTGAGGAGGTGGGGTCAAATTTTCTCCATGGAAATGAGATGTGCTAATGCTTATACAACTATACACCAATTAACATTGGCATACCACTAATGGTTCCCCTTGAACTGACCTAATCACAAACTAATACATGTTAACTTAGCAGAATTTTCAAAGTCTATAAACCATGACTAAAGGGGCGGAGTCAAATTATCTCCATGGTAATGAGATGTGCCAATGCTAATACAACTGCATACCAAATATCATTGACCTACCACTAGTGGTTCACCATGAACTAGACCTAATCCCAAACTAATACATTGTTGACTGCCGCCGTCGCCGTCGCCGCCGACACTGACACCAGAAACAGCATACCTATGTCTCGCATTTTGACTCCGTTAAGGCGAGACAAAAATCAAAGTATCTCGGACTGGTAGCAGTGAAAGCTTACCAAACGTACTTACTACTACGGTTTAAAAACAATACCTTCTTACACTGTTATATTCATACTTTTTCAGATGCTATAATGATGGTAATTCTACATGAACACGTATTCAACATCTGAAGGAGTATATCAAGACTTGATAACGTTTTCGAAAAAAGGTTATGGTTAAAAACAAGAATTTGTTTCCAAATAAAATACTACTACAAACATTGATACTGACAATCCCTCGTGGTGTAATGGAAAGTAGTTTTCAACATGTAAAACATTAAACAAATGAAATGTTTTGTTTATATAAGATTTTCAATACCCAACTTTCTTGTCCTCTGACAAATGAAATGCATTAGTTATATATAATATTCATTACCCACTACCCAACATTCTTGTCCTCGGAAGGTGTATCATCACTGAAGTTTAAAACATTTTGTAGAAAAAATGGCATGCAATGTATGACAGAACATTCCTTTTCATATCATGCATTACGTAAAAGATTTATGTTTTGATTTGATTACCTAAAAGCTTTGTCTGTAGTTTTTAGGTTTACTGATCTAGTTTCCTCCTTAGTGTTATTTTGTGTAAATATATCTCAAATAACTATTTTTTTCTGATTTCCAATATTTTCGAGCCACTACTACCGATGGCAAAAAATAAACAGGACAGGTACCTTAAATGATAATCCAATCCAGAACAGTGTGAACGGAAAAAGGGGAAACCTAGGAGGCACTCAGATGCACACTTAGTACTATGCCTTACATTTGAAATAGTCATCTCATGCAGTATAAATAAGAAAATCATTGTTAAACGTTGAATGGCGTCAAGCAATTATGTCACTTTTCTTTCCATTCCAATAAAACTACAAATTAACCTTATTGTAAATGTCTCTTTTATGTCATCAGAAATTTCAAATTCTATATTAGCATTTTTCCTCTGAGACAAATTGCTGTATCTTCAAAGGAACTATCAAACCAAAAACAAAATGAAAGCCAAGGATTTACAATGCAACATATCTGGAATACATGAAAAACAATTGACCAAAATCGACTAAAATCCATCTAAGTGAAAGTAATATCCAGTCAGAATCGACATCATGTATATTTTTGTATTAACAATTTTTTTCATCCAACATGCTTTTAATGCACGTTTTAATGTACAGACGACTTTTAAACGTATAAAGTGCTTTTTTTTTTATATCAAATAAAATGTATTACAGTAGTCATTGATTCTGTACTGTGTATATCAAAAACAATTGTCAACTATCATGGCAACAATTCTATACAAAATGTATAAATAAACAGAACATGTCAGAAAAACAACGAAAAGACAAACAAAAATAACAAAATATACCCCAGGAATAGATGACCTTAGCTATATTTGGCAAAACCTTTCAAAATTTTGCGTTTTCAATGCTCTTCAACTTCGTACTTTATTTAGCTTTCAACTTTTTTATTCGATCGTCACTGTCTTTTGTAGACGAAACGTGCGCGATTTCGTACACAAACTATAAACCTTTGGTGAGTTTTTATTACACAGAGGGAAAAAAATACTACACCGAAAACAAAAGGTTGAGAAACACGAACATCACCAAAAACCGGGTTGAACTAAGGTACTGCGAAAGGGTATAGGCACCCGTCACGATGATCATCCAAGTAAGTGAAAATTCGGTGATAAGCCAACTTATTAGGAAGAAAGAAAAGAAGTTAGCAATATCCTTTAACTTTTCTTTCCGCTATATACATGATGTTCTCTCACTAAATAATTCAAAATTTGGTGACTATGTTGAAAGCATCGAACTTGAGATAAAGGATACAACAGTTAAGTCTGCCTCATATCTTGACTTACATCTAGAAATTGACAATGAGGGTCGGAGGAAAACAAAACTTTACGACAAAAGAGATGATTTCAGCTTCCCAATTATGAGTTTCTATGTAGCAACATTCCAGCAGCGCCTGCATACGGAGTATATATCTCCCAGTTGATACTATATTCCAGGGCTTGTATTTCCTATCATGATTTCCTTGATAGAGGGTTGCTGCTCACAAATAAGCTATTAAACTAAGAGTTCCAAGTTGTGAAGTTGAAATCATCCCTTCGTAAGTTTAACGGACGCTATCACGTGTTGGTTGACCGTTATTGAATATCCGTTTCACAGATGATAGCGGATATGTTCCTCATGTTTTTACCACAATCCCTGAGATCACTCCCAGTTTTTTGTGGGGTTCGTGTTGCTCAGTCTTTAGTTTTCTATGTTGTGTTATGTGTACTATTGTTTGTCTGTTTGTCTTTTTTTTTAGCCATAACGTTGTCAGTTTATTTTCGACTTATGAGTTTGAATGTCCCTCTGGTATCTTTCGCCTCTCTTTCACATTCGCAAATTTCAATCTAGGAAAAGATTACGGGACTGAAATTACGACGGTTGGAACATATCCGTGGTCATCTACGACACATGTAGTCTACAATGGTCAACCAAATCATGATGGCATCCATAAAATTTTGCAGGGATGACTTCAACTTTACCACTTTGAACCCTTGATGCAATAGCTTTCAGGTAGGCAGTTACTCTCTGTCAAAAAAATGACGATAGGAACGCAGCCCAAAAATATCGCATCAAATGTGATTGATATACCGGGTACTGCATATACAGGCCCTACTGGAATGTCATACAAATGGGAGATTTAGCTAGCTGTAAAACCAGGTTTGGTCCACCATTTTCTTCGGGAAATGCCTGTACCAATTCAGGAATATGCCAGTTCTTTTTCAGTTGGTCCATTGTTTGGTATAGTCGAGCGTTTTGTTTTGTCAGTTTTTTTGGACTTCCACTTTTTGAATTTACCTTTGAGTTATGTACTTTTTGTTATGACATATTCTGTTAATTAGAAATGGAAAGATCGAAATAGGAAAATTGAAATCATCTCTTTTGTCAAAATTTATTTCTCAACCGTCATTCCTATTGTCAATTTCTAGATGTAAATCCACATTTGAGACAGACTTAAATGTACCCGATGTATCCTTTATTTTAAGTGCATTGGGATAGATGCAGTCATCATCGACACCCAGTTTTGAATTATTCAGTGGAATGACATCATCTTTGTAGCAGAAAGTGAAGTTAAAGGATCTTGCCAGCCTCTGTTTAATTTTTTTTTAGAAGCTCCTGTATGAAGTTTGCCTCACACGAATAAAGCAATATTAATCGGAAATCAGAGAGGCATTGCATTCGATATGAAATAAAAGGGGTAAACAATTTGAACCTTTATATGTTTCTTCATTAAAGGAAGCCACACAATTTTAGTAATTTCAAGATTTGATTTGACATATATTGAAAAAAATGTCAAATTACAAAAAAAGTATAACAGTGTCCAGTGATACGTAATCAAAATTAGCTGACAGCAACATTTAGCAACAGCGTTCTTTTGTCATGCATGATAATGTTAACTTTACAACAAAAAGACTGAAGTAAAATTTAAAACACTGAAATGATCGACATATTTGTTGAATTTCCTAGATTGATTTGCCAACAGCCAGTATTTCAATTGGCACTAATTGTGCACATATGCTATCCACTTTGTTTATATGTCTTATTCGAGAGAAAATTATACAGATCTTTCAAAAAGACAAAGCAAATAAAATATCAATTTCATTTTAAAATATATTTATGATTTTCTTTCACTCAACACTTTTTCAGCGACTGATTCATTTTAATGTCCCTTTGACCTTAAAACTAAAAATACTACATAAACAAGAAGACATGTTTCGTATCTTCTCTTACATTGATGTTGGTGGACCTCTTAAAATGTCTAGGATATGTGACTATTGCGTTACTGAGAGTTTCCGATTGTCATTTTCATATATTTAATAACATACCAGCAGTACCAACTGCCTATAGTATTGAATATTCTTTATATATAATAAATCTTCAAAATATAGTATGAAGAAGAATGCCAGACTATAATTATCACCTAACAAATTCAACAGTAGAACTCACAAATTGATTGATTGTAGCACTCAAATCACTACTGACATTTTAACGTAGGTACATTTAACATAGATTACAAATGTTCGCTATAGTCCATCTGAAATCATCTCTGGTATTGTCATGTTGCAGTTGACAAATACTACTTGATTTAACTTTTTTAAGACTTATTGCAAAACATAATATGCTCACCCTAACAACATGTCTATGCCTTATACGGTTTCGGAGAGTGCATGAAATTGCCATTGGTTTCACTCACATTGCATCTGTTTATACCTGTACCAAGTCAGGAATATGGCAGTTGTTATCAAATAGTCCGTTTCTATGTATGTTGGCGTTTGTTTTTGTTGCAGTTTAGTGTTTCTGTTGTTCCGTTGTTTTCCTCTTATAGTTGATGTGTTTCCCTCGGTTTTAGTTTGTAAACCAGATTTGTTTTCTCTTAATCGATTTATGACTTTTGAACAGAGGTATACTACTGTTGCCTTTATCTAAACCACTTGTATTGGCATTAGCTGCAATATAGTCAAAATTTTAAATATGTTTTTTTTGTTTCAAGCATTTTCAAAAGCAAATATTGAAATAAAGATTCGCTATTAGCTGTCAGTTTGGTTAAATTTGGTCAAAATAAGGTAAACACAAAACTTCTATGGTATACTTTTAGCTTAATTTGCATGTCAATAATTCAACCTCATTTGAATTCGTATTCATGTGATCTCTAATTTAGCCCTGAACTGGAAATGATTTACGCAGTGACAAGAGGGACTTAAAGGTAAAACAATGATTTCAATATTGTTTAATCTATGACAAGAAAAAAAAACAGACCATGACAAATCGTTATTATACGATTGCACGTGCTTGTCTGTCTTTTTATATTTATGTCTTTATATCAGGTGGTAATTAAGAATATCGGCAGTTTTCGTGCTAAATCTTGAGGTTAAATTAGATGGCGTCTAGACAAATTACGCATGAATAATAATACATTATAACGAGTTCATGTATTGTCAATTGTTTCTTGGAATTTTTGTGAATTGGGTATACGTTATTGTATGGTATAATTCAATGTGAGAATTTGAGACAAATCGCCCTTTCAAAAATTTTATGTTCGGAAATGTAAAACAATGTCAAATTCTATATTAGCATTTTTCCTCTGAGACAAATTGCTGTATCTTCAAAGGAACGATCAAACCAAAAACAAAATGAAAGCCAAGGATTTACAATGCAACATATCTGGAATACATGAAAAACAATTGACCAAAATCGACTAAAATCCATCTAAGTGAAAGTAATATCCAGTCAGAATCGACATCTTGTATATTTTTGTATTAACATTTTTTTTCATGCAACATGCTTTTAATGCACGTTTTAATGTACAGACGACTTTTAAACGTATAAAGTGCTTTTTTTATATCAAATAAAATGTATTACAGTAGTCATTGATTCTGTACATTGCATATCAAAAACAATTGTCAACTATCATGGCAACAATTCTGTACAAAATGTATAAATAAACAGAACATGTCAGAAAAACAACGAAAAGACAAACAAAAATAAAAATATACTCCAGGAATAGATGACCTTAGATATATTTGGCAAAACCTTTCGAAATTTTGGGTTTTCAATGCTCTTCAACTTCTTACTTGGGCAATTGTTTCTTGGAATTTTTGTGAATTGGTTATACGTTATTGTATGGTAATATAATGTGAGAATTGAGTCAAATCGATCAAATATGAATGTGACAGCGTATGTCCCTTTAACAACTTTATGTTCGGAAATGTAAAACAAAGTCAAGATCATATTGGCTGTTTTATGACAATTACCGGTCATATATCTTTAGATATCAGTATAGTCGTATGATCTGTGATTGATCGATTTCATGTGTCCTATAATATTCCTGATTGTGCAATTTTGACAGAGTGTGAATTCACATAGCAGATTATGCTTGCATAGCAGAAGACCCTTATCCCGTCGATGCATCTAGCCTCACTCCTTTTGTTACCTTGATTTGTCTCTTTCTAATCGATTTACGAGATTAGAACATCGGTAAACTATACTGCCACCATAATTTTGAGACGAAATTCATATTGATATTGCATATACCTCACTTTAGATAACTTATATACACTTAAATAGTCACCAACACCTGTATCATTACAATTAAAGTCACTTATTTTAATAGTGGATTAAAAATATGGAAACAATCAATTTTGATATCACACCAACTGTTTGAATACCAAATTAAGGTCTCCTATTCTTCAACACAGTAAATTTTGAAAAATGTGTGAAATATTATTATCAAATAATACTAACAAATAGTAAAATTATTGTCTAGTATGAGACTCGTCACCGGGTTTATACTATTATGATCAGCAACACAACGGGTACCACATGTGGTGTAAGAATTGATACCCTTCTAATGCACCCGAATCCACCTTCCCCCCTCCCCCCAAACCAGTTTTGGTTGCTGTTCTTGTTGCTTAATCTTTATTTTTCTATGTAGTGTTTTGTGGATTTGTTCGTCTTTTCGTCATTGCATAGTAAGTATTCTTCGACTTATGAGGTTTAATTATCCCTTGGTATCTTCCGTCTCTTTTTTGTAAGAGAAATAGAATGAATGGCGATAGCATGCAGTCAAAACAAAGAAGTCTTAGTGGGGTAAAACGAGGTATCAGGTGACACTTGGCCGACTATTAGGTACATCTCCAAACAAATTTACAGCACAATTCATAATTGAACTGTTCCTTGTAGATCTTGATCCACATTAAAACTAGAGGTTCTGAAGCGCTTGTGTCACTCACCTAGGTCTATATTTGCAACTTCAAGAATGGCCTCTCTCCTACATTGTATACTAAGATATAATTCATGACTAAAATCTCTTTTTTGTTTATCTTGTATTGCTTATCATTTTTTTCTGTTTACAGTTACTGTCCATCTTCTATAGTTTTGGCCCAAAACACAAACTAGATGCTCTAAAGAGCCTGTGTCGCTCATCTTGGTCTATGTGCATATCAAACAAAGGACCCTCTCCAAAATTGTAGACGAGAATAGACCATGACAAAAATCTCTATTTTGTTGATCTTGTATAACTGATCTTTTAGTCTGTTTAGTTTCTCTCTATCTTCTTTAGTTTTTGCTCAAAACACAAAAGAGGGTAAACAATATCCTCATTTAAGGGCAATCACTTCTATGAAGAGTGACAGTTTACTAATTATATCGGCAAAATTTGACTTTTTAATAGATCTTGCCTTGCTGATCATTTGCGTGATTTAAAGAGTTTATTTATCTATTATAATTTAAATCATATAAGGCATAACGGGAAAACAAATTTTCTCTTTAAATATCATAGCTTTCATAATAATAGGCAAAAATGATTTATGGGAAATAACTCCTATAAGAATTTGTCTAACAGTTTTGATGTATATGGACAATTGGTATAGCTCATTATTCTGAACAGTTTTGCTCCTTTCAGATTTTTCTCTATTTATAACGGTTCAAAAAATAATAGACAAAACTTGCATTTTACCCCTATGTTCTATTTTTAGCCATGTCGGCCATGTTGTTTGATAGGCGGGGTCATCGGACACATTTTTTAAACTAGATACCCTAATGATGATTGTGGCCAAGTTTGGTTAAATTTGTCTTTGCAGTTTCAGAGAAGATTTTTGTAAAAGATTACAAAAATTTACCAAAAATTGTTAAAAAATTGACTATAAAGGGCAACTCCTTAAGGGGTCAATTGACCATTTTGGTCATGTTGACTTATTAGTAGATCTTACTTTGCTGAACATTATTGCTGTTTATCTCTATCTATAATAATATTCAAAATAATAACAAAAAACTGCAAAATTTCCTTAAAATTACCAATTCATCGGCAGCAACCCAACAATGGGTTGTCTGATTTGTCTGAAAAGTTCAGGGCAGATTGATCTTGACCTGATGAACAATTTTACCCCATGTCAGATTTGCTCTAAATGCTTTGGTTTCAGAGATATAAGCCAAAATCTACATTTTACCCCTATGTTCTATTTTTAGCCATGGCGGCCATCTTGGTTGGCGGGCCGGGTCATCGGACACATTTTTAAACTAGATACCCCAATGATGATTGGGGCCAAGTTTGGTTAAATTTGGTCCAGTAGTTTCAGAGTAGAAGATTTTTGTAAAAGTTAACGATGACGACGGACGCCAAGTGATGAGAAAAGCTCACTAACGATATTGGCCATGAAAACTTAATTGTAGAACTTGTCTTGCTTTTCTTCAATGGTATTTAAAAATTGTATCTATCTATTAAAAATTGTGTCTATATGAGTCGGAGTTCCTTCAGACACTTGTCAAAAACAAGAAGATGAAAGAAGCCAGATCATTTAATTTCACATTCAGATATATTGATGATGTTCTTTCCATAAACAATCCAGCTTTTCTGATTGGGTTCCATTAATATATCCTCCAGAATTAGAAATTAAAGAAACCATAGACATGGCTTCCTCCGCCTCATTTTTAGACTTATACCTCGAATTTGACATCAGCGGTCATCTCAGTACCAGAATCTATGACAAACAAGACGATTTAAATTTTGAAATTATCAATTTCCCCCACCGTAGTAGCAATAAACCAACTTCACCTGCACATGGGATAAACATTTCCCAACTCATTCAGTATTCAAGAGCTTGCAGCTGCTACTCAGACTTTGTAAAACGTCACCAGTGTCTGCGCAAAAAGTTGATGAACCAGGGTTATGTCAAATAACGTCTCGTCCTTTTTCTAAAAAAGTTCATCGGAAGGTACCAAGACCTTGTTGATAAATATTCTGTATCAACTTCAGAAATAACAAATGACTGTCTTGATGTAAAGATTCTAGGTACTGACATTGTTTATCATCTTGATTACGTGTTATAGTGTTCTTTTATTTGTCTTTGTAAATTATGAACGTTTACTGTTTGGTCCGTTTTTTATAATATCCTTTAGACTTGGCTAGGTACTTGTACATATGGCCATTGTGTTGTTGTGCTGTTGTAATTTTTTGTATTCTTGTGTTTGAATGTTGCATATGTGCTTTGTCTATATGCCATTTTGTTTTTCTTTGTTGACATATATTTGTTTTTATAGTGATTGAGGTTGTAACACAATGTTGACTGCTTTACCCCTATTTTTGACATTTTTACTTATTATGTCTGTTTGTTTTGTTCACACATTGTTGTCAATATAATGGAATTTTATGCGACTGTCATACAAGTGTGAGGTATAGCTAGCTTTAAAACCAGGTTTACTCCAACATTTTCTACATAAGAAAATGCACGTACCAAGTCAGGAATATGACAGTTGTTTTCCATTCATTTGATGTGCTTGAGCTTTTGATTTTGCCAATTGTTAAGGGACTTTCCTTTTTGAATTTTCCTTGGAGTTCAGTATTTTTGTTGTTTTACTTTTTAAGTGTTCACGATAAAAGGCAAACACCACAAAAAAAATGGTAAAATTGTCACTTAAGGACAATAACTCCTATAAGAAGATGACTGTCGATTTCAGCCATGTTGAATTATTTGTAGATCTTGTCTTGCTGATCATGTTTGCTTTTTAAAATGTTTCTCCATGTATAATAGTTTTCAAGATATTAGGTAAAATTAAAACAAGAGGCTCCAAAGAGCTTGATTCATTCACCTGGTAAAAAATATTCCATTTTAATATTTTTTTTTATGTTGAATCATTTAAAGATATTATTGTGCTTAACATCTTTGCTTTTTATAATTTCTCTCTTTCTATAATGATTTTTACAAAAAATGGATAAAAACCATCTTACAAGGGCAATAACTTCTGTAAGCCATTTAATTGACAATTTCTATTAAGTTAACTTATTTGTAGATCTTATTTTGCTAAAAACTATTGCTGTTCACAATTTCTCTCTATTTAACTTAAGCAAAACCTTCAAAATGGGTTGTAGATTCTTCTGAAAATTTGGTAGAAGATACACCTTGGCTTGCCTATTATTTTTTAACAACTGTTATCTTTTAAATTTAGGGCACAGGACAAACCACAGACAAAGGACAATGACCATGAACGCCAAGTGATGGCCTTATATTTTTTAAATTTTATTACAATTATAATATTTCAACAATGAGGAAAGCCCACACACATAGTCAGCTATAAAAGGCCCTGAAATGACAAATGTAAAACAATTCAAACGAGAAAATTAACAGCCTAATTTATGTTCATATTTATTTAATAAGAGGCAACCCAAAATGTTTTAATTTTTTTTTTCATGCATTATATATATTTGATATGCATATATATATATATATATCATAGCAATTTTGTTGATTTTTATTAACTTCAAAGAAAACAAAAACTAGACCACATTTTATGGAATTTAAAGATAATGAGCAGATAGGTAACTTCACAATTCAATGACAGTTTACACAATACAACTATTCAAATCATGATATAATTGAAGAGACAACAATTCCGTGGATTTTGTAACTTACAACTGTGTTGTATACCATTTTTACCTTGCCAAAACTTTGTCAGGGTAATTATTTTAAAGTTATCAACATTTATATGGTGTCTGGTCAGCTTACACACAGCAGATATTAAATAATGAGCAGTTACTCAAACAAGCATATGACAAGCATGTGTTGAATGTAAATGGAACCAGTATCCATTTAATGTTGCCATTAACTTTGTCTGATCTTCACCATACTAAATGTGGATTGGCTTGGTACTTTCTGTAGTCTTCCATTTTGAAATAGGATATTTCTGTTTCATTTCCTGTAAAGATATGAAGCAATCCATATACATGTACAAGAATCTTCAATGATCAAAAATTGTCCACAGCCACTATTATGTTAAAAGTACATCAACTACTAGAACAAAATTCAAACTTTTATCTTTAATTGATTATTAAACAACTATATAGCAAAATTAATACAGTGAGAGTCAGGAATTAAAGTGCTTGTGAGCACTGAAGGGTAAAGATTGCTTTCATTTTGCAAGATGAAATTTAAATTAAAGATTGAATTGTATTTAGCAAATAAACACATTAATACAAATGACACAATTTGAATTTGAGTTATCTTCCTTTATTCATAAAATAACAGATTCATATGCCATGCACAACTTATGTAATATTAATAAAAATACAAATACACATAATTTTGTAACTCGAATATCTGAGAATAATATATCATTAATAAATTGCATGACATTTGCTGGATAAGATCTAAAGATTATTGATCTCACTGCACTATATGAAATTGTTTAAGCTATCAAAAGTTGTGATAAAACCTGGAAGATATAGAGATAAAGCCAGTGTCATAAGGGTTTTGATGCATTTCATGCAATCTTAACTCCAAAAATCAAATTTTGCTTGTTTCCCATTCATTCAATAACAAAAACAATTTATATATATTCTGTAAATCCTTATAAGAAATATTCCATGTATATACCCTTAAAATTAGAAAAATACCTACCTGTATATTAACAACCAGTTTGTCTGTTCTCACCTCTTTTTTTTCACCCCTTAACAACAACTAGAAATGATTCTTTAATATGTTACTTTGTAGTCTGTAATTTTTTGTAACAAGATATGTAAAATACTTTTTTTGAGAGCCAGGGTTTGAAATTATCAGGGGCCCACTCACCAATGGCCCCTAAAATTTGGTGTGGGCTATTAAAATTTCTGCTTTTCTTGTATAGAACTATATATATATTGGCTACAAAATTTAAGCTGTGGGCTACCATGCCAAAATTTTGACTTCAATCCCTGAGAGCTACAGAAAACTACGTTTCTACCACTATGATTTATCTTTAGAAAAGGGGCCATGTAAGTTGATCAGTAGGAACATAGGACATAATGTTAAATTTAGGCAGGTCTAGGATGGTGGTTATATAAAGACTGATTTCAATTTACCAAGTGATTATTGAAGAGAGGGTTTTAATAAAGGTTATAGAGAGACAAAAGAGACAACAATGATGATGAACACCAAGTGATGGCAATATGTTGCCTGTAAATGAAATGATAATTGATCTTAATTAAATAATTGACAACCAAGAGGATAGATACAGTTAAACCTCAATGATCTTACCAACACCAGCCTCCTTCAATGTAACCCCATCTTCTAAAATCAATTGATCGTTTTCTATGTCAATAACAGGATCATTACTCTGAAAATATAATCAAAATAAGAGTTCACACCCTAAATTGCCTTTCCTAACTCAAAAACATTTAGTTGGATGCAATCTTTAATAACCAAAATAACAATCATTTTTAAAGGTTTCTGAAGAATAAAACAGAGATCAAGTCTAAGTGAAAACTTTCAGACAAGCTTATAATTCTTACAGAAAAATACATATTATAAAAATGTTGCTGATCCACCATGCATCATGCATTTTTATTGAGAAAGACTTAAACCAAATAAACTGTTGACACAGAGATATGTCTTGCCTATCGGCATAAAATTCAGAAAAAGACAATCTGATGGACAGCAACATTGCTAATGAATTCAAAGTCGCTGGACCATGTACTAGTGGGCAGGGCCTGGAAATGGTGAACAAACTGAGATGTACAAACAGTAATACAACTTTATAGAAAGTAGTGTTGTCAATTGTAAGTAGTTCATTTCAAACTAACTAAACATTGAAAATTGGTAATTAATTGAAAGTCACTAGACCATGACCTATGGGGGCAGGGAGTTGAAATAAACTTCAAACTGATATGTACTGATAGTAATGCAACTTTATAGAAAATACCATTGATCTATCACAAGTAGTTCCTGTCAAACTGACTTCTGCAGAAAACTTAACATTGAAAATTGCTAATTAATTCAAAGTCACTAGACCATGACCTAGGGGTAGGGCCTGGAAATAGTTGTCAAACTGATTTGAACTGATAGTAATGCAACTTTAGTCGTGGACGAGACAAAAAATGTATGACTATTACATATATTGAAAACGAGGTCAATACTATAAATCATCTACAATTTCAGATGGACATTTGATCAACTTGTCATAAATATAATGAACGACATATTCTAGCTAGAAATATATTGCTTACAATGAATCAAAACATCTAATTTTAAGAGTCTAACAGAAATTCTTTAAAATAATAATTCATCAGAAGACATTTACCTGATAAATATAGGTCTGAAAATATGGTGGATGAATTTAGTTGGCTTTCTAACAGTGAAATATGTGATAAGTAGATTATGTAGTAAACAAATGTATCTGACCAGTATTTCTGATTAGTGTGGAATTTCCAGACCCTTGAAAATCTTTACTGCATAAACTGAAAACCTTATATTAGGCATTCAAAGAAGATACCATTTGTGCAAATACAATAAATGATAAATGTATGTAATTTCCACAAAAAAACAATATTACATCTATTCACTGTGATATACATATATATACAGTATACTTTTATCGTGTGTACACATAACATGAACATATTACTGCTTTATGATTATAAAATAAGGAGATGCAGTATGTTTGCAAATGAGACAACTATCCAAAAGAGTCCAAATAACGTGGCTCTAAGACTGCAAACCTGAAGTCCCCTTCGACTTTGTTGGTAGGGGACTAATAAACAGCAACCAAAGACAACCACTGAATTATATGTTCCTGACTGGGGACAGGCACATATAGAATATAGCGGGGTTAAACATGTTTGTGGCACTTTTTTATCATCACTTAGAAAACTTACCTTAGCTCCATGTGCCTTATGGCTTATTTTCAGTGTATCTGTAAATAAAACAAGTTTAAACATGCTTCAAATAAATCAAATTCATAAAACATAAACAATGGAAGTATAATATTAATAACCATGTATTCGTATTCTCATTTAGATAGCATGTTCAGCAATGGATGAAAGTTTTGCAAGAATATTTACCTTTGTATTCATAAAATACGTTTTGAATAGTTATATACTTAATAAAAACATATGTAGTACCTTTACAACTTATAAATAGATATCAAAAAGTTCTTTATCATGATTAAAGGAGCTGTATGGTAAAGGTAAATGAAACAGAAGCCAAACAATAAGCTAGAAGGTGATAAATCATTTATCATTGTTTATCAACAATTGTAGGAAACCAATTTTTGCCTACATTAGCCTTATATGAACCTGATATTCTTATTATGTTTTATCAAAAATTAAGTGTTGGAATCAATCTTTTTTATATCATTTCAGTTGAATTTATTCACAGCTTCACAAATTGAAAATATTTACAGTTTCCACTTGTCCATTGTTGAAGACGACAGGTGACCTAAAGATGTCATTTTGGTCTGCTTTGTGTGTTTTAATACCTCCATACTAATTCTACAAAAAAGCTGACCTGCACCTGCATCCACAAATTCAAATATCATGCATCATACAGTACAAGAGAATTTTTGTACTAATCAGCATGAACCAATCGTCAGTATATACAATAGGTAGGTCAAACCAACGTGCATTTGTTTGGAATATGACCTACACACTATTTAAAAGTGCTAATGCATACAAAATTTGGTGATCCTATATATTCACATCGGAAAGATATGAATTTTGATTTACTGATTTCTATTTGTGAACAGTAAAACAACAGGTGGAAGACACCAAATGGACATTCAAACCTCATTCGTCAAGTGAAAATGACAACACCATGGCAAAAAAATGAAAGATGAAGAAAAGACAAACAAGTTTACAAAACACTACATAGAAAAACACCTTGATGCAAATTATGATGATCTTACATTTCATACTAGCCCTAGAAACAAACTTTTATATTATAACATGGATTATATTTTCACAGGGTATTCCCCTTCAAGAGCACCTCAATTCAACCCCATTTGCAATCATACTACATCTCCTTATTTTATTATCACAAAACAGTTTTTGATGGGGTTCATGTTTCTCAGTCTTTTGTTTTCTATGTAGTGTTGTGTAGACTTTTCTTCTTTTTTCATTGTTTTTCATTTTGTACAACAGAAATGTAAGTTTGGATTTGACTTATCAGTTTTTTATGTCCCTTTGGTACATTGTATCTTCCACCTCCTTTTTTTGTTTGTTTGTAGCATTATTATTTTAAGAATGTACATGTACATTTTACCTTGTCATTGTGAGAAATAATTAGCTTACCATAAGTAAACTTCTTAAAAGGTGGTGGAATTCCCTGCATTGACACAAGATCTAAAAAATACAAATGTAATAATTTGAAATCCCTGCATTAATTCAAAATATTCAAAAATTGTTTATACTATCAAATGACAAACATGACAAATATAATCAGGAACCTCTAGCCTTTGTTAGTCTGTTTTTTTAAATTTTGGTTCATTTGTATGTTCTGGAGTTTAGTGTGGCGTCCATTTCACTGAACTAGTAAACATTATTGTTTAGGGGCCAGCTGAAGCCCGCCTCAGGGTGTGCGGTGTTCTCACTGCTTTGAAGACCCATCGGTGGCTTTGGGCTGTTTTCTGCTCTTTGTTGTCTCTTTGACACATTCCCTGATTCCATTCTCTATTCTATCAAAAACATGTTTAATTTGCAAATGATGAATCTTTTCACTTCTATTTGATAAATTAGGTAACCGTTATATTCAGTGGAGACTAAGATACTAAGGATAGTAGCTAGCTCATAGACAAAATTTTACTTTAAGAATCTGACCTGCTTATCACCTGTTTGATTTGGCCTTTTGATGTCTTATATTGACAACAAGTTAATAAAGAAAATTCAAAATACATATATCTGTTAACAGGTTATTCAGAGTCACCAAAATGGGTTATAATAAACCCCTGGGGGTAACATATGTTCCAAATAGAATATAAATTTACAATAAAATGGTTGAATTTCACTGAAAATGTTCATCAATGCATTTGATTAGAACAAAATGAAAAACTTCTATTTTCCGAAGTATAAATATATCACTGTAACAAAGTGGTATAAAAAATATGTCTTTTAATATGTTTATCAAATTAGTTCCCTCCCACCCACATCCAAAAATAAATATTATTTTTTTGGTTATGTGTTTTTCTTTGGTTTAATTTTAGACATTGTCATCAATATCAAATTCAGTGCATTATCACCTGAAGGGAAATATGTCTCACACATATTTTTTTCACTGCTCAGTTCGAAATGTTGTTTGCTGTGAAGTGTTAGATCTGAATTCTGAAGACAAACCTAAACCTAAAGTCCCCTTTGACTTCGTCGGTAGGGGACTAAAAACAAAAGAAGACATAACATACAGTGGTACCCATTGACACATAACATGAATAATTTAGCACTATTAAGGCTACCTCATGTTCAACTAAGTTTGTGGCCTCAAATTTTTAATGAAAACAAGCATTCTGAGAGTATTGCATGGCAATACATACTTATTACATAGTCCCCTACCAGTTAAAATTTCATTGTACTGGAACAAAATGCTATACTTGATCTATAACTTGTCATGGTGTAAACTGTATAACAAATATCAAGTCATTATCTTCAACATGTTCAAGCATGATGAGAAAAGGTGAGGAAACTGATTATTTGTCCAAGGACCATAACTCTGCACAAAATCATCAGACCGGAACAAAATTCGTACTTGATCTGTCACTTGTCATTATAAAACTACATACCAATTATCAAATCAATATCTTCTTGCATGACCAAAAAAAAGGGTGGGAACTGATTATTTCAAAGGACCATAAATCTGCACAAAATTCGAAATTGATCTGTAGCTTGTCATTGTTACATTATATACCAATTATCAAATCAATATCTTTAAGCACGAAAAACTGAATATTTGAGTGAATTTACTAAGTCCATGGACCATAACTCTGGACAAAATCATCAGAACAGAACAAAATTCAAACTTGATCTGTAACTTGTCATGATGAAAATTTATACCAAATATCAAATCAATATCTTAAAGCATGAAGAAAAAAAATGTGGAAAACTGATTTGCTGGACTGATGGATGGACAGACAGACGGACAGAGTGCAAACAAAAAGTCCCCTTCGACTTCATCGGTAGGGGACTAAAAATTCTATAACCGTCCAAAGTGTGAAAAATTTACAGATTTCAACGAATTTTTCAACAAATAAAGTTCCATAACTCCACAATCATGACAATGTCATTTCAGAAATTTATATAAAAAAAAAAACAAAAGGGAGCTTATATCAGTAGATGTAAATATAAGTCATTAAACATGTTAAAGTTTCATGAAAACTGCTCAAAACGTTTTTTGAGTTATTTTCCATGTTTTCCAAAAACTGGAAAATCCCCCCTTTTTTATGAATAAAGTCCCAATACTCCCAAACGTAAAATCTGAAATTTTTAAAAATCGAAATGGAACTTATGTCAATATATATATTTTCAAATGAGAGGGTGTTTCTTAGCTACAGTGACATCTCATCCAAGGGCAAGCATCCTTAAGTTTGAAAGATCTGTCAACAAATGATAATCTATTTATGCCTACTTTGCCTATAACGTCGTCAATGAGTATGTGTGTCCTTACTTTCTTGCGATATTTTTCTATCTCAAGTGAGTAGCATGATAATGAAAAATTATTATAAAAAAATATCAAAGCAGAAAAACACAAAATAGCGATAACATTAGTTTATAAGATTGTGGCGGAAATGACAAGGTGCAAAAGGAAATCATGGCTTAACACAGGGCAAACAGGTGTCAGGGGAAAAGCCAACATATATATATATACAAATACAGAGAATAGAAGTACAGAAACAGAAAAGCAACAGTTACAAGAATTGGAAAGGAAGCGTGTAAAGAAAGCTGAAGATATGACTAACATGGTCTGTTATTATGGCCTATGGCAAAATCAAAACCAAGTAGAAGAAGGTCTTTCCATCCTCAAAAGTGAAAAGGAGAAAATGACTGCTTTGGAAGCTCAACTGAAATTCCGTAAGACTGTTTTGAAACAGAAACATCCTGACAAAAAAATTTATAATTTTTCCAAATTAAATGAAAGGGGAAAATACACAAAATTGACTATTCGACAACTGAAAGATAATGTCCAGACATTTATCAAAGACACTCTAAAAGAACCAACACATGAAAATGCAACACAGGGAAGACCCCTCTTAGTTGGGAAAAACTATAAAACATTCATTTAGTGATGGCAACATTTATGATGGATATGTAATTTCTATAGTACCTGGTTTTTCTATGTGGTATAATGTAAAGTATGAAATGGATGATGCGATCTATGCTTTTAACTTCGTTGATGACATGTAAAAAGGTGGTATAAGCATTGTTGTGGCCAACCAGTGAAATGTAAAGGATCACAATAGGTTCTGTTCATGTTTATCTTTGGTTTGGCTTTTTATTTTGTTTGTTATTTATATTATAACAGTCAAACCTGTCTTTCATGAACCTCATTTTACTTCTGTGTATTGTTATACTTTCAACAAAAACAAAACCTGTATTTGATGGCCAATTTTGAATAACATGGATTCCAGTATTTGTCTGAATTCAGGTTTGACTGGTTTTGGGTTCATCTGTTGAGAATAGTAAAAGGTATAAACATGTATGCCACTTTGTCTGTCGTCATACATGTAGAACTTCATTGCATTTCTAGTTGCAACAATTTAAAGAATAGCTATATAGGCTTTTTATATATTTATTTTAAATACAGAGTCGGAGGTATTTTTATATATTTATTTTAAATACAGAGTCAGAGGTGCTAGGTTCTTTTGTACATATTTTAATTATGTTTTCCCAAATTGGACAAAAATGAAATATAGATGTATAAAAATAAATACCAATATCTCTGTTTTATTTGATACCATTTTATTTTTATTTTTGTGTTAATTTATAATTTGTACTAACTTCTGTTGTATTACTACTAATCTTAAGTTAAGGATTATATTTTGTTTTTAACAAAGAACATAATAATTGATCAAACAACACCTACTTATTTCAATACATGCAGTCCATTTAATTGTTTAATATTTTTCTTAAATCTTTTTAAACAATCCTTGAGAAATCTTCCTTCTTATACTATTGTTTCTAATGAAAAAATAACACTTAAAGGAAAGAAAAAATTGCATTATCAATTCTGTTTTGTCAGGGGGGGGGGGGGGAGGGGGTGTCACAGTTATCGCATAATCTGATAATCACACCAAAATATATTCATTAAATATTCGCTTAACTTTGGTAATCAAATAATAAAAAATACAGTCCTTAATAAACAATTAATCTTGAAATATTTGGTCCAGTAATTAATCAAAAAATATCTAAAAAACGGTCAAGTAATCACAATGAAAATCCCCACAAGGAGGCTCCATGATGTATGTGATACCATTTTCAATCAACTCAGTGAAATATCATGTATAATAAAACACTATGCTTTCTTAATGTTCATATATGCGCATGTTCACAGTAAATCTATGTGCGGACAGGAATCAGCCTTCATATACATGTACATTGTTGGTGTGCAGACAGGAATAAAGTGAAACGCCTACATATTGTTTGTAAAAAGGAAACAGGCGAATTGCCTACATATAGGTGTGCAGACAGGAATAAGGTGAATTGCCTACATGTACATAGTGTCTGAACGAGAATCAAGACAAAACGACCTGCATTCAATTTTTACACACATTTTAATTTAAACAAGGAAAATTTCTTTACTAATTACATTGAAGGGTATATGTTTTTTTCGGCAGACGAATTACAGTAAGTAACCTTTTTTAATTGTTTCTTTGAATGAACTGACAGTCTGAGAAAAATCTACATCATGAAGAACAATATGTTTGATGTTCCTGTGTTCAAAAGATCTGACCAAACGAATAGTTATAGTTCCTGATGACATTAACAGGGAAATATATCAGTTCGTTTCTGTTCTCTAGTGTCCAATGTAAACACAATCAACGCTAATCGGGTTTTTCAAAAACAAACGCAAAATCTACTTGTTTGAAAACGTGCTTGTACCCTTGTATTCTAGATAAATCAACTCTTAATCTTTTAAGTGTTTGTAAAAAGGAGAGGCTCACATTGCGTCAAACATTTGAATAACGTTGATGCAATCTAAGAAAAAATTGAGCAATACATTATACACGCAGACAAACAGTAAACACTGGTAAAGGCATTATAAAACAGCAAAAGAGGATATATAGTCAGAACAGGAATAGAATTATGACAACCTCTTATATATCATTTAAAAAAAACACACATAAGAACACACTATTTAAAGTTGAACAGGGACGTATATAGTTTTACTTTTAAAGTGAAAAGGGGTAGTGAAGATAAAACAACTGAAGATTATACATATTAATTTAGTACATGACATGTTGTGTTTAGTCATATAGCTTGGAAAGTAAGTCGTTTGGTCACAATACACAGTCACAACATCTCTCAGAATTACAGGTAGATGTGAGGCCAAAAAAACAAAACAAAAAACAAGTGTTTACTGTAAAGCAGTGTATGCGGGTACGAATAGTCAATTTGCCATTCTACACGTACCTACATCCGGTTTTATAATAAAATGCCATCGGATCAGGAATTACAAGGGTGAAACTTAACTTTGTAAGGCCAGTAGCCAGCTGGGCTACTAGACTTGAAAATCAGTTAGCCCAGACAAAAAGTTAGTAGCCCACTTTATTTCACTATGAGTATCACTGGTGAAGCCCGCAAAGCTAGGGGGTTTGGGGGCATGCCCCCCCCCCCCCCCCCCCCAAGAAAATTTTGAAATCTTAGACTCAAAACCCTGCATTCTGCGCATACCTGGAGGTGATTTAGATGCTTGGGAAAATGTAAATTTTGCCTTATTTTTGTTGTCGACTTCAATCAAATTTAATAAAAAAAAATCATTTACAAAATGGGAATTTTCATGCCCTGTGTACCAGTTTTTTATACGCCCGTTTACGGGACGTATAATGGTATACCGTTGTCCGTCTATCCGTCCGTTCGTCGTCAACATGTCGGACAATAACTCAAAAACGCTTTAACCAATTCGCATGAAACTTTAATGAAATGTTTATATCTATTGACGTGAGCTCCCTTTCGATTTTTGTAAATTTTAGATTTTCAGTTTCCTAGGATTGGGTTTTTTTCAATTAAAAAAGGGGCATTTTCCAGTTTTCGGACATTAACTCAAAAACAATTTAACTTATATGCATGAAACTTTGGTTTTTTGTTTATATCTATTCACGTGAGCTCCCTTTCGTTTTTGTCGAGCCTTCGACTTTAGTCGAAAAAGCGAGACATAGCGATCTTACATTCCGTCGTCGTCGTCGGTGGCGGCGTCCACAAATATTCACTCTGTGGTTAAAGTTTTTGAAATTTTAATAACTTTCTTAAACTATCCTGGATTTCTACCAAACTTGGACAGAAGCTTGTTTATGATCATAAGATAGTATCCAGAATTAAATTTTGTAAAAATAAAATTCCATTTTTTCCGTATTTTACTTATAAATGGACTTAGTTTTTCTGCCGGGAAATATTACATTCACTCTGTGGTTAAAGTTTTTAAAATTTTAATAACTTTCTTAAACTATCCTGGGTTTCTACCAAACTTGGACAGAAGCTTGTTTATTATCATAAGATAGTATCTAGAAGGAAATTTTGTAAAATAATAAATCCATTTTTTCCATATTTTACTTTTAAATGGACTTAGATTTTCTGCCAGGAAACAACACATTCACTCTGTGGTTAAAGTTTTTAAAATTTTGATAACTTTCTTATACTATTTTGGATTTGTACCAAACTTGGACAGAAGCTTGTTTATGATCAAAAGCTAGTATCTAGAAGGAAATTTTGTTTTCTTCCAGTTAACATTACATTCAGTCTGCAGTTAAAGTTTTTAAACATTTATTAGATTCATAAACTATCCTGGATTTTTACCAAACTTGGACAGAAGCTTCTTACAATCAAAAGATAGTATCAAGAGGAATATTTTTATTGATTTACTTCCTCATTTTTGTTGAGCCTGCGATTAAAAGAAAAAGTAGGCGAGACACTGGGTTCCGCGGAACCCTTACGAATTTTTTATAAATTTCGGATTTACCGTTTCGGAGTTTTGGGGTTTTATTCATTAAAAAAGGGTGGATTTTCCAGTTTTCGGACATTAACTCAAAAACAATTTCAAATTTGCAAGAAACTTTGGTGAATTGTTTATTTCTATCGACATGAGCTCCCTTTTGATTTTTATAAATTTTAGACTATAAGTTTATGATTTATGGGGTTTTATTCATTACAAAAAGGGGATTTTCCAGTTTTTGGACAATATCCTTAAAGTGCTTAGAGCAGTTTTCATTAAACTTTGATGACTGATTTATAAGATAACCTCCCTTTAGTTTTTTATAAATTTCTGATATAACATTGAGAAGTTATTGAACTTTATTTGTTTATAGTCTGACAACAGATTTACTAAGTACATGTATTGAGCAACAGCACAGTGTATTGCACAAGAAGAAGAACTCTTTATTTGAATATAAATTCAATTCATATAACCAATTTCAAGTTCTTTGACTACATTTATTCAGAAACCTATAATATGTCAAGTATTTAATTACTATCCAAATTCAGACCTGTATCAAGCTTGAATATGGTGTCCATTTTTGCCCCAACTGTTCAGGGTTGGACCTCTGCGGGCGTATCCAGCTGCGCTCAGCGAAGCAGTTTTTTTAATATCTTTTTAAGACAACTAAAGAATTCTCTGTCCTTAAATACATGTAGATGATTGATGAAATATTTAATTTTTTTCTTCAATAATCTAATTTATTAAATATCTTGATCGATTTATTTTGCGTAACTACATACATTTGTAAACAAATGACCCACCTTTTTTCTCAAAAGACTTGTACACGTATTTCAAAAGCATTGTCATAAAATTGATATCTCCTCTGATTTTCTCTTTTTTGTAAACTGTTCAGTAAGTAGGAAACTAAAATAATTTTGAACTAATGTTATTTATTTGTGGTCGACAATATTCTACTTTCGTTTTTGACCTTCATTCTCTGGACACCACGTGGGCTTTGAAAAGGGAACTACAAAAGGTACTGTTTTCCAGATTCTTAACAACATTATATATTATACGTTCTTTTATTTGACTGATATTATTTCATAACATGCTATTGTCATCTTCTATGAATTTCTTCGCTTTCTTGAAGCCAAAACCGAACAGGGTATTTGATTGCTTCATATTGTAAATGACCATCAGAACGTCTCTCTTGTTATCCTTGCAAACATACGATACTTTCCGGACTTTAAATAGATGACCAATCAGTGACCTGAATTAAGGTGAACTATATTTAGTCAAAGGTAAACACTGATTTTACATCTTTGTTTATCGCGACCGCGACTTTGCAACAATACGACTCTCGACACTTGCCTGTATACATTTTAAAAAGATTTTTTTTTCTTTTTGAATTTATATTTTTGTCAGTGAAGTAGCCGGCACTTGGAGCCACGGTAAACAGCGAATTTCTATCTGTCGAGTACTTTGTTTTCAATTCGCCACCTGGGCTACCGTAACTGGATAAAAAGATCGCCCAGGTCAATTTCTGGTCGCCATGGGCGACTGTTAAGTTTTTTCCCTGAATTAAACGTGAAATATATACGGAAATTTTCGATAAGATGGGGATTTCGTGTAGAACGAGTGAAGAGTATGAAAAATAATATTTTCAAATTGTATTTATTAGATAATGATACATAATAAACATTGCAAATTAAATGCACACTGATGGAAAATGAAACTGTACAGTCCCTGTAAAAGAAAAACATGATAAAAATTAATACTATTATAACGGAAATTGAAATTTTAAAATATCTTAAACGACTAAAATTAAAGCTTGGGTGTCTATATAAAAATTAAAGAAGCAAGTAATAATGTCACATTAAACCAATTATAAAAGAGGGGCGTAAAGGGGGGTATCTGCACGGAAGCACGCGAAATAGAATTGCCATTTCACGATGAACGAACATTTAAAAATTTCTTGCACATCGATCTTTTTACCGATTCCACGAAACACGGTGAATAACAAACCTTTTTGATGGCTGCACATGAAATAAAAATGGCAAAACACGTTGCACGAAAATAACCCTTGACCACCCTCATAAAAGTTTCATGTAACTTAGTAAGATTTGGAACAAATTTTACATATCCAATATGATTGTTTTAAAAAACTGTTCACTTACCTTTATATAAATATTTATAAAAATTCTGAGTAGTTTTAATCAATTTATTCACTAATCATGCTAATTGCAACAAATTCCGTATATATTTCATGTTTCATTCCTGATCCTATGGCATTTTATTATAAAACCGGATGTGGGTACGCGTAGCCTATGAATGGCAATTTGACTATTCGTACCCGCATGCGGGTACGCGCAGACACTGCCTTACTGTTACCTGCTGAAAAAAATTTAAGTCTGTAGGTCAGTTAAAAAAGATTGGTATGGCAAACTAAGATTAAAGTCTTATCAGGATCTAGAATGAAATCTGGTATTTTATTTACCAATATTTCCTGTTGACAAATTTGTGCAAGTTTTTTTAGTCAGTAACTGAATTAGATCTGAGAGACATGTTTTTACTCTGTTTTACACAATACTTTTGATGATTTTCAACAATAACCTAGCAGTTGATAAAAAAACTGTCAAGAATAAAACTGATGTAAATATAATTTGCATTGTTTTCAGTGAAAAAAGTTATAAAAAATATGACATTCAAAGTACAAAATGTACTTTAAACTCACATATTTATTAAGTCTCCCAAACGAAGTTTGGGAAGACTTATTGTTTTTGCTCAGTTCTTATTATTATTATGGCACCCTCAACTGAGTTGGGGTGACATATTGTTATTCTACGTTTCTTTTTTTCTTATATTTATTATTTTTCTTCCACGTTTTTTGTCCAGCTGATATCTTGGAACTTTATGAACCAATGGTCATGGTACTATACCATAATGTTACCCAACATGTGCAGATGTGCAAACAGGGTATGGCATATTCAAGATGGTGGCCGTTGTCATGGAAACTGACAAAATGTGAAAAAAATTCAAAATTCTAAATCTTTCATTATAAGACCCAAGTGGATGAAACTTTATGGAAGTGTTACCTGATATGCCTAGATGTGCATGCAATATTAAGAAGTTCCAAAATGGCCTCCATTGTCATGGAAACAGGGCGAAAGTTTAACATTGAGCCTATGGGAAAATATATAAAAGCTGCATTTTCTTAAAGAATATTACATATTGATCAATGAAACTGTATTGATATGTAACATGGCATGTGGCAATGTGGTGTCTGCTTTTGAAATTTTGGAAATTTCTATCGTTTCCATGGAAACATAAAAAATTTCAAAAATTTCATAATGCTCCAAACTTTCTGAAAATTTACAGTAATGGTAACTGGCATATGAAGATACGATATTTGACTTTGGAATTTCCAAAATGGCCACCGTTACCATGGGAATAGCAAAATTTTCCAAAATTTCAAAATGCTCCAAACTTAATGAAACTTTACAAAAATGATAATTTGCATGTGTAGATGCGCTCATTGACTTTGGAATTTTCAAAATGGCTGCCGCTCGCCTGGCAATGGGGGATGGGTGCCATCCGTTATTGCTAGCAATTACAAATCTAGTTATTATGTCACCCGATCGACAATGTCGGGTGACATATTGCTTTTCCTCTGTTTCTTTTTCCCTATTATTATGTCACCCGATCGACAATGTCGGGTGACATATTGCTTTTCCTCTGTTTCTTTTTCCCTATTATTATTATTTTTCTTCCACCTAATTTTGTCCGGCAGTTTTCTCGGAGGTAATGGAACCAATCTTCATGATTGTTGAGCATAATGAGGACCACCATCAGTGGAGTTGCAGTGAAACTTTGGAACTTTAAAATGGCCGCCGTTTCTATGGAAACAGCAAAAATGTGAAAAATATTTTTTTGTTTTTGATGACTTATTTGAGACTGCCTGAACTAAAAATCATCAAATTTTTATACAACATAGGTATCCACTATATACAGGTTTTTGATGATTTTGAGAATCATCGGTACTACTGTATTGCCATGGAAACTGGGGAAAGGTTTCCCATTATAACCCTATGGGAAAAACCTCAAAGTAGAATTTTCTCTCTTAAAATGGTGGGTCAAATCCATTGAAACTTTGATGGTATGTTCCCTCCCATGTACCAATGTGGCATATGTCATTACAATTTTGGGAATGGTCTTTGTTACCATGAAAACCAGCGAAAATGTCAAAATTTCAAAATGCAGCAAACTTAATATAACTTTATCTTAATACTAACTGGCATGTATAGATAAGACTTTTGACTTTGGAATTTCCAAAATGGTCGCCGTTGCCATGGAAACAGCAAAAATGTGAAAATTTCAAAATGCTCTAAATGTTCTGAAAATTTACAGAAAGATGTATTGCCATGCATATATTTGCATTCACTGTTTAAAATTTTTGAAATGGCTGCCTCTTAGTGGCAATGGGGGGGAAGGGTGACATCCGCTATTGCTTGCAATGGCAAATCTAGTTATTATTATTATTATTTTTCTTCCACCTAATTTTGTCCGCCCGCTTTCTCAGAGCCAAAGCTACCAATCCGAATGGAGGTTCACTATAACAAGGAACCCTGACTTTCCAGTCGCAGTGCAACTTTGGAACTAAAAGATGGCTGCCATCACCATGGAAACTGAAAAATGGTGAAAAAATATAATTTTGGAGTTTGCTGAATTATTTGAGAATGCTTAAGCTTAAAATCTTTAGATTTTAATACAATGTAGGGGCCCACTTTATACTGGTTTGGGATGATTTTGGCAATCATTGGAACTGCTATGTTGCCATGGATACTACACCAAAAATTTCAAAAATATCGAAATGCTCCAAATTTAATAAAACTTCACAGTAACGATGAGCAACATTGGTAAATAAAGAATTTGGCGTTGGAATATCGAAAATATCTGCCGTTACCATGGAAACAATGCAAAACAGGTCAAAATGCTCAAAAAACCTTAAAGTGGCATTTATTTTCTTAATATGGTAGGTCAAATCCATTCAAATTTTGATGGTATGTTCCCTCCCATGTACCAATGTGGTATCTGCCAATAAATTTTTGGAATGGTCTCTGTAACCATAGGAACAATCTAAAATGTCAAAAATTTCAAAAATTTCAAAATGCATTAAAATTGATGAAACATAATATGATTGTTGACAGGCAAGTCTGGCTGAGACTTTTGACTTTGGAATTTCCAAAATGGCCACCGTTGCTATGGAAACTGCAAAAATGTCAAAAATTTTCAAAATGATTTGAACTTAATGAAACTTGATATTATTGTTAACTGGCAAGTAAAGATGATACTTTTGACTTTGAAATTTTCAAAATGGCTGCCGTTGCCGTGGAAACGGCAAAAATGTGAACATTTTTAAAAAGCTCTCAATCTACTGAAAATTTACAGAAAGATGTATAGCCATGCATATATGTGCATTCACTGTTAAAATTTTTTGAAATGGCTGCCGCTTAGTGGCAATGGGGGAAGGGTGACATCCGCTATTGCTTGCAATGGCAAATCTAGTTATTCTTCTTCTTCTTCTTCCGCCGCTTTTAAATTTGAACTTGTCCGCACCCGTTCTCCAAAACCGCTTGTCAGATTAACAAAGGGTTTCACAATATGTTAGACTAACATGTCTAGTGGTGCAATCAGGGTTTTGTTTGTGCAATGGGGTTAATAAAGGGGTACTTTGAGGGGCTAAAAGAAAAGAGGGTTTTACTATATAGAACCCTATGGGATTTTATTTTTTAAAATTTTCAAATGATTATAAATTGAAAACCGTTTGTGATAGACACAATCTTTTTAATTGAAAATGTTCTAAATGATAAAGCCCATTAAATGATATACAGGGTTAGTCCCCAGGGGTCACCCCCACCCCGTGCCATTTAAGAAAGTTCTAATATCTAAGTGGTCAAGATCCCCACCCCTAAACCATATATATTCTGGTTTGTCATGCTAAGATGGTTTGAAAGATATACAGGGTTAGTCCCCAGGGGTCATCCCGACCCCCTGCCATTTGAGAAAGTTCTAATATCTTGTAAATGGTCGAGATCCCCACCCCTAAACCATATATATTCTGGTTTGTCATGATAAAGCACATGAAATGAAATAAAGGGTTAGTCCCCAGGGGTCATCCCGACCCCCTGCCATTTGAGAAAGTTCTAATATCTTGTAAGTGGTCAAGATCCCCACCCCTAAACCATATATATTCTGATTTGCTAAGATGCTAAGATGGTTTGAATGATATACAGGGTCAGTCCCCAGGGGTCATCCCGACCCCCTGCCATTTGAGAAAGTTCTAATATCTTGTAAATGGTTGAGATCCCCACCCCTATATATTCCTATTTGTCATGTCTCGAACATTTGAATGACGTATACGGTCAGTCCCCAGGGGTTCCCCCACCCCCAATGTTCTAATATCTTGTAAATGGTTGGGATCCCCACCCCTAAACCATATATATTCCTGTTCGTCATGTAATGAACATTTGAATGACGTATAGGACCAGTCCCCAGGGGTTCCTCCCCACCCCCAATGTTCTAGTATCTTGTAAATGGTTGAGATCCCCACCCCTAAACCATATATATTCTGGTTTGTCATGCCAAGATGATTTGAATGATATACAAGGTTGGTCCCCAGGCATCACTAATGTATATAACTTTACTGGACCAAACCAATTTTCACTGGACTTTGCTCAATGTCAGGCGACCCTGGGAATTACGAATTATGGGAGCTTCGTTTTGGAGACTTCGTAACAGCATCCTGTTACAATCATTTCTTGTTTTTTTTTTGACTGGTCTATCTATTTTTTTCTTATTAGGGATTGATAGCTGCAATATACATTTTTAGTGTAATAGTGTTACAAGTATTTTCATTAAAAACTAGGTAAATAAATTTGCAGATGACAAATTATACTTACTTAAAGTCATGTAACAGTAGGGCCACAATTAAAAATATTTCAGTTTGTCCAAACCCGACCCATGATGACTGGGTGTGGGTAGGTAGGTAGGCAAATTCTTTTTTTTTTTTTATCAGAATTTGCATGAAAATATTAAAACAGTATATCTTTTTTTTTCCGTCAAACCTTTGAAGAGACATTGTCAAATTCCTGTACAACCTCAATATGTTCACTCATGTCAGGCTCGAAAGTTTGTAGCCCACTCTTGTGGGATACAGTAAGAATGACTTCATCGGTTTTCCGCATGTCCATCTCATCAGGATTGGCAACTTCATCAAAAACATCATTCCAGATTTTCTTATCGTTAAAGCGATTAAGCCTATTAGACACAATAGGCTTTATTTTTTGGTTTATTTTAAGTAGTACAGACGACGACAGCGTTGAAAAACTGTCTGCCATTTTCACATGTTTTACTTCTTTACGTTCGTTAAATCTGTGACAGAAGATAAATACAGAGAACATCGAATATTGATTAACCGCGTCTCTTACACGCTTTCTTCTAATCTTATTCACAGTTACTTTCAAACGCAAAGATGACGAACATTAAGTTTTATAGGATGACGGAGCAGACACGAAAAAAATCCAAAAAAAAATTCTTAAAAAAAAACGGCAAAAAAAAAATTTGAGTTGGCGGGTTTTTTTTGGGTCGGTTGCTTTTGGGCAAACATACAATATTTTTATTTTGGCCTAGAAGGGCTTTTGTCACAGATTTTAGGTAAAATTTTACATATAACTCTGCTTGTTGAACTTTAACTTAAAATAAAAAAAATAATGCATTTAACACTTTTTGTATTTGAAATATTATATAATGAATTCTTTCAAAATAGGTGAACATTTGTATGGTATTCAAAGCACATGAAATCGTCAAATAAAGTTCTTAGATTTGTCTTAATATCATCAAATGTTTTTAGTACACAATTTCTAACATATACAATTTATTTACTAGAAGTTTGTAGAAATGTGAGCTTAAGAATTTAATTCAACTTCTTTCATGAAGAACATGTACATTTGTGTATATTATTTTTGAACGGATGAACAATGATTAACCATCTTATCATTTATTGCAGATAACAAAAATGGCAGACGGATACAAATCATACGGAGAGGATTACTCTCAATACTTTTACTACGATCAACAATATCCTCCACAATTCTATTATCAATATGATCCTCAGAATTACAATCATGGGATAGATAATTCACAAAATTTTTATCAAGGGGGAGGTAATCCACAACCTTATTATTATCAAGGAGGAGAAAATCAGCAGAACTTCTACTGTCAGGGACCTGCGGAAAGAGAAAATCCCCATACTCTTGGTATGAATGAAAGACCAGGTAAATCTCAGAATCTCAGAGGCAGGGGAGCATCTAGAGGAAAGTTGCCAGGCTCAAGAGGAAGGGGTAAACAACAATTTAATGCAGAAGAAAATCAAAGCATGGATAAAAGACATCAATCTAGACCTCATTTTCATGAACCAATACCAGAAAGTAAAGAAAGAACTGATTCAAATGATTCTAAGGAAAATTTTCCTTATAGTAATAGAAATAAAAATTATTCAGAGAACACCAGAAGTAGGGGAAGGGGACGGGGACAGCAATATAATAGTCGACAGTTTTATAGACATAATACAGATAGAGAGGGCAATTCTGACAACTATGATCAATATTACAAGGGTGATCGAAGGAGAGGGGACAGATATTCAATGGAAGATGATAGAGGTGATTCAAAACAATCTGAGACTAGGAATGAATATGTAAGAGAAGGTTATACACATCAAAGAGATGAAGAAAGCTCAAAGAAAGACACAGGTATTGTTTATGAAAAATCGAGGAACAGTAATGATAATTCAAATGGTAGGCAAAGGACTAATGAAAGGAGAGAGAGTAACTGGAAGGATAAGAATAGACAATATTCAGGAGGTGGGAAGTCATCACCTCGTCTTGTTGAGATGGATAAGAATAGACAGTTTTCAGGAGGTAGGAAGTCATCACCTCGGCTTGTAGAGATGGATAGTAAAGCCAGTTTTGAACGGAGAAACAATCCACAACAAAGCAGCCTAACTGATGATAAATACCAAGAGGACAGTGCACGTGTCACAGAGAAAAAATATAAGTTTCCACCAGCAGATAAAAAATTCATTAGTAAAAAACAGATGATTAAAAAGGTTTTAGCTGGAAAAGTGGATGAAACACAAAGAGGTACAAAATGTTAAATACAAATGTAATTGACACAAAAATAACAGTACATAAATAACACATAGCTAAGAGGCTGTTCCAGCAGATTGTTAACCTGAGAAAACATTGTCAACTGATGATTTACTTGACAAATATGAAAAGCTGCTTCTAACAAACAAATTGATTTCTTCATCAACATGTGAACAAGAAAAGCACGGAAAATATAGTTTATGTAATCCATTGCACTTCAGCGTAGCTATTAACTAGATAGTATCACAATGCCACTATCCCACTTCAGCGTAATAATAAAAGCACTTCAGTGTCAAACCGTTACACATCGGCATGAACATCTTACATATAAATTCATTCTTAATCTTAAGTGTTGGACAAGCATCCATACCATAAATAAATGTTGCTATTTAAAGAATATGGATATGGTGAAGTAATAAAAATTAATGCTACTTTATTATGATGTGAGGGAATTTTTATAATTAAAGTATCTTCTACTATCAGCTTAAAATATGTGATATGTTAGTTCTGATCTGAAAAAAAAAATATACTTGGTTCTTATATATGTTTTACCTTACTGATAAGAGCTTTGAATGTTGTTTTCAGGTTTACTAATAGAGCAGTTAACATTAGGATCTTATGAGTGTATGGTTTGTTGTGAGACTGTAAAATGTCATCATGCAGTGTGGAATTGTCCTGGATGTTTTCATGCCTTTCATCTTATATGTATTAAAAAATGGGCCAGGTCTCCTACAGCTTTAATGGAAGGTTTGTTTATATAATTATCACTTTTAAATTGTTACTGTAATTAAGTAGTTGCAAATATTTATAAGTGCAGATAATATATGTATATTACATTTGGGAAGAATTTTGCAAATAGTGTGAGCGTAAAGTGTTAAAGACTCACCCTATTTGTAAAATTCTTCCCAAATGTGATAGATTGAAATTTGTCACTAACTCAGAGTTTAGGTTTCTTCCATCAGTATAATGCCATGAAATAATATAATCATATGAAAATGGAGTCTTAATCCCCTTAAACCAAACAAATAATAAATTTTCTTTTTTTGTGAATTAAATTAGAATATAGACAGAAAGCAGTTATGAGCCAACAAACAGAATGAAGAAGTACGCCATGCTAAGACAAATGGACCAGAGAATTTAAAAATAAGTTAACAACCAAAGTTTACATTAAAGCCTTCAACAATGAGTAAAACCCATACAGTTTAGCTATTAAAGGCTTGGGATGACAAAATGTGAAACAAAATTCAAAAGGGAAAAACCTACTGCCTGACTTAAGACTACAAAAATAAACGAAAGACAATTATGGCAGACAGCTACTTATATCAACCACTGGGTTACCGGCTCTGACTTGGGACAGGTATATAAAGAATGTGGCTGGGTTAAGCATGTTTGTAAGCACTCAGCCCTCCCTAACCTGGTATGTTGGTGAAACAACACAACATGAACAGAAACTGTAAAAATCAGTTCAAAAGGGTCTGACTCAAATTACAACTTATATAAATAGATGTGTTTCCAGCCTTAGATATCAATCAGTACACCTCCAGCAAATTTAATGTAAAGACAAAAGTCACACCATAAGCAGGAAATAAAGCAGACTGAGAAAAGTATGACCTTGTGATATGCCAAAATATAAGTGTTTACAAGACAGTCAAGGGTGTAACTTAAATAAGTCATTAGAGAAAAATAACATATGTGTTATTACAGATACTTTCAGGAGTTGTCTTTTCTTTTTTCTTAATCTGTAGTAACATATGTTTGTTATTACATTTGTAGTTAAATATATCATAAATATTTTTACTTTTAGTGGGCACTTGGGAATTCTTGAAACTTTGCGTAGTACATGTAACTTAATACATAACCTTGATAACTTATTTTCCAATTCAATTAATACATTTTTGATCAACCATGGTAAATCAATGAGACAAGGCTTTTCAGTGATAAACTTAGCTGTAATAACAAGGCTTAGTTATTACAAGTATGTAACTTATTATACGAGACACTTGGGAATTGCTTGCACCTCATTACATGCTCTCTTCATTATTTCTTAAAATGAATTAAAATACATTGTGATATATGTCTGAGCAAAGGCTCTGAAGAGATGTAGAGAAGCTGTAATACCACCATTTAGTTATTACAGGCATATATTTTCTGTAATAACATAGGTGTACTATGCATCATTGGCAAACTATGGACTGTTATATCTTTCTAAAGTTTAGTATACATTTTTGTACATAAAGACAATAATAATATCAATAGAACTTGTATACAATTTAACAAATTTAAAGGATGTATATTGCCCCTTTGAAACATGTAACATACATATGTTATCACAGTTTTTTTTATTTTTTTAGCCCACAATAACAAATGTATGTTATTTTTCTCTAATAACTTATTTAAGTTACACCCTTGACTGCAAGATGTGGGACCATAAGTGGTAATAGCTGGATAGCAATACATGTTGAATTACTTATTCAACTATTAAGATAAAATCAATATTAGAACCGACTAACATGTTTAAGACAATATTCAAAGATCTTACTACAATGTTAGATCAATAACCTTTAAGAATTAAGTTTATTGAAAGGAAAAATAATTTAATATGGATAGTATCTTAATTTAAACGTTTATAATAAAAAATGAATTTTGCAATAAATATAACATAAAGACAGTTCTAAGATGGTCAGCTGTTTATTGAATCTTCTAAAAAATTGTTGAAAAAAATTATTCCCGTCAAATAATTTGCTTTACATGCTTTATGACAAAAAAAAAACACTTTATTTAATAGCAGTAACTTGGAAAGATGGCTGAAGACATTTAAACATGTAAGTATTCAATAATAGCTATTGGAGAACAAGTCAAAATATTTTATGTAATTATATGACTTTCAGAGATAATATTGAATTGAGTTTCACCAGTTGCTACTATTCATGCTATTTGTACTGATGTTTTTAGGTGAAGGATCAGGTTGGCGATGTCCAGCTTGTCAGAAGGTCACAGATAAATTTCCTAACCAGTATTTATGTTTCTGTGGTAAGTAGTTATTAATTTCTCTTTTTTCTTTTTAAACATTTCTTTCCTTAAAATCTTATCTAATTGAACATTTCAATGACCTTTTATTTCAACTATTGGTTTTTGAAATACTTTTGATATAAAAATAAGAAGATGTGTGGTATGATTGCTAATGATACAAGTTCAAACAACTCTCCACAAGAGAACAAATGACACAGAAATTAACAACTATAAGTCACCATACGTCCTTCAACAATGAGCAAAACCAATACCGCATAGTCAGCTATAAAAAGCCCCGAAATGACAAATGTAAAACAAGTTGAGTTGATTTTAGGACAAAACTGGCCTCAGAAAATTTCTAAAAAATTTTTGGATTCATTATGGAATTCCCTGTCAGTGAACTTGTGTTTTTCTAGTCAGGTCTGTATGTGAACTTGTGTTTTTCTAGTCAGGTCTATCAGTGAACATGTGTTTCTAGTCAGGTCTGTATGTGAACATGTGTTTCTAGTCAGGTCTGTATGTGAACATGTGTTTCTAGTCAGGCCTGTATATGAACTTGTGTTTTTCTAGTCAGGTCTGTATGTGAACTTGTGTTTTTCTAGTCAGATATGAAATTGAAAAGTGTTTTCTAGTCAGATCTGTATATGAGCATGTGTTTTTCTAGTCAGATCTGTATATGAGCATGTGTTTTTCTAGTAAGATCTGTATGTGAACTTGTGTTTTTCTAGTCAGGTCTGAATGTGAACTTGTGTTTTTCTAGTCAGGTCTGTATGTGAACTTGTGTTTTTCTAGTCAGATCTGAATGTGAACTTGTGTTTTTCTAGTCAGGTCTGTATGTGAACTTGTGTTTTTCTAGTCAGATCTGAATGTGAACAAGTGTTTTCTAGTCAGATCTGTATATAAGCATGCATGTGTTTTTCTAGTCAGATCTGTATGTGAACAAGTGTTTCTAGTCAAGTCTGTATGTGAACATGTGTTTTTCTAGTCAGAAAAAAGTATAACACCGGTATAATACCGAACTCCAAAGTAAATTCAATTCATATAAAGGAAGTCCATAAAACTGACAAAATCAAATGTTATCAACCAACAGAACAAATGCAAAAAAAAAAAAGAGACATGACGTAGCTCTTATGGAGTCAATGTGAAAGTGGCTGAATGGATTTATTGTAAATTCAGAAATTATTGTGTTCAATTATCTTTGTGATTTTGGAAGACTTAAAAAAATGTGAGATTTATCATTGTGATTTCAGGAAAAGCTTTGTACAGATATATATTCTATCAAATATCCAAATGCGAGTTCTTATTATTGCGATACTCACCCAGTCGCATTATTCTTATTAATATAAACCTCTAAATAATTTCTGAATTATAAGTAATATTTCAAGTAGTCACATTTTAAGTTTGACTTTGATTTTCCCAAATTGTAATCATGAAAAGAAGTTTTGATTAATGCAATAGAATATGTCTTTGAATATCTATGAGGTATTTTGTTAAATGTTTACAGTGTCTGCCAATTGTTTTTGTTAGATCCTTTTTCTTATGAAGTTTGTTGATGTCAGAATTGAAATTAGTAGCAGTAAAGAGACAAAACTTTTATAAGAGAAACGAATGTATATAGATATAAGAAGATGTGGTATGAGTGCCAATGAGACAACTCTCCATCCAAGTCACAATTAGTAAAAGTAAACCATTATAGGACAAAGTACAGCCTTCAACATGGAGCCTTGGCTCACACTGAACAGAAAGCTATAAAGGGCCCCAAAAATGACTAGTGTAAAACCATTCAAACAGGAAAACCAACGGTCTAATCTATATAAAAAACGAGAAACGAGTAACACTTATGAACCACATCAACAAACGACAACCAATGAACATCAGGTTCAATCTGTTTCAATAATAATTCCTATTGAAATTGAATGAATTTCAGTAGTAAAAGTAACAACTGGAAAATTTGAATTACTAACCTATGTTTTTACCATGTTCATACTTTGTAAAATATAAAATTGTTTTTTCAGGTAAAATAAGAGATCCTCAATGGGATCGTATGGAGACACCTCATAGTTGTGGACAAGTTTGTGGGAAGAGTAGGGGAGATAACTGTTCACATCAGTGTAACATGTAAATACTTCCATATTGTCTTAATTTGTCATCTTAAAAAAGTAATTATCCAGTGAAGCTTAAGTGAATGTACAATAATGAGATTTAAAGATTGATGCTACATGTAGTTGTGAATGTATATAGACTACACACACAATTTTTGAAGATGCATGCTGATTTTTCAAGCATATAAGAATACATTCTTATCACTTTCTGTGGTGAAAATAAGTAATATTATATAATTTGTCATATTATAATATGTATTAGCTGTTTATTTGGGAGTACAATGTATATATATATGGTCTAGAGCGCTGGACATGAGGCTAAGCGATTGGTGCTGTAGTGTATCAAAGGTGTGAGTTCGAATCCCGTTGAGGGACAAAAATTTGTCAGCATAAAAGTCTAATTCTAACACTGTTGGGTGTAATTTTCAGACTTATATAAATATTTGTATTAACCCTGCGTCTCAAACACACTGAGATCCAGTGGGCATATATATTGTATGGTTGTCACTTGCTTAGACTTGTTTGTATGATATACTTATTTCTAGTGACTGTATAATGAATTGAATCATTATCCCATACGGTATATAAAAATTGTTGAGTTAGATTGCTGACAAATAACAAATACATTGTGTATTTAATAATAATATAACATCTTCACACGCTTAAAACACATGTCTTATGTCTATCTCCAGATTCGCCTTACGTGACAAGGTAACACTACGACTATTGAAGTTATATTTTTATATAGCGGATGTGGTCGTGTGGTCTAGAGCGCTGGACATGAGGCTAAGCGATTGGTGCTGTAGTGTATCAAAGGTGTGAGTTCGAATCCCGTTGAGGGACAAAAATTTGTCAGCATAAAAGTCTAATTCTAACACTGTTGGGTGTAATTTTCAGACTTATATAAATATTTGTATTAACCCTGCGTCTCAAACACACTGAGATCCAGTGGGCATATATATTGTATGGTTGTCACTTGCTTAGACTTGTTTGTATGATATACTTATTTCTAGTGACTGTATAATGAATTGAATCATTATCCCATACGGTATATAAAAATTGTTGAGTTAGATTGCTGACAAATAACAAATACATTGTGTATTTAATAATAATATAACATCTTCACACGCTTAAAACACATGTCTTATGTCTATCTCCAGATTCGCCTTACGTGACAAGGTAACACTACGACTATTGAAGTTATATTTTTATATAGCGGATGTGGTCGTGTGGTCTAGAGCGCTGGACATGAGGCTAAGCGATTGGTGCTGTAGTGTATCAAAGGTGTGAGTTCGAATCCCGTTGAGGGACAAAAATTTGTCAGCATAAAAGTCTAATTCTAACACTGTTGGGTGTAATTTTCAGACTTATATAAATATTTGTATTAACCCTGCGTCTCAAACACACTGAGATCCAGTGGGCATATATATTGTATGGTTGTCACTTGCTTAGACTTGTTTGTATGATATACTTATTTCTAGTGACTGTATAATGAATTGAATCATTATCCCATACGGTATATAAAAATTGTTGAGTTAGATTGCTGACAAATAACAAATACATTGTGTATTTAATAATAATATAACATCTTCACACGCTTAAAACACATGTCTTATGTCTATCTCCAGATTCGCCTTACGTGACAAGGTAACACTACGACTATTGAAGTTATATTTTTATATAGCGGATGTGGTCGTGTGGTCTAGAGCGCTGGACATGAGGCTAAGCGATTGGTGCTGTAGTGTATCAAAGGTGTGAGTTCGAATCCCGTTGAGGGACAAAAATTTGTCAGCATAAAAGTCTAATTCTAACACTGTTGGGTGTAATTTTCAGACTTATATAAATATTTGTATTAACCCTGCGTCTCAAACACACTGAGATCCAGTGGGCATATATATTGTATGGTTGTCACTTGCTTAGACTTGTTTGTATGATATACTTATTTCTAGTGACTGTATAATGAATTGAATCATTATCCCATACGGTATATAAAAATTGTTGAGTTAGATTGCTGACAAATAACAAATACATTGTGTATTTAATAATAATATAACATCTTCACACGCTTAAAACACATGTCTTATGTCTATCTCCAGATTCGCCTTACGTGACAAGGTAACACTACGACTATTGAAGTTATATTTTTATATAGCGGATGTGGTCGTGTGGTCTAGAGCGCTGGACATGAGGCTAAGCGATTGGTGCTGTAGTGTATCAAAGGTGTGAGTTCGAATCCCGTTGAGGGACAAAAATTTGTCAGCATAAAAGTCTAATTCTAACACTGTTGGGTGTAATTTTCAGACTTATATAAATATTTGTATTAACCCTGCGTCTCAAACACACTGAGATCCAGTGGGCATATATATTGTATGGTTGTCACTTGCTTAGACTTGTTTGTATGATATACTTATTTCTAGTGACTGTATAATGAATTGAATCATTATCCCATACGGTATATAAAAATTGTTGAGTTAGATTGCTGACAAATAACAAATACATTGTGTATTTAATAATAATATAACATCTTCACACGCTTAAAACACATGTCTTATGTCTATCTCCAGATTCGCCTTACGTGACAAGGTAACACTACGACTATTGAAGTTATATTTTTATATAGTGGATGTGGTCGTGTGGTCTAGAGCGCTGGACATGAGGCTAAGCGATTGGTGCTGTAGTGTATCAAAGGTGTGAGTTCGAATCCCGTTGAGGGACAAAAATTTGTCAGCATAAAAGTCTAATTCTAACACTGTTGGGTGTAATTTTCAGACTTATATAAATATTTGTATTAACCCTGCGTCTCAAACACACTGAGATCCAGTGGGCATATATATTGTATGGTTGTCACTTGCTTAGACTTGTTTGTATGATATACTTATTTCTAGTGACTGTATAATGAATTGAATCATTATCCCATACGGTATATAAAAATTGTTGAGTTAGATTGCTGACAAATAACAAATACATTGTGTATTTAATAATAATATAACATCTTCACACGCTTAAAACACATGTCTTATGTCTATCTCCAGATTCGCCTTACGTGACAGGGTAACACTACGACTATTGAAGTTATATTTTTATATAGCGGATGTGGTCGTGTGGTCTAGAGCGCTGGACATGAGGCTAAGCGATTGGTGCTGTAGTGTATCAAAGGTGTGAGTTCGAATCCCGTTGAGGGACAAAAATTTGTCAGCATAAAAGTCTAATTCTAACACTGTTGGGTGTAATTTTCAGACTTATATATATATATATATATATATATATATATATATATATATAAAGAAAAGTCAAATAGAATCTGTATGCTGGTAACATATAAGAAAATTAATATAAGATAATGACGGTTTCAATTCATCACTTTAACTAGCGCTTTCACTGCTTTCACAGATCTTCATTAATTGTTTTATAACATTTATGTATACAAGTCACATTACCTGAAGATCTGTGAAAGCAGTGAAAGCGCTAGTAAAAGTGATGAATTGAAACCGTCATTATCTTATATTAATTTTCTTATATATATATATATATATACATGTATCTGTTGTAGATTATGCCACCCAGGACCATGTCCACCCTGTAATGCTGTGGTGAATAGAAATTGTGCATGTGGAAAAGAGAGGTTAGTTTTATAACATTAACTCTTATTGTTAATGAAAACTGTAATTTCATATACTAAATTTAGTTTGCCTTCAATTAAAACCTTTTTATTTTAGACATAGGTATTAGTAACTTATATTTTCAGGTGAACTTCAAGAAAGAGTCCTAAAAAAATTGAGTCTCAACTGATTTGATGCTTTCCAATGATTATAAAGTCCTAATTGATTCATAGTTCATTTTTTGTTGAGCTTGCAACATTTATGTCGTAGAAGCTAGATGCAGCCATCCTACATTTCGACGTCGTCATCTGTGTCAGCATTAGGTTCAGTCTGTTAAAGTTATTTTAGACATCAATAACTTTGTTAAACCTTCTTGATTTTATTGTCGAGCCTGCAACTTTTGTCGCAGAAAACTCGACATAGGGATAGTGATCCGGCGGCAGCGGCGGCGTTAGCTAACTTCTTAAAAGCTTTATATTTTAGAAGCTAGAAGACCTGGATGCTTCATACTTTGTATATAGATTCCTTATGTTACGAAGTTTCCGTCTGTCATATGTCCATTGTCCTTGACCTCATTTTCAAGGTTCAGTGACTACTTGAAAAAAAAGTCAACAGTTTTTGTAATGTTAATTTCTTTCTTATTATGAGTAATAGGATAACTATATTTAGTATGTGCGTACCTTGCACCGCCCTCATGCCCGTCAGACAATTTTCATTTGACCTCGACCTCATTTCATGGATCAGTGAACAAGGTTAAGTTTTCGTGGTCAAGTCTATATATCAGATACTATAAGCATAAGGTCTACTATATTTGGTATATGGAATGATTGTAAGGTGAACATGTCAGTCTCGCAGGTTTTATTTGACCTTGACCTCATTTTCACAGTTCATTTCTCAGTGTTAAGTTTTTGTGTTTTGGTCTGTTTATCTTAAACTATAAGCAATAGATCAACTATATTTGTTGTATGGAAGGATTGTAAGGTGTATATGTCTGTCTGGCAGGTATCATCTGACCTTGACCTCATTTTCATGGTTCATTGGTCAATGTTAAGTTTTCATGGTTAAGTTTGTTTTTTAGATACTATAAGCAATAGGTCAACTATATTTAATGCATAAATTGATTGTAAGGTGTACATGTCTGTCTGGCATGGTTCATCTGACCTTGACCTCATTTTCATGGTTCATTGGTCAATGTTAAGTTTTCTTGGTTAAGACTGTTTCTTAGAAACTATAAGCAATAGGTCAACTATGTTTGGTTTATTGAATGATTGTATGGTGTACATGTATTTCTCGTTTGGTTTATCTGACCTTGACCTCATTTTCTTGGATCATGTTAAGTTTATGTGTTACTTGTAGTAAAGCTTTATATTTAGGACTATCAACATAAAATCAATGGTTAGTAAAGAAGGCGAGACATTTCAGCATGTGCACTCTTGTGTAATTAAGACAGAAGCTTTTTTATGATCAAAAGAGCAAAATAATGAATACTTTTTTTTCATTTTGCCATATCTAACTGATCAAATGACTTAGTTTATTTATCAGTTATAATGTAGATACAGTCTGAGGTTAATGTTTGTTAGACATCAATCATTTTGTATAACCTTCATAGAATCTTATGAAACTTTGGCAGAATCTTCTTTTCTTCAAGGTAAAAAAAAGCATATGAAGAAGAAATTTGATATTAAAAACTTTGAACTATAACCCTGTTAGATTTTGATAATAATACTGCTTAGTATTAAATATCTGTGTTATGATAATAATGTTTTTTGTTTATTTTCAGTAAATCTGTGAAGTGCAGTATAACTGATGTAATGAAGTGTGATACTATTTGTGGTAGAGTGTTAAACTGTGGAAAACATTTCTGTAAAGCTTCCTGTCATGGTGGTTCTTGTGAACCATGTGAAGAAATTATTATTAAAGGTTATTGTTATTATGTTTATGTCAACTGAGTGGCTAGTTTGATATCTATTGTGTTCAATATAAATCACTTTCTGATCATGTATAATGACGAGTAACTTTAACAATATTTTTGCATCATGGTTAAGGACAGGTAATAAAAAATTGAGTAAATATCAGACTATTAAAAATCTAAAGGAAAATATACTGGAAAGTCTTACATGTTACAACAAATGAAAGTGGTAGATATGTGAACATGCTATACTGTGTGATGCATTATCATATTCAATGCAGGTCAACTTCCTGTTTATTGAATACTTATATATTCTTACACATAGTAGTCATGTATGAAATCTTTGTTGCATTTTTCTCCGGCATTATTGAAACGAGCTTCTTGAAGATTGATATCAAACTTTATGTGAGCATGCTATACCATGGGACGCATTATCTCATTTATTTCCCATCAATATATTTTTACACAAAATGGTCATGTCTACGTAGCATTTATCAAAGAAACTTCAAATCAGAATTTCCTTTTAGTATCAAGATTCATGTGAACATGTCATACTGTGTAATGCATTTCTACATCTATCACTCATCAATATTTTTGTTTACCAAATACTTATTAATGGGGATATCATAAGGGAGCAATAGCTCACTCTTCATCATGCTTCTTTTGAACTTATATTTAAGGAAATAATGTTCAGGTTTTTTTTAAATGCACGAGCAACAATGATTTTTACAGGCCTTGAGCACTCAATATTTAACTTGCTGTCTACTAGGGTTTTGTTTTATAGTATAATTATTTGCTAATAAATCCTAATGCAGATAAATTAAATTATTACATTGGTTGCAATAAAATAACTTGATTTCCTAGTTAGGTTAAAATTTATAATTTCACTTCTCTGATGTCATACTACAAAGGGTGTTTTCAAGGCATTATTGATGATGTTGCATCAAAACGAATTGACAGTGCGTAGAAACAGATATAGCACCTGGTATCCATAGTTTATTTCCATCAAAAACATCATGGTCAAGCTAATAAAAAGAATAACTAATCATAGAATTCAAATATTGAAAAATATTCAACTCCTGACTGAACCACACTGATAATTATCTCAGGCTCTATGTGCATTTGTTAATAAATGTGTTGTTCAGTCACTCTTTGAATATGTTTCTATATTTGAAATCTTCAATTAGTATATTCTATAAATATTTTACTACTACAAACCATTTATAACTTTTTGTAACAATATTTTAATTTGAGCATGACTTTTGTGACATAAATTTAGACTTGAGTGACTTTAATTACATTTTGGTATTAAATCTGAGAATCATTTATGCACATTTATGCACATTTATGCACATTTATTTTAGTGTTATTTTACCAATTTAACCTTTAAAAGCACAATACTATTTAACATATTGATCTCAAAGACCTACAATTAATGATGAACTTTTGACCTTTGTTTATTAAAAAGTAAAATGAATAGTTGTAAATCAGTAATATGTTACCTCCAGATTTTCATTCAGTAGTTCAACTTAAGAATAAAATTGATTTTAAGTTATACTGATATAACCAGACTTTCTAGTATTTTTTCTCGTAAAAGTTTTTTTTATGTTTTATGTCATTGTATAGATGTACTGGCACATTGTAATAAAGAGCTAAAAGGGAGGTGCTCTAGAAAATAATCTTATGCACTGAGAGAAGTCCTAGGTTATTGACATGAACATACTACCACAAACTTAGTGGTACATGTATCATTTAAGAAAACTGTTATTTCAAAGTCTTATTTGGTTTAAACTGTTATCAAATTATGCACAAAATTTCAAAAATAGTTTCAACTAATTGAAAAATCATAAGGATCAACCTGACCTTGAAGATGATTGATTGTGTTATTGAGGAATAAAACCAAAACTAGTACAGTATACCTTAGTTGACATAAAATGGGACCCACCTAGATTAACACTAAACTTTTACGTTGTCAAACTAGTTTTTCAAAACAACCAATTTTATAAATTTTAGAATAGGGCCATAGCTAATTATTTAAGGTTGTGTCTTTCTAGATATCTGGCTAGTTATTTCATTCTTATCTGAAAAATGAAGATGTGAAGAGAATAATAGAAAATGCCTCTACAGTAAAAATCATTTTTGTTTGGTGTATTTTAGTCATAGACTTCATAAGTACCAGAAGTAGATAATAATTATGTTGTATCTTCTACTCTACAGAATGTTATGGATCACATGAGAAGAAGGAGGTTAAATGTGGATGTATTGAATCATTCAGTAAATCTTTTAGTTGTGGGAATCCTTGCAAAAAGTAAGTAACGTTTGTATTAATAAAAAATTTATCAATTTATCTTTCATATGGTATAGTGTAGTATGGAGAATGAAAAAAAAACAGTTGGCTCAGTCCCAAATGGTATATTTCATTGTGTTGATATATTATTGAGGAGGAGAAATTGGTAGTAAAGTCAATATAATTCACGATTTTAATCCCAGAATTTGTCACAAATCTTCATTTTATGCCCCCGCCATAGCGGGGGGGGGGGGCATTAAGTTTTACCCTTGTCCGTCTGTACGCACAAAATTGGTTTCCGTTCTCTTACTTTAGTTTGCCTCAACCAAATGTTATGAAGCTTATACACAATGCTTATTACCACAAAACACAGATCAAGTTCGAATTTGGGTGGCGTTAGATTTACCTTTCTAGAGTTATGCCCCTTTACAAATGGAAAAATTGCTGAATTTTTCGTTTTGGATCTCTAACTTAAATTTGCCTCAACCAAATGTTATGAAACTTATACATTATGCTTATTACCATAAAACACAGATCAAGTTCAAATTTGGGTGGCGTCATTTACCTTTCTAGAGTTATGACCCTTTACAAGTGGAAAAATTTCTGAATTTTTCATTTCGGATCTCTAACTTGAATTTGCCTCAACCAAATGTTATGAAACTTATAGACAATGCTTATTACCACAAAACACAGATAAAGTACGAATTTAGGTAGCGTCACTTTTACTGTTCTTGAGGTATGTCCCTTTATAATGTTGTAAGCTAGCAGGTGCATCATCTGTGTCCCATGGACACATTCCCCATTTATTTTGTATGCTTTTCCTTTTTCTTCCTTCTGACCATATCAAAATGATATTAATAGAGCATTTGGGACAGGTATAAGAAATTTCACAAGCTCACTGTTTTATTTTTCTTTTAACTTTTTCTGTTTACAATCTGGAAAAACGTGGAGGAGTGCCAATATTAAACTAAAGAGGTTATATCATTACAGGTCGTTAGAATGTGGTCATCATGAATGTGATATGGTATGCCATGCTGGAGATTGTAAAACCTGTGAAACGTTACCTGAGGTGGTCACTAATTGTCCTTGTGGTGCCACACCCCTCTCTGACCTGTCTACAGAAATCAGGACATCATGCACTGATCCTATACCAACTTGTGCTCAGATCTGTAATAAACCCTTGGGCTGTGGATCACCAGGTAATGTAAACATTAATTGTATTATGTATTCTTATTGTTAAGTTAGTAGTTAATTTATTTGATTAGATCATGTAAAAAATAACAGTGCATAATTCTTGAATCTTTTAAAAGCAGAATTTTATTGTATATTTGTATGATAGTATATCTGGCAATGTTAATGTGTGTTTGGTTGGTTGGGGGGGTGGGGGGGGGGGGGTGGAAGCTTGTTATGTGATGTCAAATTTTTCAGGGGGAAATGCATTAATTGGAAGATCATGTATTGAATTTTATTATAAATAAACCTTCAACAATGTATAAAATAATGTTTTGTTTATATTGCATTATTTGTTGTTGTAGAGAATGTACACAAATGTCAAGAAAAATGCCATGAAGGGCCCTGTGGTCCATGTGATGATGTAACCACACTTAGATGTCGCTGTGATTCTCTAGATAAAGACATCCCTTGTAAGGAGGTGCACCAATTTACAGAGGAGAAACCATTTACTTGTGAAAGAAGGTGTAATAAAAAGAGATCGTGTGGCAGACACAAATGTGGACAATTGTGTTGTGTAGTAAGATATCATTACTTTGTAATATTGAGTTAAGGCATTTGGAGAAAGTTAATGATTCTCACAATTCATTTTTATTCTTATTGAAAACTTACTGGCAGATTATGTAGCCCTATTCATGTTCCTTTGAATATTCATATGTGGCATACTGAATTAAAAAATAAAATAAATCAATTTTATTGATAATTCAAAAATTCATATTTTTAGAATTTTATGTTATTTACACAATGGCTACTTTATATATTTGATTGTTTTCTTACAGAGTGAAGAACATTTCTGTATTCTAATATGTGGCAGGAAATTGAGCTGTGAGCTTCATAAATGTGATGAGCCTTGTCATCGTGGAAACTGTCCGCCATGTTTAATGACAAGTAAGATTGAATAAGCTGTTGATCAGAGAGCTTCTACTGTTAAAACACTCTTTTGTTATATTAATTCTACTTATATTTAGAAATGAAGAATTTTCAAAAAAAAAACAGTAATACATTTATATTCTGGAAATACATGTATAGTGATACGTCCATGTGCTTTTTTTTTTAAACAATAACTTTTAAAATGCTTCAAATGGTTGTTGAAAAAATATCTCTGAATTTTCAAATGAATGAAATGTACAATTTAGGTTGCACTTTGTAAATACAGCTGTTTCACAAACCACACCTCTTATGGGGAGATATTTAATGTTCATAGATATTTTGTTTTGTTTACCTACTGGTTCCTAGATATGATCTCTTTGTTTCATATCATAGAGACACAACTTGGGAATTTTACCAGTACACATGGATAGTGGCCAAATTGAATTCTGAGGAAAACCCAAAGTAAAGGGAGGGGTAGTACACAATTTTTGGATAAGTTAAAACTCTTAAGAAGTTTGAGGCACATTAATGTTGAAAATATGCTGCACAGCCCTATGTCTTGTCCTTTTAAAAAAATAGTAGTGCATATGAACTTTCCATTCTAGGATATACTTTTTTACAAAACTTCATAGTAAAAGTGGCACAGTTTTAGCAGTAAAAGGAGTTCCTATGGGAAATTGCATTGTCTATATTTACAGAAGTGCAACCTATAGGTGCTAGATGGTAAAAATAACAAGGATAACAGTATTGTAATAGAGATGTCTGTTTCTAGAAAAATGTAAAATATATATGAGTTGATGAGCACACATTTCTAATACATTTCTGAGGGAAAACCAGAGGTTTCAAAAGTTATGTTCAAGTTCAAAATGTGCGTAATATACATCCTTATTGAATGATAGTAGATATTGTGGCATATATTCATGACCTTAGAATACATTTAGGGTAAACAATTAGTTACTTTCAAAATAATCAACATTGTTATTCCAATAATTGCAATAATACCATAAATTAAGGTTCATGTACCACCCACATTGAGCTAACTGTTTTGTCAGTTTACAGAAACTGTATATCATAAGTATTACCAAATCCTTTAAAACATAGGTTGCTTTATTTGAAATGTTCAGATAATACAGTGAAAGCACTGTGTAGGCTACTGTAAAAAGTAAAAGCAGGATAAGAAAAAATGTATGACTGGTTCAAAAATATATTTATATGTAATGAATTTGCTTAAAGGCTTCAATTATATCAATTGAGTTAGACTACAGAAAATATTTAAACCAAAATATTTTTTATGAAAAGATTTTTTCAAAAGCAGGTTATTATATAATGTTATGTTTTAAGGAAATTAAGTTTGTTGTAAATTATGTACTCAGTAATTAAATAGACAACTCCCTCAAAAAGATGAATAAACAAATAGGGAATAAAAAAAAAGAAAGGTGTTGATTAAATGCAATGTTGTAAATTATAGAATATTTTAAACACCAGTGTGAGTATCCTTATTCTTAGTGTTTTAATAGATATAAGAAGATGTGGTATGAGTGCCAATGAGACAACTCTCCATCCAAGTCAAAATATGTAAAATTAAACCATTATAGGTCAAAGTATGGCCTTCAACACAGAGCCTTGGCTCACACCGAACAGCAAGCTATAAAGGACCCCAAAAATGACTAGTGTAAAACCATTCAAACAGGTACATAAGTACATTTGATGGGAAAATTAAATCTGCTATAATTCATAAACGTGTTATGGTTTTAATAAATTTAGATTTTGATTTGTGTTTTGATTAAAGGCTATGATGAATTGACATGTCATTGTGGAGCTGAAGTGATGCTACCTCCTATACCTTGTGGAACCAAACCGCCTGAATGTAAAAATCTTTGTTCACGACAACATGACTGTGATCATACAGGTATAATGACTTTTGATTTCTGTATAAGCATCAAAACAGAATACTGTGAATTTTGACATGATAAGTTCTGTTGAGTTACCTTATGGTGTTGGCAAATTTCACAGAGTTATTCTTGAAATATCTATTCTTACTGTCACTTGGCTTAATTAATGAGTAAGTATTTAAGTACTTTTTTACTCAAACACAAGGAGTGCTTGATATATCTATTACAATGCTAGTTTTGTTGCTTGTCATGTAAATAAATATCTTGCAAATAGAAATAATACATTTTAAATACTACTGCGTTAAAATCTTTAGGCAAGTATCATAAAAATTAATTAGGGCCCCGCCGAATGGCGGGTCGCCCTATAGTGATCAGTCTGTCCGTCGGTCCGTAACAAATTGTGTCCGCTCTGTATCTAGAGAACCATTATTATTTCATACTTTATACTTGGCATGCATATTAACCAACACCAGAGGGTGTGTCATAATGTATGTACAACTTCCTAGGTCAAAGGTCAAGGTAAAAAACTTTGGTTTCAGTTGACATCCCTATGTCCTATGGTAAAGATTGTGTCCGCTCTGTATCTTGAGAACCGTTATGATTTCAAAGTTTATACTTGACATGTATATAAACCAACACCAGAGGGTGTGTCATAATTTATGTACAACTTCCTAGGTCAAAGGTCAAGGTCAAAAACTTTGGTTTCAGTTGACATCCCCATGTCCTATGGTAAAGATTGTGTCCGCTCTGTATCTTAAGAACCATTTTGATTTCAAAGTTTATACTGAACATGTATATTAACCAACACCAGAGGGTGTGTCATAATGTATGTACAACTTCCTAGGTCAAAGGTCAAGGACAAAAAATTTGGTTTTAGTTGACAACCCCATGTCCTATGGAAAAGATACAAATTTTTTACCACACGTTATTCACAATGGGGCCCACAGAGATGGCTCCCATCTCAATGATGTCTAGTTTATTTATCCTCAATTCTTTTCAAATTGTCTAGGCACTATTTGCATATGTGCATCAGATAATGCAAATAATCAATATAGTACGTAAAATTTTGAGACTTTTGAGGGAACAAAATATGTATCTTGCCACTAGCCATGCCTTACTGGTACTCTTCCCCACCTTAAAAATGAAAACCAGTCAATCCAAGTACAAGACAACTCAGACTGTCTATAAAAAGGTCAACTCAAGCAGTCTATAGAGACATCCTGGACAGTTCTATAGACATTATTTGATCAATTTGAAGAAATATATTGAACACTATTTGGACTATCTATGTAGACAACTGGGACTCATTCTGTACTGCCTTCAACAATGAGAAAAACCTAAGGCCAGGTCATGACAAGATGCAGCAATCGACAACAACTACATAATTATAGCAAACCCTACAACAATTTCTGATTTATAGTGGCTCTTGACAAGGGACAGGCATATCAATTTTATAATTAATGTGGTCAAGTAAGACATAATTCTGAGTGCTAAACTTTCAATTAATTTAAGACAGTAGTGTAACGGCAATACACAAGAACAAACTGTAAAAATCATCGGAAAGGGTTGTATTGATCAGATTGATAAGAAGCACAAAATAAACGTAGGCCATCAAGTGTTTATAGCTGAATAATTTGATTTTGGATGTAACATGTCTTCTGATTGGCTGTGAGAATTTTGTTTATCAGCTCATAGATAATAATGTTGTCGTGACTGTGACGTCATCAACATTTTTTTCATGATTTACTCCTTAAAAATGGAATTTAGAATTAAATTATAAGGAATGGTTGTAATATTTTTTCTGTCTATGAAGAAATAACATAAAAAATTTGGTGCACACTGTTAAATAACCCGCTACGCGCATTATTCAGTGTGCACCACATTTTTGATGTTATTTCTTCATAGACAGAAAAAATATTACAGTCATTCCTTAAATAGCAATGCATATTAAGTTATGTTTTAATTTATCAAAACTAAATCAATGCGAGTAAGTACAACTATTGCTTCTTATAAATCATAGAATTGATCAATTCTTATTCGAAACTTGTAGATACTTCATCACAAAGATTAATTCCATAACACCATAGTGAGACAAAATTTACTTTTTCTCACATTTTTGTCTCGCCTTCGACAAAAGTCGCGGAAAGCTGAACGTATAGATTGCTTTTCCGTTGACGACGGCATCAACAATTGTTAAGTTTTCTGCTTAAGTTAGTTTAATAAGAACTACTAGTGATAGATCATTGATATTTGATATACATTTGCATTACTATCACACACAGTATCAGTACATATCAGTTTGACGACTATTTTGAGGCCCTGTCCCCTAGAAAATGGTTCAGTGACTTTGAATTCAATTTTCAATGTTAAGTTTTCTGCTTAAGTTAGTTTGATAGGATCTACTTGTGATAGATCAGTGATATTTTGTATGAAGTTGCATTACTATCAGTACATATCAGTTTAATGACTATTTTGAGGCCCTGCCCCCTAGGACATGTCCAGTGACTTTGAATTAATTAGAAAATTTCAGTGTTAAGTTTTCTGCTTAAGTTAGATGTGCATTTATAACTGTGTTTATTCGTAATATACTACCCATGTCATATTTAAAGTTTCATATATGATAGGAACTACTTAAAGTAGACAACAATATTTTCTACATCTCAGTTTGTCAACCATTTCTAGGCCTTGCCCACAAGATCATGGTCCAGCGACTTTGAATTAATAAGCAATGTTGATGTCCATCAGATTGTCTTTTTCTGAATTTAATGCAGACAGGCGAGACAAATCTATGTGTCAACAGTTTATTTAATTTAGATTGAGTGTCCTGACTTTTAGTCAGAATATGCTTGTGTCACCACCTGTATAGTGTTATAAATATGAAGGAAAAATATGGTTTTTTAGTCCGCTACTGATGAAGTCAAAGGGGACTTTAGGTTTACACTCCGTCCGTCCGTCTGTCTGTCCATCTGTCAGTCCGGCAAATCAGTTTTCCAGACTTTTTTTCTTCGTTCTTGAAGATATTGATGTGATATTTGGTTTATTGATTTATCATGACAAGTTACAGGTCAAGTTCAATTTTCACGATTTTAGCTTTTCTCTTTGTTCAGTTAAAGCCCTTTCCCTAGAATTAAATTTTTGATGAAATACTTATTAATTAGTAGATTTCTGTTCAAAGGGAAATAACTCATTTTTTAAAAGACAAAATGCCATTTTTGATTTTTTTCCTTTTCTTTGGTAAATTGTTTGAAGAATTTAGTGGTAGGTTTGTTTGTCATTCTTGAAGATATTGATTTGATAATTAGTATATAGTTTTATCATTACAAGTTACAGATCAAGTTGGAATTTTGTTCCAGTCTGATAATTTTGTGCACAGTTATGGTCTTTGGATATAGAAAATTCACTTAAATAATCAGTTTTCAACAGTTTTTTTCGTCATGCTTGAAGATTTTGACTTGATATTTTATGTAGTTTACACCATGACAAGTTATAGATCAAGTCAGAATTTCGTTCCTTTACAATGAATTTGTAACCGGCAGGGGACTCTGTATTGCCATGCAATACTCACAGAATGCTTGTTTTTTTTAAAGAACCAGTCCTTGAACCATGTTTTTTTACTTTCAGTATATCATTATTGTCACAGTGAAGAGGAATGTCCACCATGTACTGTGTTGACTGAGAAGAGGTGTATGGGTAATCACGAGGTAAACATTATCAGTACAACTTTGGGGTTGGGTAAAATAATATTTCAAGGACATTTGATTTGATTGTTTAGTATTACAAATTCCCCATACAAATCTATAGAAAATTAGTACTGTCTTAAACACTTATATTAAGGGTTTACCTTTACCAACAAAATCATTAAAATTTTGTACCCCTCAAATAGTAGATATAAGAAGATGTGGTATGAGTGCCAATGAGACAACTCTCCATCCAAGTCACAATTTATAAAAGTAAAACCATTATAGGTCAAAGTACAGTCTTCAACACGGAGCCTTGGCTCACACCGAACAGCAAGCTATAAAGGCCCCAAAAATTACTAGTGTAAAACCATTCAAACGGGAAAACCAACGGTCTAATCTATATAAAAAACGAGAAACACTTATGAACCACATCAACAAACGAAAACTACTGAACATCAGATTCCTGACTTAGGACAGGTGCAAACGATTGCAGGGGGTTTAATGTTTTAATGGTACCAAATCTTCATCCTTATCTGAAACAATAATGTAACATCACAACATAGAAAGACACACTATAAGATATCAATTGAAATGGCTTAACTCAATCAAAAGACATATTAACACCAGTGAACATACACTGAACAAATAAATTTGATCTATGATACAATGCAAATACAAAATAAATAAACTAAGGGAAGAATAATTAAAGTAACATGTTATACCGCTGTGAAATAATAACGAATATAAGAAAAACAATATGCTAGAACAAAAATATCAGCCATTTGCAATTACTTTAAACACAGGTAAATGAAAATAATTTTGTTGTTAGGTATACGTGAACAGGTCAAATGAAGAAAGGAAATATTTTTACAAAATAAATAATTTTGATGATAATTGTACGAAAAAGTTAAAATTTATAGTAATACCAAACACTTATCAAAGCTGGTATATAGACCAGATATAACCCTGAATAACATTAAACAACAAAAAAAGCATTACAATTAGTATCAACAGGTCAAATAAACAAGAAAGTACAATTTGAGAGTACTCGCAGTTACTGACAGCTAGTTAAAAGTCAAAAACAATTAATAATAAAAAAATCATGCATCAGAGACTAAAATCAACTAAAACACATCCCATCAGAATTATCATCATCTCTTAAACTACATTCATAATCTTTACCAATTATACCACAGATAATATAAAACAGATGTTTCAAAAAATATCTCATTTAATTCCCAACATTGGCACCAGAGACACATCTCTGTAGATCATGTGTGCTGCTGATAGCAAACATTTATCTTATTAAATTTTTTTTAGTCCTGAAATTTGATTATAATGAATTTGTCTATTTCAGCTGAGAAAGAACATTCCTTGTCATCAAAATAATGTATCCTGTGGTTTACCATGCAACAAGGTGTTACCATGCCAACAACACAAATGTTTGAAAACTTGTCATTCTGTAAGTAATCCAATATTATTTAAATGATGGTATTTGTAGCTACGGCTGGCTGTCTGGAAAAGTTAATCATAATAACCTAATGATATTTATACATAAATATACAGACTTATATAAAAAAGTTTTCCTTATTGGTTTTTGTCAACCAAGAGACTTCCACATTAACACAAAGATGCAAATAAAGTTCTAGGCCACCCTTAACAAATTCTTTGTTTGATGTTGACTACCCATGCCTTGTAGGTTGGGTAGTTAGGTGTAGATTTTATGGGGTTTTTTTTGGCCAATAACAAAAGTTACATGTTTTAGACAAGAAAACGACGTTAGTGCACAAAACAAACTTTATAATTTTTCGGGTAGGCTGCTTCTTAGATTGGTAGGTAGGCAACATCAAACAATGTTAATTTTATTTTTGGCCCTATATAGGTGGAGGAATTATAACTTTACTTCTGTATTCATCAGATTATTACCGTGTATGGACTTCCTAGATATGTTACAATAACTTTGGGGATTTGTTAAGTCATACTATAACAGGCAACTGTTACTGTGACCAAGGACATATTACATGTAATTCAATTAGATATTGCTACAAGACATTAAACAAGCAACACTCTATTTATCAATCAATCAATTAAATATGTTTCAATACTAAAAAATTAGTATTGAAACCTATTTAATAGATAATAGTCAACTTTAAGTACTTCTTTTTCAATAAGGCTGCAATCAATCTTCTTCACTATTTGTCTCTGAACTTAATTGACTAGGATTGCTAGTTTTTTCCTGCAGAGGTTTTTGGTTTCGCTCTGGGTTCTCCAACTTCTTTCACCAAGGAATCTGGCTGCCATGATCTAGCCAAGAGTTCTGGCTATAAAGATAAAGAACACTAGTGTGTTAAACACCAACAATCAACAAATAAATCAATCTGTTTCAACATTGTTAGAAATGACTTGTCAAGTTATTTATAGTGCTGATGTTACATGTATTTCACTATTGATTTCCAGTACTGGTATTTTATCCAACTTTTCTTTTTACTTCCTTTCATGAGTTAAAACCTAAAAAAAAATCATAAATTATTCAATAAGTAATTGTAAATATAAGGATACATACTAGCATTTTTGAAGTGACACAATATATAACATAACATTTCTATTTTAAAAGTATTGATTCTGATGACATATAAAAACAGACTGAATGACTACGTTAATTCTTGGTAGTGTAGGTATCCTGTTAATAGTTGTTTGTCTCTCCTTGACAGAGTCAAAAAGCGAGACATAGGTATGCTGTTTCCTGCGTCGGCGGCAGCATCAACAATATATTAGTTTGTAATTAGGTCTAGTTCATGGTGAACCACAAGTGGTAGGTCAATGATAGTTTGTATGCAGTTGTATTAGCATTGGCACGTCTCATTTCCTTGGAGATTATTTGGCCCTGCCTCCTCAGTCATGGTCTGTTGACTTTGAAACTTGTGCTTAGTTTACACCTATTAGTTTGTGATTAGGTTAGTTTATGGGGAACCACTAGTGGTAGGTCAATGATATTTGGTATGCAGTTGTATAAGCATTGGCATATCTCATTTCCATGGAGATTATTTGGCTCCGCCCCCTTAGTCATGGTCTATTGACTTTGAAAATTTTGCTTAGTTTACATGTATTACCCGGTAGTTTGTGATTAGGTCAGTTCAAGGGGAACCATTGGTGGTAGGCCAATGTTAATTGGTATTCAGTTGTATAAGCATTAGCACATATCATTTCCATGGAGAATATTTGGCCCCACCTCCTCAGTCATGGTCTATTGACTTTGAAACTTTTGCTTAGTTTACATGTATTAGTTTGTGATTAGATCAGTTAAAGATGAACTGCTAATGTTAAGTCAATGATATTTGGTATGCAAATTTATTGGCATTTGCAAGTATCGTTTCCAGGGAGATTATATAGCCCCACCCCTTCATCATGGTTCATTGACTTTGAAACTTTTACATAGTTTACAAGTTAATGTTTGTATTTAGGTTTGTTTAAAGGGAACGACTTATAATAAGTCAATGGTATTTGGTATGCAGTTGTATTAGCATTGGCACATCTCATTTCCATGGAGATTGTTTAGCCATGTACCTTCAGTCATGGTTCATCGACTTTGAATATTTGCATAACTTACATGTTAAAGTATTGCTATTTTAATTTCAACATTTGCATTATCAAAATTACAAAAAGGCGAGACATATCTCTGTGATAACAGTTTATGTTGACTTATATTTTGCATTATTTACTGAATATGATCTTGGTTTTAGATTTTAGATATATCAAATTCTGCCTAGACATGTGCCAATATAGAGATTGTCATACAGAATGACTGCCATCAATTTATTTTAAGCAGGCTTCATGGTTTCAACCTGAAGTCTATTTTGGATGATGTGCTGTTGATTTGTTGCTCTATCATTAATATAAAACCACATTTATAATTTGTTTAACATTTTGTACAAAGGGTGATTGTCAGAAGGATGGAGATAGTTGTAATCAGCCCTGTAGGATAAAAAGGAAAGATTGTAACCATATGTGTGGAGTTCCATGTCATTTTGGATCACCTTGTCCACAAACTCCTTGTAAAGCTGAGGTAAGTCTGATTATTTTGTTACAGTTATCTTAATACAAGAGACAGTTTCTGCTGAAAGTTAAAGAACAAACAGTGAATCAGTTCAAATTTTAATCACCACTGTGTAACATTTCAAATTCTACGCTTGATATATAATGACAAAAGTAGATATATATTTTCCTATGATTGTAGGTTTTATTGATTTGTAAATGTGGAAATAAAGAAGCTAAAGTACCTTGTTTATCTGGGGCAGCTCAGGATACAGCTGAATATCAAAAGTTGGTATTATGTCTTTGTTTAAATAATTGACATTTATTTAACTTTTAAAAAAATACAAATTAAAACATACCCAGTGCTAATTGGCAACTCAAAAGTCACAAGTCCAATTAGGACAAACAACACCAAGGATAATGGAGAAAAGACATCAAAACAGTGGTCCACAAATATTACATATAAAAACAGTGGTTTACAAATGTTACATAGAAAGTTAAATATTGAGAAATATGAATCCCCTCTAAAAAATGGATGAACTTGAATTCTCTCAAAGGGGGTAAATAATTCCTGCTCTTCTCATGACAATTTGCAAGTTATTCATAACACATTCCTGATGAAGGTAAATCCAAAAAAGCGCTTTGGACACATGAAATTTGTAACATGTTTTCATTTTTTGTGTGAAAATCTGTTGATAATTTGTATTAAGTGATTGTTTATTAACAAGGACTGTGACATGGTCATTTGTGACCCAGATATTCTGTATTAAGTGATTGTTTATTAACAAGGACTGTGACATGGTCATTTGTGACCCAGATATTCTGTATTAAGTGATTGTTTATTAACAAGGACTGTGACATGGTCATTTGTGACCCTGATATTCTGTATTAAGTGATTGTTTTTTAACAAGGACTGTGACATGGTCATTTGTGACCCAGATATTCTGTATTAAGTAATTGTTTAATAACAAGGACTGTGAGATGGTCATTTGTAACCCAGATATTCTGTATTAAGTGATCGTTTATTAACAAGGACTGTGACATGGTCATTTGTGACCCAGATATTCTGTATTAAGTGATCGTTTATTAACAAGGACTGTGACATGGTCATTTGTGATCCAGATATTCTGTATTAAGTGATTGTTTAATAACAAGGACTGTGACATGGTCATTTGTGACCCAGATATTCTGTATTAAGTGATTGTTTATTAACAAGGACTGTGACATGGTCATTTGTGACCCAGATATTCTGTATTAAGTGATTGTTTATTAACAAGGACTGTGACATGGTCATTTGTGACCCAGATATTCTGTATTAAGTGATTGTTTATTAACAAGGACTGTGAGATGGTCATTTGTGACCCAGATATTCTGTATTAAGTGATTGTTTATTAACAAGGACTGTGAGATGGTCATTTGTGACCCAGATATTCTGTAGCAGATATAAAGCAAACCAAAACTTTTGAACAAAATTTAACCATTTAAAATATTTGGTTCATTTAAGGTAATTTGCAAATACCTTAATATATATGTATTTTGCCTGGAGTGACTTAGTCATTGTTATATGTATTTTTATGCCCCGTTGTAGCGGAGGAGCATTAAGTTTTACCCTTGTCCATCCGTAAGTCCCAAAATTGGTTTCCGTTCTCTAACTTTAGTTTGCCTCAACCAAATGTTGAAACTTCTATCCTATGCTTATTACCACAAAACACAAATCAAGTTTGAATTTTGGTGTCGTCACTTTTAGTGTTCTAGAGTTATGCCCCTTTACAAATGGAAAAATTGCTGAATTTTTCGTTTCTGTTCTCTTAAGTTTACCTCAATTAAATGTTATGAAACATATACACAATGCTTATTACCACAAGACCCAGTTCAAGTACAACTTTGGGTAGCGCCACTTTTATAGTTCTTGTGTTTTGTCCCCTTATAATGTTCTATGCAAGCGAGGGCATCATCTGTGTCCCATGGACACATTCCCCATTTATTTCTATATGTAGTTGAGGCTTCGGTGGCAGAGAGGTCTAAGTAGTCAAACTACTTTATCACTAACTTGTCAACACTGAGCACATGGCAGGTGCGTTAGACTCCAATCTTAATTGACTAGGATTGTCAGTTTTTCTACTGTAGGTCGGGGATTTTCTCTGGGCACTCCAGCTTCCTCCACCAATAAAAACTGACCACCCGCAAAATAACACAATAGTGCTGAAAGTGGCATTAAAACACCAATCAATCAATCAATCTATATGTAGTCAACATTAAAATGAAGGTCATTTGTAAGCATATTTTTTTATGTTAAACCCTACAAATGAATGAGAATATTTGTAAATTATTAGTTTTCTCATATTTTCCAGATTAACTGTGCAAAGTTTGGCTGGTTCCCTGCATTCAGGACAACCAGTAGATATATCCCAACTGGCAAAGAAAAAACTTAAAAGACAGTAAGTTATTCTGATAGGTTAAGTTGGTGAATAATTTTTATACGACCGCAAAAAAATTTTGCGGTCGTATAAAAATGTGTCTTCGTTGTCGTCATTGGTTTTCGCACTATAACTTTAGTTTAAGTGAATGGATCTCTATGAAATTTTACTAAACGGTTAAATACCACAAAAGGAAGGTTGGGATTGATTTTGGGGATTATGGTACCAACAGTTAAGGAATTAGGGGCCAAAAAGGGGTCAAAAATAAGCATTTTCTAGTTTCCAGACAATAACTTGTGGAACGGTGTATGGATCTCTCTGAAATTATACCACAAGTTTCCATACCACAAAGGGATGGTTTGGATTTGCTTTGGGGGGTTATGGCTCAAACTGTTTAGGAATTAGGGCAAAAAAGGGGGAAAAACAAGGATGTCCTGGTTAATGGACAAATACTTTATTACAAAACATAATTTAAAGCAGTGTAAGGGAGATAAATCAAATACATCATTTGAATTACCTCCCTTACACTGCTTTTAAATTATGTATAAAGTAATGGTTAATGAACAATTTAAAAGACAATTTAAAACAGTGTAAGGGAGGTAATCCAAATACGTTTTGATTACTTCCCTTACACTGCTTTTAAATTATGTTTAAAGAAATGGATATTTATAAAGGAAGACCAGTAAAAATATCTGCAAATGTTGCATCTTTTTTTTTTTATAAAAAAATCTATATGAAAGATTTGACACCATATTTTAAATTCTATTATAAAATAAATTAAGTTAGCATATGGAAAATTTAAATGGGTAATTATGGTTGCAAACTCCATTGGAAATTTGAATTGAGATTATGACCATATCTTGAGGGAAAGAATTTTTTTGGGGGAAAAGGGGTTGGGGGGTAAAAAGAAATTGTGGGGGGTCAATTTTTTCTCATTTCAGATTTCAGAAATTAAAAAGAATTATTCTTCAAATATTTTTTTTTTTCAAATTTCAAATATTGAAAAATTTCAAGAAGTAATCTTTAATTGCACAGTATGGCGCATTAGATTTGTAAAATCTTTGACCACATTTATTTATTTTTTATGCCGAATCTAACCATGTATTTAGATTTTTAATTTTGGGTCCAGTTTTCAAATTGGTCTACATTAAGGTCCAAAGGGTCCTAAAATAAACTTAGTTTGATTTTAACAAAATTGAATATATGGGGTTCTTTGATATGCTGAATCTAAACATGTATTTAGAATTTTGATTTTGGGCCCAGTTTTCAAGTTGGTTCAAATTGGGGTCCAAAATTAAACTTTGTTTGATTTCAACAAAAATTGAATATATGGGGTTCTTTGATATGCTAAATCTAACCATGTATTTAGATTTTTTATTTGTGGGCCCCGCTATAAAATTGGTTCATATTGAGGTCAAAAGGGTCCAAAATAAAACTTTTGTTTTATTTCATCAAAAATTGTATTATTGGGGTTCTTGGATATGCCAAATCTAACCGTGTATTTAGATTTTTAATTGTAGGTCCCGTTTTTTAAATTGGTCTACATTAAGGTCCAAAGGGTCCAAAATTAAACTTAGTTTGATTTTAACAAAAATTGAATTCTTGGGGTTCTTTGATATGCTGAATCTAAACATGTGTTTAGATTTTTGATTATGGGCCCAGTTTTCAAGTTGGTCCAAGTTGGGGTCCAAAATGAAACTTTGTTTGATTTCAACAAAAATTGAATATATGGGGTTCTTTGCTATGCTGAATCTAACCATGTATTTTGAAATTTAGGCCCCGTTATCAAATTGGTCCACATTGAGGTCAAAAGGGTCCAAAATTAAACTTTGTTTGATTTCATTAAAAATTGAATTCTTTGGATTCTTTGATATGCTGAATCTAACCATGTATTTAGATTTTGGATATGGGACCATAATAGGTAAATTAAAATTTTTTAAGTTCTTAGACCACATTCATTCTGTGTCAGAAACCTATGCTGTGTCAAATATTTAATCACAATCCAAATTCAGAGCTGTATCAAGCTTGAATGTTGTGTCCATACTTGCCCCAACTGTTCAGGGTTCGACCTCTGCGGTCGTATCAAGCTGCGCCCAGTGGAGCATTTTATTAGATGTTAAGATAATGTGGCTGAAACATCTTCCAAGTTCTTTCAAGTCTGTCTTGTATTGTAGAAATGGCATATTGTAGAATCATTATGATATAGCTTAGATGTTAATTTATGTAGTTATTCATTTTTAAGAATTTATCCTTGCAGTGATTAACATTTTAAATATCGGAAGTCTATATCACTAAGGCCTGCTTAATTTGTTGAAATTGATTTGAAATATGACCAGATATTTGTAATCTCAACTTTGTATTTGTAATGTGTCAACTGTATTTCAAGAAAACGTTTGGATACTGCATCTATTGGATAATCTTTATGCTTTTATGACTGATATTGTTTCCGTCTTTGTAAGACATTAATTTGGTGTGGTTTTAAAATTTCATTAAAAATTAAAGAAAAAGATTCCTGTGTTTACAATGTTTAATATTCAGTGTTTTATTTATGTAAGTTGTAATTACAGATCAGCATTTCATAGTAATTAATTGTTGATATATATATTTTAAGGTTAGACTGTGATGCTGAATGCGCTGTACTGGAGAGAAATCGTAGGATGGCATTAGCTCTAGAAATCAGAAATCCTGACCTTAATGCCAAACTTGGTAATCCTATATATACAGACTTCTTAAAGGATTATGCAAAGTAAGAAATGTTTAGTTATACTTGAAAATGGAGTGAATTATTCCATGATATGTAAAATTTCTTATAATGCATGGAAAACAAATACATACACTGGCTATAACCCTAACTCTTACCATGATTATAACCCTAACCCGTACCATGACTATAACCCTTACACTGACTATGACCCTAACCCTAACCCCTACCCTGGCTATAACCCTAACTCTTACCATGATTATAACCCTAACCCGTACCATGACTATAACCCTTACACTGACTATGACCCTAACCCTAACCCCTACCCTGGCTATAACCCTAACTCTTACCATGATTATAACCCTAACCCGTACCATGACTATAACCCTTACACTGACTATGACCCTAACCCTAACCCCTACCCTGGCTTTAACCCTAACTCTTACCATGATTATAACCCTAACCCGTACCATGACTATAATCCTTACACTGACTATGACCCTAACCCTAACCCCTACCCTGGCTTTAACCCTAACTCTTACCATGATTATAACCCTAACCCGTACCATGACTATAACCCTTACACTGACTATGACCCTAACCCTAACCCCTACCCTGACTATAACCTTAACCCTTACCCTGGATATAACCCTAACCCTAACCCTGAATATAACCTAAACCTTAACCTAACTATAACCCTAACCCTTACCTGGACTTTATCCCTAACCTTACACTGAATATAACCTGAACTTTACCCTGACTACCGGTCTAAAAGTTACCTTTATCATAGCCATAACCCTAATACTCACTTTGACACTAACCCTAAACCTTTATCCACAGACTTTTGGTTTAATATTTGGCATGTTTGAAAATTTTCCACAATCTTCTGCTGGCTTTAGTTCAGTGTCGGGCATGTATGGAAAACTTCTGCAATCTTCCGCTGACTTTTGGTTAAGTATTTAATATATTTGAAAATTGTCCACAATCTTCCGCTGACTTTTGGATGTTTTAAGCATGTTTTAAAATCTTCAGCTGACTTTTTGTTAAGTATTTGGCATGTTTGCAAATCTTCCGCAATCTTCCCCGGACTTTTGGTTAAGTTTTTTCTATGTTTTAAAATTTTTCCACTGACTTGGTAAAGTTTTTGGCATGTTTGAAAATCTTCAGCTGACATTTATTTTTGTGCCACCTAACTGAAAATTGTACATCTTAATCTTTGATTGGTACGTGTTTTCTGGAATATGATATTGGAGAAATAGTGATTTATCAATAAGTCATGCTTAAATATTAGGAACCCCAAAAATAATTTTCATTGAAAGGACATACACTGCTCTGAATTAATCTTAAAAGTTAAGAATTTGCCATTAGATCTGTTCATCATAGTAATAACTCCATATTTATTTTTATATTTCAGGCAAAATCCTCATTTTGTTTCATCAATTGAAAAGGCATTAAGTGAATTAGTGAAAAATGCTAAACAGGTAAATTTTGAAATGGAAGTAAACTATTTTATATTGTATCCATGGACAGATTGGATTTACCATATCAGGAGTCATCACAATCAAAGATGTATAGATACATAGCGATAAATGATTCAGAATGGTGCTTAAATACAACAGTCTAAATCATTTAAGGTTAAATTGCATCTTAAGTTAAGAAAAGTTTACAACATTTTTCAGCTCAGGAAAATTTCAGGAAAATCAATTATTTTTGTTCATCATTTTGCATGTCAGTTCGCTTTATTGATATGTAGAATGAAATTGATAATATAGCAAGTGTATGGTAGTTAGTTTATTTTCCTTTAAGGCAGCTAGTATATATGGAAATTGACCTTTTAGGAATATATATTTAAATACTCCCCTTTTCACCAGATTTGGACAAGAACTATACTGTTAAGATAGAAATTTTAATGAGGGGTTTATTTTTCATTAATTTTGAGATTAAGATGAAGATGTGAAAATATTTCCTTGCATAAATTTAATTGTTAAGGAAGATAAGAGAAGTAGACAAGAAAAAAAGCAAAAACATAACCTTGTGAACAGGTTTGACCCTTGAAAATGCAAAATTAAGAATAGACCACTTTATGGTATAGAATATATTAGAAATCATATTAATTTTTATACGACCGCAAAAAAATTTTGTGGTAGTATATTGGTATGACGTTGGCGTCGTCGTCGTCGTCGTCGTCGTCCGGCGTCGTCGTCGTCGTCGTCCGGCGTCGTCGTCCGAATACATATTGGTTTTCGCACTCTTACTTTAGTTTAAGTGAATGGATCTTTTTGAAATTTGACCATAAGGTTAAATACCACAAAAGGAAGGTTGGGATTGATTTTGGGGGTTATGGTACCAACAGTTAAGGAATTAGGGGCCAAAAAGGGGCCAAAAATGAGCATTTTCTAGTTTCCAGACAATAACTATGGAACGGTGTATGGATCTCTCTGAAATTATACTACAAGTTTCCATACCACAAAGGGATGGTTAGGATTTGCTTTGGGGGGTTATGGCTCAAACCGTTTAGGAATTAGGGGCAAAAAAGGGGGAAAAACAAGGTTGTCCTGGTTAATGGACAAATAGTTTAGTACAAAACATAATTTAAAGCAGTGTAAGGGAGATAAATCAAATACATCATTGAAATTATCTCCCTTACACTGCTTTTAAATTATGTATAAAGTAATGGTTAATGAACAATAAAGATAATCTAAAACAGTGTAAGGGAGGTAATCCAAATACAATGTTTTGGTTACTTCCCTTACACTGCTTTTAAATTATGTTTAAAGAAATGCATGTTTATAAAGGAAGACCAGTAAAAATATCTGCAAATGTTTTCATCTTTTTTTTTTACAAAAAAATCCATATGAAAGATTTGACACTATATTTTTATTAATTCTATTATAAAATAGATTAAGTTAGCACTATGGTAAATTTAAATGGGTAATTATGGTTGCCAACTCCATTGGAAATTTGAATTGAGATTATGACCATATCTTGAGGGAAAGAATTTTTTTGGGGGAAAAAGGGGGGGGGGGATAAAAAGAAATTGTGGGGGGCCAATTTTTTCTCATTTCAGATTCCAGAAATTAAAAAGAATTATTCTTCAAATATTATTTTTTTTTCAAATTTCAAATATTGAAAAATTTCAAGAAGTAATCTTTAATTGCACAGTATGGCGCATTAGATTTGTAAAATCTTTGATCACATTTATTTATTTGTTATGCCGAATCCAACAGTGTATTTAGATTTTTAATTTTGGGTCCAGTTTTCAAATTGGTCTACATTAATGTCCAAAGGGTCCAAAATTAAACTTTGTTTGATTTTAGCAAAAATTGAATATATGAGGTTCTTTGATATGCTGAATCTAAACATGTATTTAGATTTTTGATTTTTGGCCCAGTTTTCAAGTTTGTCCAAATTGGGGTCCAAAATTAAACTTTGTTTGATTTCAACAAAAATTGAATATATGGGGTTCTTTGCTATGCTGAATCTAACCATGTATTTAGATTTTTTATTTGTGGACCCCGTTATCTAATTGGTTCATATTGAGGTCAAAAGGGTCCAAAATTAAACTTTGTTTGATTTCATCGAAAATTGAATTATTGGGGTTCTTTGATATGCCAAATCTAACCGTGTTTTTAGATTTTTAATTTGGGTCCCGTTTTTTAAATTGGTCTTCATTGAGGTCCAAAGGGTCCAAAATTAAACTTAGTTTGATTTTAACAAAAATTGAATTCTTGGGGGTTCTGTGATATGCTGAATCTAAACATGTGTTTAGATTTTTGATTATGGGCCCAGTTTTCAAGTTGGTCCAAGTTGGGGTCCAAAATTAAACTTTTTTTGATTTCAACAAAAATTGAATATATGGGGTTCTTTGATATGCTGAATCTAACCATGAATTTAGATTTTTTATTTGTGGGCCCCGCTATCAAATTGGTTCATATTGAGGTCAAAAGGGTCCAAAATTAAACTTTGTTTGATTTCATCAAAAATTGAATTATTGGGGTTCTTTGATATTCCAAATCTAACCGTGTATTTAGATTTTTAATTTTAAGTCCCGTTTTTTAAATTGGTCTACATTAAGGTCCAAAGGGTCCAAAATTAAACTTAGTTTGATTTTAGCAAAAATTGAATTCTTGGGGTTCTTTGATATGCTGAATCTAAACATGTGTTTAGATTTTTGATTATGGGCCCAGTTTTCAAGTTTGTCCAAGTTGGGGTCCAAAATTAAACTTTGTTTGATTTTAACAAAAATTGAATATATGGGGTTCTTTGATATGCTGAATCTAACCATGTATTTTGATTTTGGACATTGGACCATAATAGGTAAATTAAAAAAATTCAAGTTCTTAGACCACATTCTTTCTGTGTCAGAAACCTATGCTGTGTCAAATATTTAATAACAATCCAAATTCAGAGCTGTATCAAGCTTGAATGTTGAGTCCATACTTGCCCCAACTGTTCAGGGTTCGACCTCTGCGGTCGTATCAAGCTGCGCCCCAGCGAAGCATTTTATTTTTTATATTAAACACAGAAAATAAAACATAAAGGTTCCTCTTTAGAGGAGAAAAGATGAAATAAAAACACAGAATATTTTGTATAGTACCATTTATATGTGTATTTACCATGATTGTTACAATAAATACACAAATCAAATATATTCTTACAGCCAGTATGTGAACCTATAATCTATGTATAAATCTCCTGATATTGGAAAAGGTCCTCATCATAAAATGAATTAAATAAAAAAAATACAATTGTATAATTTTACTGATTATTTTAAACAAGAAGATTATTTGATAATGATATATAAAAAATTATATTAAAATTTCATTGTCTGATTATCTTTAAAGCACAGGCTGTGTGGTCGAAGATTAGAAGATGTATAGAAATTTTGCTTTTTCAGTCGAAGCAGTTACATAGATCCAATTCATTCTCACCAGGAAACCGTGATCAAAGACGAGCCATACATGAGCTTGCAGAATGCTACGGATGTGAGACACAGAGTTATGATTATGAACCAAAGAAGAATGTTGTGGCTACTGCTTATAGGTAAACAATATAAATTATATTGTGTAGTTTTCAGTGAGGAGCAAGTATACTGTAAGCTTTTAAATGCTAGCTGATTAAAGATCCCATTTTATACTGTCACTGTTCAAATTGAGGCTAAATTTTAATCACTTTGTCTATTTGTCTGTCTGTTCATCCAACAAATATTTTCCTCACACTTTTCTCAGAAGCTACAGTGATGACCTGTAATGTGTGAGCACTCTTATGATCTGTTAGGTACCTACTTCCTGCTTGCAAATACTATTAAGTTTTCAATGTTGAATGAACTTAAAACATTTTCTTCACATACTTCTCCAATACTATGAAACAGAATTACTTCATATTTGGTTAGCAGCTCAACAATGAGGATTTGTATTGTGTGTGTGTGCTTTTCAGATCTGTCGGACACCAAGTTTCTGTTTTTTGAAACTTTTCATTAGAAGCGCTGTATGCTTAGCATGATTCTTGTTTTTCTTACAGTTATACAAACACAGACAATGTTTTCAAGAATTTTTAATCAGGCATTTAAAATGTTTACTAGTTGTAGTCTTAGAATTTGTCTGGTGATCTGAAGAAAATTTTGAACTGTTTTTTTTCTATTATCTTTTGTAGGGATAAATGCTGGCTTCCTTCAGTGACATTAACATCATACATACAAAGAGAACTACACCCAAAGGCACCATTACCTATACCTCATGTGCATTCAGAGGCTGCCTTAAAGTAAGTACATTCATGGAAGATAATAGGCTGATTTTACATATATATATATAGAGATGTGGGTTATATGTCATTGAGAAAGCCAGCTGACATCAATCACAATTTAATCAGCACTGATTTCAAAATGTCACCATATGCATGCACGCAGCATTAAGGAGTCAGAACAAAGTCTGGTTGTCTAGGAGTCTGAATAATGTGTCGGGTAGGGTGACTGGTCATCCTGTGGACTGTTTCCTTGTGAACCTGCAGGCTAAAAATCCGACTTAGCTTGTCAGTCTAGTACAAAGCAGGGTTTATATTCACACCGCATTAACATGGGCCTGAATATGCATTTGATTTGTTGCGGGACATTGAGCAGCCATTCATCCATCTACCTTTAGACAAGTTCTCAGTAAAGGGTATCACCAGCCTAGTAGTCAGCATTTCTGTGTTGACATGAATTATCATTGATATTGTCATAATTATAAATTAACTGTTTTTTCGAAATACTAAGGACTTTCTTCCCCAGGAATACCGTAGATTACCTTAACTGTATTGGCAAAACCTTTCAGAATTTCTGGTCCTTAATGCTCTTCAACTTTGTACTTTATTTGGACTTTTTTAACTATTTTGATTCAAGTGTCACTGATGAGTCTTTTGTAGACCTAACGTGCATCTGGCATACAAAATTTTAATCCTGGTATCTATGATGAGTTTATCTAAAGCCTTAAGACAAGTGAAGGTGTAAAGAAATAAAGAAAAACTATAATATCATAAATAACATCACAATTTACCTATTTACATGAAATGAGGCCCTCAGTGATGGCTTCCAGTACATTCATCTAGTTATAATATAGTATACCCTTTTGAGAAAACTGTAAGAACACAGGTTTGTTTTTGTTTGTTCAAAAGACTCTGTTTTACCTGGCATGTTTAACCCTGCCACATTCTTTATGTGCCTGTCCCAAGTCAGGAGCCTGTAGCTCAGTGGTTGTTGTTGGTTCATGTCTGTCATATTTGTTTTTACTAAATTGTTTTGTTATAAATTTGGCTGTTAGTTTTCTCGTTTTAATTGTTTCACAATTTTCATGTCAGGGCCTTTTATAGTTGACTATATTGAATTTTTTTCTCATTGTTGAAGGCTACATTGTGGCCTAGAATTGCTTACATTCACTTTATTTGAACTCTGGTGGATAGTTGTCTCATTGGAAATCATACCACATCTCCTTTATTGTCCCCCGCGCAACGCTTTGTGGTAGACATAGAAATACCGGGCATCCGTCTGGTCTTGTTAGCGCTCTAACGTGTACAGTTCTTGCAATATTTTTATGAAACTTATATCATAAGTTTATATCAGCAATATCTTGGACAAGTTGAAAAATCAGTGCCTATCAATTATTTTTAAAAGAGTTGTGCCCTTGGAAATATTAATGATATGGAAAATTGCATCGTTAGCGCTCTCATGTGTAGAATTCTTGCCAAATTTTTATAAAAAATTACATCATAGGTTTATATTAACAATGTCTTGGACAAGTTCAAAAATCAGTGCCGATCAATTATTTTTATAAGAGTTGTGCCCTTGGAAACATTATTTATATGGAAAATTGCATTGTTAGCTCTCTCATGTGATCAATTCTTGCCAGATTTTTATGAAACTTATACCAGCCATGTCTTTGACGAGGTCGAAAATCAGTCCCAATCAATTATTAGTCCCCTACCGACGAAGTCGAAGGGGACTTTAGGTTTGCACTCCGTCCGTCTGTCTGTCTGTCTGTCTGTCTGTCTGTCCATCCATCAGTTTTCCATACTATTATTCTTCGTGCTTGAAGATACTGATTTGATATTTGGTGTATTGTTTTATCATGACAAGTTACAGATCAAGTTCTAATTTTGTTCCGGTCTGATGATTTTGTGCAGAGTTATAGTTCTTGGACTTAGAAAATTCACTCAAATAATTAGTTTTCCACATTTTTATGCCCCCGCTGTAGCGGAGGGGGCATTAAGTTTTACCCTTGTATACGTCCGTCTGTCCCTACGTCCCAAAATTTGTTTCTGTTCTCTAACTTTAGTTTGCCTCAACCAAATGTTATGAAACTTATACACTTGCTTGAAGATATTGACATGATATTGGTTATATAGTTTAATACAATGAGTTTTTAACTGGTAGGGGACTATGTATTGCCATGCAATACTCTCAGAATGCTTGTTTTTAAGAGAGTTGTGCCCTTGGAAATATTAATTATATGGAAAATTGCATCGTTAGCGCTCTCATGTGTACAATTCTTGCCAGATTTTAATGAAAAGTATATCATAGGTTTATATCAGCAATGTCTTTGAAGAGTTCGAAAATTAGTGCCAATCAATTATTTTTAAAAGAGTTGTGCCCTTTGAAAATATTAATTATATGGAAAATTGCCTTATGAGCACTATAATGTGTACAATTCTTGCCATATTTTTATGAAATTTATATTATTGGTTTATATTATCAATGTTTTGGACGAGTTCAAAAATCAGTGCCGATCAAGTATTTTTAAAAGAGTTATGCCCTTGGAAATATTGATTGTATGGAAAATTGCATTGTTAGCACTCCCATGTGTACAAATCTTGCCAGAATTTTATGAAACTTATATCATTGGTTTATATCAGCAATGTCTTTGACACTTTTGAAAATAAGTGCTGATCAAATATTTTTAACAAGTTATGCCCCTTGGAAAATTTTTTTATAACGGAAATGGCATTGCATTTGCTCTGAAGCCTTCATTTCTCTTAAGATATTTATAAATTGTTTTAAAGAACATAAAAAAAAATGTTTTTTTAGTTATTGCCCTTGTACTATGGATAGATAAAATATGTGCAACAAGGGGGGCATTTGAACTCTTTTCTTTTATTTTTATACTGAGATGTTGTTATGTATTGTCATATTTGTATCTTATCAATTTTTACAGGCAAACTGCTAAAGCAGCAAAACAAAGTACAGATGTTTTATCAGATATCAAACCGCCATCTCGATGGGAGACTAAAACAGACTTTAAAAAACAGAAACCAGAAATAGACTATTTTGATTTTTCATCAAATTGATGATTTTTGTATATCTATTAACAAGAAATATTTGTTATTTGTTGAATTATTCAAAATTAAATTTGTGTTTGGTTTAATTATAAAAATGATTAATGATTACTTGTGGTATAAAGAAATGTATGATTCAAGAAGATTTAATGGAAAAACAAATAAATGTATTTAAGTCACTGGTAAAGAACTGACTAACATAAATCAGAAAAAAAATAATTACTTTTTAGACTTCTGAAAATCTCTCAAAATTTATGTTTGAAAACATGTGGAAAAACTTTGTATATTTTAATAGAGATACATACCAAATTAGTAGAGGACATCGCCCAAGATAGAATTTCAAGCATGAAATTATAGTAATGGAATGTTCTTGGTATATGCTTTCTATTTGGTCTAATAGAATTACCTACTTGACCTCAAGATATATCTGTAAAGGAAACAAAAATAATTTAATGATTTTTAGAGAAGAAGACTTCTTGTTTTCCAGTACATTTTAAGTTGTAAGAAGAGAATTCTGTCTTATCTAATTAAGTTTTGTGAATTACTTGACATATGAAAATTAAAATTGATAAGTAAGATACAAAATATAATTCAACTTAATATCCTTGCTGATAGTCCTTGGTTTGGAGAATACATTTTAACAACAATTTATACAGCAACCATGCTATCTTCGCAGTCAAAATTTTACTGACTGTATAAACTTAATAAATGATATACATATATAAAGCCTTGTTTATGACATGACCGATTTGTTTCAAAAGAATTATATTGAATACAGGTTTGCTGAATATATGCATTTTTTGCTTCATGTTATATTAATTTATTCACTAAAAATTTGTAGTTTTGATCATTGCTGTATAAATGGAATACCCATACATTGTCTGCAATATAAAATGTATTTTTACTCAGCACAAAGCAAGATAGAAGTGCTTGTCTAGCCTGACATTCCTTCTTGTTTCTATGCCTTATGTCTTTTTGGGTTGCTCAACCATCTTTGTCGAGCCTTCGACTTTTGTCGAAAAAGCGAGACATAGCGATCCTACATTCCGTCGGCGTCGTCGTCGGCGGCGTCCACAAATATTCACTCTGTGGTTAAAGTTTTTGAAATTTTAATAACTTTCTTAAACTATCCTGGATTTCTACCAAACTTGGACAGAAGCTTGTTTATGATCATAAGATTATATTCAAAAGTAAATTTTGTGAAAAAAAAAATTCCATTTTTTCCAAATTTTACTTATAAATGGACTTAGTTTTTCTGCCAGTTAACATTACATTCACTCTGTGGTTAAAGTTTTTAAAATTTTAACAACTTTCTTAAACTATCCTGGATTTCTACCAAACTTGGAAAGAAGCTTGTTTATGGTCATAAGATAGTATCCAGAAGTAAATTTTGTAAAAAAAAAATTCCATTTTTTCAGTATTTTACTTATAAATGGACTTAGTTTTTCTGCCAGTTAACATTAAATTCACTCTGTGGTTAAAGTTTTTAAAATTTTAACAACTTTCTTAAACTATCCTGGATTTGTACCACACTTGGACAGAAGCTTGTTTATGATCAAAAGCTAGTATCTAGAAGGAAATTTTGATAAAATTTTGTTCCATTTTTTCCGTATTTTACTTATAAATGGACTTAGTTTTTCTTCCAGTCAACATTACATACATTCTGCAGTTTAAGTTTTTAAAACATTTATTAGATTCATAAATTATCCTGGATTTTTACCAAACTTGGACAGAAGCTACTTACAATCAAAAGATAGTATAGAGAGGAATATTTTTATTAATTTTTTTTCTCATTTTTGTTGAGCCTGCGATTAACAGCAAAAGTAGGCGAGACACTGGGTTCCGCGGAACCCTTACGAATTTTTGTCAATATAACTGATCTATAAACAACTGTCATACAAGTGGAAGGTTAAGTTAGTGATAAAACCAGGTTTAACCCCCATTTTCTTTGGAAAATGCCTGTACTAAGTCCGGCATATAATAGTTGTTTTTCATTTGTTCTGTTGATTGATAGCTTTTGATTATGTCAGTTTTATTGGAGTTCCCCTTTTTGAATTTGCCTCGGAGTTTGGTATTTTTGTTGTAAAAGTATTTTTTTTATTTTAAGAGAATGTATGGTTATTCCCTATGTATTTTATAGGAACGATTAGCACAATATTGGTAGTTTTGTACTTCTAACAAAATATGAATAATACTTGTATTTACATGTTACTGTATCTTACTGTGTTACCACTAAAGTTATCTATTTCAGTAATGAGTCAATTGATTTTTGTGAAATTGATAGGTTTCATTAATAATATGCAGATTCTCTTAATCAGATGTGATGATGATGTCATTGCTAGAATTATTAAAGGAGAAAAATTTATGTTTGAATGCTCTGTTAATTTTTAAACTTAAAATTTATGCATGAAATTTGAATGTAGCTAAAATTATTATATGAAATCAATTGCTTGCACATAAATATATATACAGATTGTATAATTTGGTTCATTAAAGTGGAATTATAGATTTTAATGTGCTATGAGGAAAATTTTGTTGATTACTTTAAGTAATATTATGTTATTTCAAAAGTTTGTTTGAAACAATAAATTATATAATGCCATCTTAATTCTTTATTTTGTAATCACTCTCATGCATACACTTCTTGTAATATTTTTATGACATTTATATTTATGGTTTATTATCAATGTCTTAGATGATTTGAAAAATAGGGGCCAATCAAACATTTTTAAATGATTTATGCCCCCATGGAAATGCAAATTATATTGAAAATAGGATTGAAAGAGCTCTCACACCTACATTTCTTATCTGATTCTTATGAAATGTATATCAAAGGTTTTTATGAGCAATGTAGAAGAATAATGAAAATCATTGCTGATCAATTATATTTACTTGAAAGTGTAAATGTTTTGGAACATTGCATTTTAAGGGCTGTCACACCTACGTTTCGTATTGAATTTATGGAGGAGGTATGGTAAGAGCCATTATCTCACCTCCTATACATTTCTAGGAATATCATTGGTTAAAAGTGAACTTGTGGAGACCCTGTATATTTAATATGGGGTTAGTGGGCATGTTTTATTTCAATATTGGGTTAGTAGCAGTGTGACCTCTCTTTGTAAAAACAACATGACGTTGAAGAAAAATCTGAAATGTTTCGCCCAAACAACAGATGAAACAATTGATGATGAACGACTGAAAATAAATGCAAAAAACACATTAAATCTAACAAGTGGTTATTGTTTGCACTGGTTTTTGTATAGACCAATGGAAGTAGGTTCTTAATATTGAAGACTTGATCACTTTGATAGGCCACTAGTCTAAATGCCACATGTCAAGATAAATTTGTTACACAGTGTGCTAGTGACCTAATACAATATGTATGGGGTCAGTAAATTCCATATGGGTTCGAGCTTCACTATCACACTATATGGAATTTACTGAACCCATATATATCGTATTAGGTTACTAGCACACTTTGTAACTAATATTATTTGGCACCTAAAATAGCGGAAAGCGAGACAGGGATTGCTTTTTGGCAATGACTACAAAGGCATCAACAATTGTTAAGTTTTCTGCTTAAGTTAGTTTGATAGGAACTACTAGTGATAAATAATTGATATTTAATATAAAGTTGCATTACTATCAGTACATATCAGTTTGATGACTATTTTGAGGCCCTTCCCTAGGACATGGTCCAGTGACTGAATTAATTAGCCATTTTCAATGTTAAGTTTTCTGCTTAAGTCAGTTTGATAAGAACTACTTGTGATAGATCAATAATATTTTCTATAAAGTTGCATTACTATCATATCAGTTTGATGACCATTTTGAGGCCCTTCCCTAGGACATGGTCCAGTGACTTTGAATTAATTAGCAATTTACAATGTTAAGTTTTCTGCTTAAGTTAGATTGATAGGAACTACTTACAATAGACAACTATATTTTCTATAAAGATACATTACTGTCTATACATCTCAGTTTGTCAACCATTTTGAGGCCCTGCTGACTAGATCATGGCCCTGCGACTTTGAATTAAAAAGCAATGTTGCTGTTCATCAGATTATCTTTTTCTGAATGTTATGCCGATAGGCGAGACGTATCTCTGTGTTAACAGTTTAGTAAAGTTTTTCTTATACATCAATAACTTTGTCAGCCTTTATGGAATTTTATGAAACTTGGACAGAAGCTTTTTTTTTACCCAAAGACAAGTACATGTATTGAAAATACTTTCATTTTTCCTTATTTTTCTGAGAAATGGACCTATGATGGACAATTAACAATTAGAAATAGATGCAGTCTATGGTTAAGATTTTCAGTCATAAATAACTTTTTCAAACCTTCATGGAATTTTAAATAAGTTAGACAAACGCTTTTTCATGATAAAAAAAAAAGTTTCCAGAGCAAAATAATGAAAATAGTTAAGTCTTTCCTTTTCCAAAAGGGAAAGACCTTACTGTATTTCTTCTACTTATAATATGGGACTATTATACTAATAATAGTATAATAGTATAATAGTCCCAGTTATAATTATTGTTCTTCTGCCAAACTTTGACAAAGTTTCCCTTTGTTCTCATTCAAACACCACATAACTTTAATAGGTAGTAAAATACCGAAGGGTGAAATTTGTTCAAGAGTACTTTTCATCAAAGACAGTCATCAATTCTGATTTAAAAATTAAATCTGAATTTACGTATAAAAAAGTATTTTTTCATGAGTGCATGTGCTTTATTTACTATGTAATACGCATGCGTGAAATTGTCTTCAGCAAATTTAATATTTATTCGTAAAATGCAAATTGATTTCATGCTAAATTAAACGAGTGCAACTATTATCTGTTATATTCAAACACTTTTAAAGGTAATAAAATAAAAAAAAGCCATAAAAAGCCGGTGATTTCCTGTCAATAATTTGATAAACAAAACAAATCCCGGAAATGAATCCGGAATTATTCGTACTTTAAAATATCGCAAACTTCCGTTTTTAACTTTTGTCAAATCGAAAGAAACGTAAGCAATGTCTGAGAAATTAACAATTTTGAGTCATTAAAATCATTTCAATTTTAGACTGTTGCCTTCCCTAAACTGTCCTTCATGGTAATGGTAAGACATTTACTTAGTAAATGCGATGAAACAGCAATACAAGTTCGTCATGTTCGTTGATGCTATGAATATACTATATATAGTCAAGTTGATATCGACAATTTGAAAAGGGGCACCAACTTTTCAAACATCTCAAAATGACCGAAATTGTCTGGAAAAATTTCCGGATCCTTGTTCAAGACCATACCCTGGTTCTTGTTGCATATGGACTGAAAAGATTCAAAGATTCCTAGGTAGGGTTATATGCCCCTTTGAAAATTAACAGATGTTGGTTGACAACTAAAAGTCAGAAACCGTAAGTCGTAGCCAACTAGGATCTTCACCAATGATCAATAATTCATGTGACCTTCAAAAATGCCTCAATTTCAAATTTTTAAGTTGACTTTGACATTATACCTTGTTATGGAATGATCTCAGAAACTATTATACTTCCAGAAGTCTTGAATAGTTGAAAATGTTTGGGTCATTAAGGTGCAGTTTCGACCGAAGAGATTTGACCTTTCCATAAGGTGCATAGCCCCTTTTAATGGATTCTGAAAAAAACAAAATTAGCTTTAACTCTTAAACCAAAGGTTCTAGAGCCATGGGGTCTTTTATAATGACATCTGGGACAAATGACCTTGACAAATGTCAAAAGGTTAAAGGTCAAGGTCATGCTAGATAGGGAATTTTTAGTTTTTGACCCTATTTTGAGGGTTTTATATGTTTTTTAGGTTGAGGTTTACCTTTGACCGTACAACTTGTTATGGGATATCTCAAAAACCATTATACTTACAGAAGTCTTGAATAGCGAAAAAATGTTAAGGACATTAAGGCTCAACTTCGTTATATTTTGACTGAAAAGATTTGACCTTTCAGTAAGGGGAATTACCCCGTTAAGGGTTTCCGAAAACACAAAATTAGCTTTAACTCTTGAATTCAAGGTCCTAGACCCATGAGGTCTTTTGCAATGGAATTGTGGACATAGGGTCAAAGGTGAAGGTCATGTTCCAAATAGCGAATAATGTGTTTTAGACCCTATTTTAAGGGTTTATGTGTGTTTTAAAGCTTTTCAATGCATTCTATGACTATTAGAACAATTATTTTACACTATGAAAATTAACGAACAAATTGACATTTTTATTTTTTTATGCCCCCGCCATAGCGGAGGGGGCATTAAATTTTACCCTTGTCCGTCAGTACGTCACAAAATTGGTTTCCGTTCTCTAACTTGAGTTTGCCTCAATCAAATGTTATGAAACTAATACACAATGCTTATTACCACAAAACACAGATCAAGTTTGAATTTTGGTGGCGTCACTTTAACCGTTCTAGAGTTATGCCCCTTTATAAATGGAAAAATTGAAGAAAAAAAGTTTCCGTTCTCTTACTTAAGTTTGCCTCAACCAAATGTTATGAAACTTATACACAATGCTTATTACCACAAAACACAGATCAAGTTTGAACTTTGGTGGCGTCATTTTAACCATTCTAGAGTTATGCCCCTTTATAAATGGAAAAATTGCTAAATTTTTAGTTTCCGTTCTCGAACTTAAGTTTGCCTCAACCAAATGTTATGAAACTTATACACAATGCTTATTACCACAAAACACAGATCAAGATTGAATTTCGGTGGCGTTACTTTAACCGTTCTAGAGTTATTCCCCTTTATAAATGGAAAAATTGCAAAATTTTTATTTTCTTCTAAATATCAAGTAATTTTTAAAATTGGAGTTATCTTCCTTTGTCCGTGATTATAGTTGAATCAACTACAATCAATGCTTTATACAATGCAATGTTTAATTTTGACTTCCACTGATAAAACACAGATCTAGTTGAATTTGGGTAGTGTCATTTTAACCATTCTAGAGTTATGCCCCTTTATAAATGGAAAAATTGCTAAATTTTTAGTTTCCGTTCTCTAACTTAAGTTTGCCTCAACCAAATGTTATGAAACCTATACACAATGCTTATTACCACAAAACACAGATCAAGATTGAATTTCGGTGGCGTTACTTTAACCGTTCTAGAGTTATTCCCCTTTATAAATGAAAAAATTGCAAAATTTTTATTTTCTTCTAAATATCAAGTAATTTTTAAAATTGGAGTTATCTTCCTTTGTCCGTGATTATAGTTGAATCAACTACAATCAATGCTTTATACAATGCAATGTTTAATTTTGACTTCCACTGATAAAACACAGATCTAGTTGAATTTGGGTAGTGTCACTTTAACCATTATTGAGTTATGCCCCTTTATAAATGGAAAAATTGCTAAATTTTTAGTTTCCGTTCTCTAACTTAAGTTTGCCTCAACCAAATGTTATGAAACCTATACACAATGCTTATTACCACAAAACACAGATCAAGATTGAATTTCGGTGGCGTTACTTTAACCGTTCTAGAGTTATTCCCCTTTATAAATGAAAAAATTGCAAAATTTTTATTTTCTTCCAAATATCAAGTAATTTTTAAAATTGGAGTTATCTTCCTTTGTCCGTGATTATAGTTGAATCAACTACAGTCAA